AGGTAAATATATACCTACTTTTGGAAGTGTTGAAAAGGAATATTCTCAGATAAAACATGAACATACAAAAATGGATATATATTTATATTTTTTTTTTCAATTACATTTCCTCGTTGGACCCAGCACTGGATCCAACGCCCCATAAGTCGAAACTTGTGCGGGGTTAGGAAAGCATACATTCATGCACATCAAACATCCATGGCCTAACTGATGGGATTCGAACCCATGCCTCGGTGGGAATCCCCATACGAACTCAGCATCACCGGGCCGCCTATATATGAAGCAATACATTGAGAATTCGCATTCTCTATGTGATGAGAATATCTACTCTTTTTCAGTTTATTCAATAGAAAACAACTACTTTCCTGGCTTTAGGTATGCCACGACGAACATTGAATTATATCTATTGAACACACACGATAAGAGTTTGAAAATAAAATATGAAAACTTCTGAAATTGAGAATTTGCACTCTCCTTCAGACAAAAATATGTATATGCACACATCATGCATTCTGAATATTCAACAGAAAACAACTACTTTCCTGGTTATTTACCACGTCGAACATTGAATTATATCTGATGAACATTCAAAAGGAGAACATGAAAAATGAAAAATAAAATCCTCCGAAATTGAGAATTGACATTCTTCTTCAAATCGGATGAATAATACTTATGATGTAAAGTGATATTGAAATATAACTTACCAATATAGGTATTCAGCATTGAAATGAAAATTGGAATGTATAGGAGAAGTATATAGGTACTGGCATAAACTCTGATCTTGATGAGCTTGAAAACTTCCAAAAATAATCATTCATAATAATATCAGTGATATGGGGAATATTATATTTTATATTTTATTTTCAAACTCTTATCGTATGTGTGTTCAATAGATATAATTCAATGTTCGTCGTGGCATATAGCCAGGAAAGTAGTTGTTTTCTATTGAATAAACTGAAAAAGAGTTAGATATATTCTCATCACATAGAGAATGCGAATTCTCAATGTATTGCTTCATATAAATATATATCCATTTTTGTATACCTATGTTCATGTTTTATCTGAGAATATTCCTTTTCAACACTTTCATGCATACCCATTCAGGGGGTTCAAACTTGAACGATGGAAACTTGTGATTTTTATAGACCTCTAATCGCAGATTCGTGCGCGATATAGTCTCAATTCAGAATTCCTTTCCACGCCCTGTATGATGAATGTCAATTTATCATATACCCAAAGGCAAATACTTTTGGAAGTTTTCGAAGGCTATTTCCTATAACGTTCTCAAGAACTTTTTTCCATTCGATCGAATTCGTATCTATTATACCGTATACCGTATTCTTGGCCAGTCGACACACTGTATATATATACCTATATATACTGTTTTCGAGATATAATATATGGGTGATAGCATTTTTTTTTTAGAACAATATACACTAGAAGAGAAGATCAAAATAAATCATTGTTCTCAAATGATAATTTATTTTCAAAATAGGCATTCATTGAGCTCGAAAGAGCTACAACGTTCTATATCGGTATGTATGTAGGTATGTACCTACATACTTTTGGCTCTGAATGCTGAATGTTTATCTGGGATTCCGGATGAACCCGAATGAAGGACCCAATGAATCCCAAATCTAGATATAACTTCTATAATAGCCGTCCCATCAGAACGAGGTGCCCTAATCTTTCGTCGTCAATTGAAAAGTGTTTAGGCCCAAACTAACATCCATTCGAGCGATCACCGATCCACCGTCACTCTTATCGAACCATCTCGAAGGCCTATTACGCGCTATTTACACATGGGCTGTCCCATGCGATTAGCTTTGTTACGGATACTCGACAATGGGCGGTCGCTATGGGGCTAGTCTTCTGATCCGCTGGACCGAAAAAGCAAATCGTTATATTCCTATAAAAGGTGGATGGAATAGGGTGGTGTGAGTGCTTCCGCGCAAATTACTCGAATTATTCGATTTTGCGATCTAAGCTCCTTGCAAAGATTCAAGTCGTCAGATCTGTTTGAATTTTTTTATATTCATTTTATTTATTCATTTTTAAAATAACACATTTCTACGAAAGCGTAAAATGGTCACTGTTGTGTGTATTTTATTTTATTTCTTTATTCAGACTTTTTTCTCTGAATTCAGACTTCTTTTTTCTCTGAACTCAGACTTTTGGTAAATCTGCATAGCATGCGATTGGGTTTTTTTCGAAAATTTTCTTGGTACTTACGACTTTTTGTCTGAAAAACACGAATTTGACAATGATAATGTGAACAAACCACTATTTATCGAGATATTTCAAAAAAAAGTTCGAAATTTCGACTCCTTTTTTCCCCTCGTGTTGGATGCATTTACAGCTACTTTGCTCTTCTTATTTTGTCATTGAACACTTTATATACTCATGATGTACTTCGATGAGACATTTTTATATAGAAAATTTAACAGGAAATATGATTTTTATGGCGAGTTTTTTATATTTAGCGAACAAGCATATACCAGATGATGGCCATTTAATTAATAGTCAATCCAAATACGAGATGTCAAATGTCAACAGAGTGCTTTTGAATGACATTATACACACGCCATTATTTTAAATTATATATTCTTCCTTCTTTTTACTAAACATGGATAAATCACAAGAAAATCATATTTCTAGTTGACTCATATAATAGAAAAAAATGTGTCTTATATACATTGCGATATAGGTATGTATAAATTGTCCAATGATGAAAATAAAAGGGTAAATTGTTTTAAATTCAATCCAGAAGACAGGCGGAAAAGAAGGTGAAATTTGTAACTTTATAGTGAAATATCTTGATAAATAATGGTTTGTTCACATTTTCATTATCAAATTCGTGTTTTTCAGACAAAAATACATAAGTACCAAAAAAAAATTTCGAAAAAAAACCCATCGCATGCTAAATGCAGTTTTACCAGACTTTTTTCTCGAATTCAGACTTTAAAGCCTGAATTCAGACTTTTTTCTTTGAATTCAGACTTTTTTCTCTGAATTCAGACTCATACTACACACCATATATACCGGGTGTAACAGGATCATTTTGATGAACTTAAATTGGTGATAAATCGAGAAATTTTACATTTTTGACAGGATTCGATATTTTTAGCATTACACCTGGCGATATTATATAGTATACATCAGACTCGATCAGAATAGTCATGGCACACTCAAATGGAAATTCCAAAATGAAATTAAAATCAATATTGAAGTTTGGAATGTTACTTATATGGTATCATTTGATTCAGAAAATGATGCAGAATTTGAAAATGCAATGATATACAGGGTGTTCCATGTGAAATTCGAAAGTTTTATTACCACTTCCGGTGTGACACCCTGTATAATCGAAATTATTTTCCTGGTATGCGCCCTATCTCTATATGATACAATTGAAGTCTGTAAAATATCAAAATCCTAACGCAACTGATAGCTCTGATCGAGCTATTGAAGACGGGAGGTGAGATGCAGGACCCTGTAGTCCCTGTATAAACTATACTCTCGCTTTTTATATATATAGGGTATGGTATAAATATATTTGAGCATCATATATCATTCATTATAGACGATTTGACTTACTGACCTGCATACCTATAATAAAAAAATTAATCATCAACCCCATGAAAACTAAATGACGTATAAAAGGTATAGGTACTTCCTGAAATCAGTTTATTATACCCTCGATCGGTATTACCTAATGTGAATGTTTATTCAATGCATTCGATGCAAACAGCCTGAATTCAGAGAAAGAAGTCTAAATTCAGAAAAAAAAAAACTAAATTTACCTATACTTTTAAAGTCTGATGAATAAAGAAATAAAATAAAATACACACGACAGCTAAGTGGCATTTCTAAGCTTTCGTACATTTCAGCATACTATATATTAATAGTAATATATATTTTTTTTATGAAAGGATGATGAAAATACCTAGTTGAAAACTTGTCCATCATGATCATGTAATAATTTTTTCCTTCCGCACTAACTATAAAATTCATGCATTTTTTCATCATAATAAATACCTATTTATAAATAATATCTAAAAATAACTATAAAAACATACGAACGCGTCTAGGGGTCACACAATTATAATATATTCATTTTTTAAAAATAAATCCAATATATTTGGAAAAAAAATTCAATACTTATATTGGGAAAAAAATCCAATATATTGAAAATATTTCTAATATATTGAAAAACAAACAATATATCGAAAAAAAAATTTGGACAGACAGTGTTTTGTTTCTCCCAAGACGCTTGACCGCAGATCCCGCAATAATGGCATATTAGTTCTCAGTTGTCCGCAAGATGGCGACACTTTTTATAGATTTCTTTCATGACAGAAACATATAACCTCAAATCAGATGAGATAAAATTTGAAAGTACGAAACTGTAATTTTGGGGAATTTCAATTATCATCAGTTCTACCAACCTTGAATTTTGGCAAGGTTGGTAGAATTGATGATTATTTGTAGAGGAAGGTTGCCTCGATCAGAAAAATTGGTGAGGGAAAGTGGTAATTCGTGATTTCATCTTAGGATCATAGAAATGTATGTATAATTCTAAATGAATATATTCGAAAACAGTTGTAGAATATAGACCTTCATGACATGGACATGGAATTTTTTATGGGATTAACTTCCCCTTACCGCGTTTTTCTGATACAAACCTTGGAATTTTGGATGATATTTCGCCATCTAACGAGTAAAATGCGACCTATATTCCGCTATATTGAAAAGAATCCTGCTTCTGTCAAGTAGGCCGTAGGAGAACTTTGACCGAAAAACAGTAGATGGAATTTGATAAGAGTTTCCACACCAGTTCTGAAAGGCTTGTTAATCTGTGCACTCGTCTCTCGTCTAGCTAATACCTGCTAATACCATCTAGTGACAGTGACTGGTATACCTATTATAGTGGGGGTAGGTGAACTGTGGTAAATGAAAACTCCAAAGGATATAAATAAAAAATACATAATTTATTCCTTTTTCAGACAATAAAAATAAACACTGGTAGGTACATACAAAACAATCATCTCAAAAATCTCCCAACATTTCCTGCATCATCTCCTGATAAATATACATGAACTTGGCAACAAATGATTCTAAATGAAAAATAGATTTATTTCCTTGTGCCATCCTGTGCTCATGGATAGCAGCTTCTTCCACAATTTTTGACTTTATTCCCATATCACAATTCTTGAGTAGCTCTTCCAGAAGAGTCTTGAAAATTATATCTGAGGGAATACCATTTGTGAGCAATTCATATAGATTTTCACGAACTTTGGAGAGAGTATCCATATTCTGATTCTGTAACATTCTTGCAGCAGTTTTTTTGATGAAAATTTGCCAGTCTGGCTCAGCTACATTTTGATCCTCCTTGAAAGGATACTGTTCTACCTTACAAGCCTCACAAATAAGCAAAGCTCTCCTCAAATTACGGTTTGAAACTTGGACAATTCTTTCAGCAAGTCCCCTAGGTAACTTCAGACTCTCTTTTTCACAAGTGTAGTGCAGTATATTAATGATAGTTTCTTCAGATGGGGCAGGAACTCTTATACATAGGCAACGTGACCTGATAGCAGGTATTACTCTTGATATAGAAGTAGCACAAAGTATAATACGGCAGTTTGCTATGTACTTCTCCATAGTTCTTCTCAAAGCATGCTGAGCATCTTTTGTCAAGTCATCCACATCTGTTAAAACTATAACTTTGAACTCTCTTTGAGCATTTGAATTCAACTGTTGACTCTGTGCCACATTTTTTATAATATCCATAACTACTACTCTATCATAAATCCCAACGTCGCTTGGGTTCACTTCAATGTGGTAGTTACTGCTCACTGTCATAATTTCTAGTTTCTTGTTGGATGGTGTTGTGAAAGACATCATCTCCATTTTGAGTCTTTCAGCTCCTGCTCCATACAGTTCTCTCAGTAAACACATTATACGTGTTTTTTTGCCAGCGCCTAAAGGGCCATAGACTAGTAAATGTGGAAAATCTCCGTCTTTCACAAGGTTTTTCAAATTTACTGCTTGATCCTTGTGGTAATCTAAATTGGCCAAATCTTTGGGCCGATATTTATCTGCCCACAACATTTTGTCAAGAAAATCAGCCTGTTTCAACGCACTCAACTTTTTGTAAATACCTAATGCTGTGTTTGATAATGAAGATACCAACGAAATGTGCAAAACAAAACAGAAAAATGAAAATACCGCGAAACGAAATTTGAACTGTATTTGAGGGTTAACTTCTTCTTTTTCTCTCAAAATTCGCCCATATTATCGACAGTTTATACTACTTAACCAGTAGGTCACATGGCATCAGAAAAACAAATAATACCAAAGGCATTAGACAAAAGGACAAAATCCTGCATATTATTATGATAACTGACAACAGTGACAACTAATGACAGTTTGTTCGTCCTTCGTCGGCTTCGTCCATTCCATCATGATCTATTGACGATATCATAAATAGAAGATGTTTATCTATTTCCAGTCTATTATGTTCATTATTATGTTTTGTGAACAATCAAAATCTTGTTTGGTGAATCGAAGGAGAAAGTCATGTGCAATTTGATTTATAAATTTTTTAGTGATTGGTTGTTCACATTTCAAAAATGAGCTACTCTGAAAAAGTTACAGATGATACTGTTCAGAATGATCATACCAATGACAATCTCATAGAAACATCTTCAATATCAAGTGTACCAGAAACTAGCACTGATACAAGTTCTTCACAAAAATGTGAGGATGTAAATGAAGAGACATCCTCTGATAATGAATCTCTAAGAAGTAAAGATGTAGAAAGTGAGTCAAATGAAAAGTTAACAGATGTGTTAGCTTTTCACCAAAAAGTTATAAATGAGAAAATCCAAACTATAAAATGTTTAGAGGAAAAACTGATGAAATCTGAAAGACTTGCAAAGGACTATCAGTTGAAACTTGACCAAGCTTTGAAAGAAAAAGATGCAGCAGTCAAGCAGAAAGAAATGATTGTAGTGAGCTTTGCAGTTGCTGAAAAAAATGTTTTAAAAGAGAAGTACCAAAAGGATCAAGCAGAAAAGAAGTACAAAGAAGCTCATCGAGAAAATGAGTTCCTGCAACACAAGGTCCAAACTATGATATCTGAGAAAGGAAGAATATGTCAAATGTTGGACAATAAGTGCCATGAATATAAAAATGTTCATCAGGAATTAGAACATATGAAAGCTGATTTGTCTTCACTGGAAACCAAGTTGAAGTGGTCCCAAAATAGTTTAAAATCAGAAATTGAGAACCACAAGGAAACACAGACAAAACTGGAAAGTGCCAATATCAAATTACTTGAAACCACAAACCTCATTGAACATACACAGAAAGAAGCTGAGGCATCCATAAAATCCTACCATCATTCAGAAGAGAACAGAGCACATACTTTAGACAAGCAATTGCAAGGACAACAAGCTACTCTGATTTTACTCAAACATGAAAACAAGGATAAAGAAGAGCAATTGAAAATCCTACAAAATGAACTCCAAAGATTGCAGAGCAAGCAGAAAGAGATGATCCTTGAAAACAATGATTTGTCTCTCAAAGTACAACAACTGGAAAAGGACAGATCAGAAAGTGAACAGAAATTGAGTGAGCTTAGGGGCTGTGCAGACCAGCAGAGACAAGACTCAGCTGACTTACAGTCTAAGACTGCACAATTAGAACAGCTGAAACTACAGTTGAAACATGAACAAGATCAACTCATGGCTTCAAATGAACAAATGGTATTGTTGAAACAGAGGAATGTGGAACTGGAATCTGACATGGAAACCTGTAGACAACGTGAGGCTGAGTTGCTTCTATTTACTCAACAGTTGACAGATAAGAATGTTAGGCTTCAGTCAGAGTTCACATCTAGGGAAACCAAAATTCAGCAGCTCAGCTCTGAGTATACATCACTGAAGAGACAGATTAAAGAAGCTGAATCCAAGATTTGTATGTTGTCCAGTAAGTTGTCTGATGAGGGACAAAGATTCAAACAAGAAAATGATGATCTCTCAAATAAACTAGTTGAAGTAACAAAGGCTTATGATCAGTGCAAACAGCAAGTGACAGATATGAAAGGGGAAGAGACCCTCATGAAGAGAAAGTATGAAATGTCTTTGAAGGAAATGAACAAGGAATTGCATTACTGCCGTAGGAAGCTTGATGATTATGAAAAACCAAGAAGTAAATCCAGTAACAACAGTTCCAGTTCATCATTGAATACTACTGATTCAGCTGGCCTAGTGAAAACAGATGTACAAATAGACAAAGAGACACTCATTGAACACATTGTGAATATCCAAAAAGTGAGTGCCAAGAAGTCTGATAAAATAGACTTTCTAGAAGAACATGTTAATACTCTTGTGGCTGATATACAGAAGAAAACAAAGCTTCTTCAAAGCTATATTCTTAGAGAACAATCTGGTGCTTTAACATCTAACAAAATGGACAGAAATAAGGCGGACTTTTCTAAATTTAATGGTTTAATGGCCTCTTTATATACATCTCGTGTTACAGATGAGAGTGTGACTTTGGAGTTGTCTCTTGATGTTAATAGGAAGCTTCAAGCTGTTCTGGAAGATACATTACTGAAAAATATCACTCTCAAAGAAAATGTAGACACTCTTGCTTCAGAGATTGACAGGATGAACAAGATGTTGAAACAATGAAATATCCGATTAGATTCAATATTAATGAATGTTCTGAGAATTGTACCCCATAATCCATTTGATTAAGTTGAAAACAAGACTGAATTATATGTCACAGTGAGATTGTTAAAAGTAGTATTAATTTATTAATAATGTTGGATTTATGTTTAAATAATAGACTTTGACATCAGTGAGTTGATTAATTGTTGAAAATTGGTAAGAAAATCACTGTTGAAACACAACACCCTGTAGTAGAAAACAGTGTTATAGCAATGGACACCAAATGGAAGTGAACTAAAATATAAGGCGGCTAAAGTAATAAGAAGAATACTGGATGAATTCCATTTAAAAAAGAAGAATAAAATGGTTGAATGTTAAACGTCATTTTCTGGTTTAGTTGAGTAACAACTCTATTGAATAATCACAAATTATTTCGAGGATGTCCTCTTCATTGTTGAGGCTGAGATGCCTTTCAAAATGTCCCATGTCACTAAAATATTTGTCCAGTTCAGCCGTACGATCCAGCGAACCACAAGTTAAAAACGATATTGTCCACCTAACCCCTGAAGAAGTAGAACATAAGAAAAAACTACAGAATTATATTACCGTACAAGGAACTGTAAGTTCAAAGTTGTTGAATGTCTTGTGTCCTGAAGATTGAAAATATCACTTTTAGACCTGCATAGCTCCTATTACTGGGGTTCCAGAAGAACATGTGAAAGAACGTAGAGTAAGAATATATGAACCTGCCAAGAACTGCATGCAAAGTGGCACCTACAATATTGGCCATTGGGAAATTGACTTTGAAACCAGAGAACGATGGGAGAACCCATTGATGGGCTGGTGTTCAACGTAAATATTGACAGTCTCTTCTGCTTTCTGATTTCATAATGATTTGTTTTCTAGTGGAGATCCACTGTCTAACATGAATGTAGAATTTTCAACCAAGGAGGATGCTATTGATTTTTGTGAGAAGAATGGATGGACATGGTTTATTCAGGAGAGCAGCCTTGAGAAGAAATTCAAGCCCAAAAGTTATGCTGTCAACTTCTCCTGGAATAAACGTACTAGAGTATCCACAAAGTAATTCTAGACCTAATATACTGTACTGTAAATACATCATTTTGAAGAGCTGATATTCATTTGTTTTGCAATTACAAAATGTAGTGGTCAACTGACTACATGCTTAGGTATAATGTCCATTGTCTTGGATGTAAATGTCTGGATTTGGCTATTCACAGTTCCAGGAATAATTCAATATTTCTCTCCCATGAGATTCTCAATGACAACAGGATGGTGGATATCATCACTGGAAATATTTTGTGGAACTTCTTCCACTTTTGGAATTGAGTTTCTGAGATAATCAAATTTGAAGATGATTTTTTTTGTTTTTGGATGTATGGCAAATTGATATTCATCATACAGCACAATCATGTAAAATGGCTACAAGGACAGAAAAAAATTCTCAATTTCAGAGGATTTTGTGTTCATGTCCTTTTGGATTTTAAACAGATATAATTGAAAGTGATTGACATGGCACATAGCCAGAGAATAAGGAATAAAAAGTTGTTTTCTGTTGAATGTTCAGAATAATATTGTGTGCCTGCATACTTAAATATTTTTATCTGGAAAAAATGTATTATCCTGTGAGATATAATTCAATATTCCTCCTGGCATATAGCATAGCCAAGAAAGTAGTTATTGTTTTCTGTTGAATAAACCAATAATAAATTATAATTTTCATCATATATAGAATGTATATTACAGGGTGTTTCATAATTGAATGCTGATCCTAAAGGGCGATAATCCTTTAATGATTTCAAGAAAATTCTTCATGTGAACATAGGTCCCTAACAGCTTCGTTTTTGAGATACAGGATGTTGAAATTTAAAAAAAAATCAGTTATTCCCCAATATCTCTGATACCGCTCTGGCTTTTTTCTTCATTACAAATACTTAAAAATAGTTACCATAAAATTATAAAAATATTGCTTAGATCTTTTGGTTACCACAATTGTGAAATTATGACTATAAGAGTAAAAATTGAATAGGGACAAGCAAATGAATGCATTTTATTTTCTAACTCAAAAACCGTTCGCCGGACGAAAAAAAGACGATAGACCATTTTTATGAGAAGATAGAGGATAATTATAAAAATAATATTTATTTAGGAAAAAGACAGCGGCGTATCATTATTCTGATGAAAAATATAACAGGGTATGTTAACAGGGACGCCACTGATGGAAATTAAGAAATCCTCCATTATGGAAAAAATGTATTTCTATTCATACTTGGCCAGTACCAAAATTGAAGAGAAAAACCAGAGTGGTTTCAGAGATATTGGGGAATAACTGATTTTTTTGTTAAATTTCAACATCCTGTATCTCAGAAACGAAGCTGTTAGGGACCTATGTTCACATGAAGAATTTTTCTTAAAATCATCCAAGGATTATCGCCCTTTAGGATCAGCATTCAATTATGAAACACCCTGTATATATACAGGGTGTTTCAGTTTTTTGTAGCAGGACTTTAACAGCTTGAAGAAGACATTTTTTAAGGTGAATATCTCATCGCGTCCACGCATAAATGTTTGTTTATGCGTGGACGCTTCGTTTCCGATTTACATGGTGTCAAAGTTTCAGATTTTTTAATGTTTTTTTAATTTTCTCCTACAATTTTCGGAATAATTGATTGAAATTTGGTACACCTAATACACTTCGAAAACTTAATATTTGAGGCTATTGAGTGTTTTTGAATATCTACAGGGTGATAGACTTTCAGGGGTCGTACCCAATTTAGCCCTGTAGAACTTTTTTGCGTGCCGTCTCTGCTTTCAATGGGACATAGATTCAGATTGTCCTTTTAATTTGGAAACTTTTTGCCTTTATGTGAATTTTTCGGAAACTGTATGGATCTCGAGATAAATGCCAAAAATAAATTACTTGTAATAAAACCATTATTTCTTAAACACACTTATTTGACATTTCTCAAACATTTTATTGGAAAATAGAATGACCAAAAGCTTCCATACAAAATGAAATTCAGTTGCAAGATTAGATTGAATTTTTTGAACACCATTATAATTAAAACAGGGAAAACAAAGAAAAAATGTTTTTCTCCGATTGGCAGCAAATATTGATTTTGCTGACACATATCAATCAGCAAAGTATTACTTTTCCTGCCTAGGCAGCAAAGTGGTTACTTTGCTGATTGATATGTATCAGCAAAATTAATTATCCATAAATCGTTCATAATTTCCTTCATATTTCATTCGAGACTTCTCCGGCAACAAATTCAACTCTTTATTTTTTGCCACCTCCCTTATTTCTGGAGGTGTAAGTACTTCCAGGTCGCTATCACTGTCCATTATATAATAATTTAAATATAGCGATAATTTTTCGCACAACTGTCAGAATTTTCATGAATTGTCAAACTATAATTATCATGGACAACTGCGATTTCCTTCAAATTTCATTTTAATTGAACACTACAGGAAAAATAAAGAGATTGTGGGAATTGTAATAATTTGCAATTACAATATCCTCCTATATCATTATGAACAATCGGAGAAAAAATTATATGTTCAACTCAGCAGCAAAGTAGATTGACTTTACTTTGCTACTACTTTGCTGCCTAGTTATACAAATAACTATTTTATTTAAAAAAAAAAACTTCTCTAACTGGATTGCAAAATCTGAAATTGTATTGTAGAAAGTTCTAGAACACCCTGTATAACTGAAACTGGTTAAACTTTTGATATCAGGGACTGTATGAGACACGGTCTAGGCGCTATACATCGCTAGACTGTCGCTTCTGATGGTTGAAGTGTTGTGTTTTAATGATTTAATCTCGTGAACGGCAGTCCTAATTTTATCAGTACCCTTAGAAGTGGTTCGGATTCCACTTTAATTTATCTCCAAATCCATACAGTTTTCGAGAAATATACATGGGGCAAAAAGTTTCCAAATTGCAGACAATCTGAATCTATGTCTCATTGAAAGCAGAGGCGGCACGCAAAAAGGTTCGATTTTTTTTTCAGTTTTCAATATATGCGCATTTTTTGCATGATCACTTGATTCCAGTATCGGGTAGGAAAAACACCATAACTTTTATTCCATTTTCATTGTGATAAATTAGTAAATATAGTCTATCATAAAGAATGGCATTAGAGTCCTACATAACACATCTGAACACCCTAGGACGATTTTCACTTCAATACAAAAACCTTGAAATGATATATGAACTTGGGAACCTACAATTTTTTACGGGGAAATTATTACCTATAGTAGTCAGTAGTCAAGAAAATGCATGAAACGATATCATTATTTTTATAATTTTAAATCACATTCGTTTATAAACAATTTAAAATATCGGAAATAATTTATTGGTTATTCTACATCAGTATCAACAAAATCCATGACACAAGTTATACATAGGTAACTAACCCTCCATCAATCAACAGTCACTCAAATTTACTGGGTCCGAAATCATATTTGGAAAATCAATTAATCAATCATCCAGTTGTCACCTGCAAAAATATATAAAATATTGCTCTATATATAACGAAATAAAATGTACCTATAGTCACAATTTACAATGAAATGATAAAAAAAGGTAAATGCAGTTGGATCCCTCGCTCATTCGCACATGTCGTTCACCATCTTCTCCATGTCCTTGTCGGTATCTGCATGATGCACCTCGATGGCCACCTGAAAATATGTAGTTAAATAAAAACAAAAAGCACAGTCATTTCCACACAATGTTCATAAAATGAACAACAATGATAGATTTCGGGAGAAAAACAACTACTTTCCTGGCGAATGCCACGCAGAACATTGAATTACATCCTCCCAGAATCTATGCATTGACTCATATAAACGAATACTGATACAAGCACAGCCGTCTTCAATTATCAAGCCATGAAGAAGAAGCTTGGCAACATTGTCCGAACGACCGAACGTTGCAATCTATAGTGCACCTGTCGGCCATTCAAAGTGTATTGTGTAGGAAGTGAACAAGGAGTTTATGGTAGGTTTTGTTAAAGTTTTCAATTATTAATTGGTGTAATATTGAGATCAAATAATTTTAAAAGTATTAGCAACAATCTAGGAATCGACTCGAGACTGAAAGTGTGTGGCAAGTGCATTCAAAATTGTTTATATCCCCCTGATTTTTCGAATTTAGAAGTTTTGACTTCATTATTTTGGATAAACCTTGTGGCAGTGACATTTCGGGGCAAATCATCTGATTTGTCCTTACTACATGTATATTGAAATAATATTCATATTTTTATTTTATAGAAACGAGGAGAGAAAATCCTAAAAAATCTGGAATAATTAATGTTTTAATATATTGTGATGTGTCTCTTATTGCGAACTAACTTTTAAGAGTGTTGAAATTTCAAATCGATTTTATAATGTTGTGGTATTGGCAGCGATTTCCTCTACTTCTAGTTCTTGTTTTTTCATTTTAAGGTAATTTTTTGACTCTTTGTCAATCAATACATCTTTTGACGGGTTGCCTGCAAGATCTGTCAGATGACCGACCCTGGAGGTAAAACAACCTCACTTTTCTAATTTGTTTACAGAGGATTCAAATAGTTTTTCACAATTATTTTGGCATACGATTCATGTTTATTCCACCAAAAAATGCAACGAGAGACGAAGGAATACAATTATTCAGGTAAATTGTGATCTAAAAGTACTGTAGCCACTCATATAATATAGTTCTTATTTAAAACTTCTGTCATTTCTCTTTAGAATTTCTGTCACTTTTGTAACACACACGACCATATTTTGTCAGAATCTCATACCAGTCCGACCGTTTGACGGCACGAATCCAAGCTTCTTGCCTTCTTTAAGAAACTCCACAAGTGTTTCTATTCTCGCTCCTAATGCAGAAGGGATTCTAAAGAGAAATTACAAAATTTCAAAATAAAAACTATGTTAGTAACTGCAGGAGCATATATTTACCTACCTCAAAAATCGTATTCCGTCTCCTCTCACTTCATATTTTTAGCTTCGTACAACAGCACTGCTTGGCTTGCTTGAATAAAAAAATATCCCAAGAAACACGATTCATACGCCAAAATAATTGTGAAAAACTACTTGAATATCCTATGTAAACAAATAAGAAAAGTGAGGTTGTCATCTGTCAAATGTGCACGAAGTACATCGCCAACCGTTAAGATTCCCATAGGAAAATGCGCCAACCTATAGCATATATTCTATCTCTCTCTCTCTCACCTCCATGTTGTTGGTGGGTGTGAGGGGCATCTCCTCCTCGTCTTCCTCCAATTCCGGTGGCGGCTTCAGCTTCAATAGGGCCTCCTTCAGCTGCTGGTACACCTTCTTGAAGGTCTCCAGGGTGCTGGCAGGCGATTTTTTGCTGGATCTACTATAATAATAATAATAATAAACGCTTTTTATTGGTTATAAATTGCTGGAGACTCAAATAATTCCCGAGCACTCAAATTTTCGGAAACCATGTAGAAACAAGGCTTCCTTCGACGCACCTGTTCATCTTCTTCTCTTTGGCGACCTCCAGCTCCACCTCGCCGATCCACCGCTCCACCTGCGCCATGATCTCGTGCCGCTTGAGGTAGAAGTGCGCATGGACGACGTCCTTGAAGCACGCGCACGGGTGCAGGATCTGCTCGAGCATGGCCCATCGGACGGTCGCTTGGCAGATGTTGAGGTTGTATTCGCGCGAGCTGAGCGTGCCGGCCGGCGTGCCTCTCGCTCGCTCGTACCCTGAAAATAATAATGATAAAACTTTATTTTTCTACCACTGAGCTGAGAAATCACCATTATTCGCGGATTTCCTATTATGAAAAGTGACACTTTTCAAACCTACGTACATAATGATAAAATGATACAGTAATTTTACCTAGGTAGAAAACAACTGTCAATAGTGTTTTTCTTATGTTCTGCTTCTCACAAGAAGGGATATCCTGTAATGTTCAGAGAACATCGTGATTGGTGTTCTTCTTAAATTTCTGGAAGTTATATGTCTCGGGGAACACCTCAAATGGCAATGTGGTCCAGAACCTCGCTGTTCGTTGGATGAACGAGTCTTTGGAAAAAGATGTTCTGCAGGTCTCCAAAGTGACCACGAAGGGGTGCGAAGCCTCAACTCCACGGGTTAGTCTCGCGGGGACTGACAAGGTAGGAACAATTGTTGATATTTCAGAAAGGCATCGTCCATGAAAATATCTATAAAATAGAGCAGAGCCAGATCGCCAACTTTTCTACGGTGTTCCAGAGAAGTGAGTGAGTTTGTGAGCGAGGCATCACCCACGAGACGAATTGCCCTTTTTTGGACAGAATCCAACAGTTTCAGGGTATGTTTGGGTGCTGCACTCCAAATATGGACACAATATTCTAGGGCAGGTCGGATCTGTGCCTTATAGATCATAAGCAGCTGACTGGAAGTGAAATAGCTCCTGGCCCGAAGCAGAAAACCAAGTTTTTGGGATGCACTTTTAGCAATTGATCTCACGTGATTTTCCCAAGAAAGGTTATTACTGATAGTAATACCAAGCATGGAAATGGATGTCTTCAAAGGTATGGTTACTCCTGACAAGCTTATGTTGGGCACAGTGAGATCACTTTTCTAGAGAAAAGGCATGCTTGTGTTTTGTTTGCATTGAAATCTACTGAGTTATTGGATCCCTATTCGAGAATAGTTGCCAAGTCCATATTTATGTTGTCAACATTTCTTTCTCGTTCGTTTCTGATTTGCCTGGCAGGTATCGAAGCCCTGGAAGAGATGGCGGTATGGAGGGTACTATCATCCGCGAAGCTGTGTACTGGACATGAAGTTTCTTACAACAGATCGTAAATATGGAGTAGAAATAGTGTTGGTGCTAGAATTGATCCTTGCGGAACACCAGCATTCATGGTAAGAGAGTCAGATGAAAATCCGTCGACCACTACATGGAGAGACCTGTTTGAGTCATATAGTGCATTTTTGGTATATCTATCGCTCCAGCAAATTTCAGGATCCTTACCCAAACAATACGTAAGATACAGTATTTCCATTAGAAGTGACACACTGTATTTGGCACGGCATTGGTGGTTACTCCACATATTTATTGTTGTTAATTCTTTCGTTACAGAAAAAATACCATGTTTCATTCGGATCAAAAGTGACTTTGTCATTCGCTCGGCTTCGCTACAAATGCAAAAATCGCTTGTGAAACAAAGTCACATTTGGTCCTAATAAAACAACCTTTTATTATATGACACGACATTTCGTAGGAATTGAAAAAATATCAAATACTTAAAGCTGTAATAAAAATTTCAAATTCTAGACACATATGTAAAATTGGAATAAAAACAACCTTTCTTCTCGAACTTTTTTGAAATTCAAACAAAAAAGACTATTTTCAGCAAGCAATTTGGAGAAATGTAACTTTCACATGTAACAAAAGTCACGTGACCCCGACTGCGTAGTCTTTTTTTCATACTTTTTAATGCATAACCTAACGCCCAAGTCGAATTTCTAAATAATTTATCAATAAAAGTTGTTACCATATGGCTACTTCATGAATGACCCTGTATCTCAGTTGGGAATAAAACAACCCACTTCACACTGTTTCCTGAAGAGAAAACCTTCAACTAAATCATGAAAAAAGAAACAATAAATACCTGGTTCGTTGAAATAGGGCTCCGGCACCAGTATCAAGCTCTGTATGGACACCAACACCTGCAGGAAGCTCGACGTCTGCGCGTTCCACTTCTCTTCCGGCCTGCCGTGCCACGTGTTCAGCACCGACAGGCACACCTTGCCGTCGTTGTAAAGGTTCGGGTTGAATCTGACCGTGTGATGGCCGGTCGTCTCGAGGTTGATCAGCATCGGGGAGAGGGGGTAATCGGGCGGGAAGAACACGTCCAGCTCGAAACAGCCGTTCGCGTACGGTGTATCACAAGGACCTTAGCCACCAAAAAACAAAAAAGAAATAGAACATGAACAATTTTACTAGAGGCGAATGAAAAAGTTTGATGTGGCACCGGTAGCTGGTCATCTCGAAGTTAATCAGTATGGGAAAGTGGTTGTAATTGGGTGAAAAAAAAAAGAAATGGAGAAACACTTGACAGCTTCTTCTATATCTTCATGAATTTACTTCACTTTGAGGAACCATAAACAACCTTACTATAAAAGGGTTAAAAAAGTTGCATCTAACAATAATTATGAAGTTAGGAGGAGAAAGATACTAGTGTGCCACGTGTTCAGCACCGACAGGCACACCTTGCCGTCTTTGTAAAGGTTCGGGTTGAATCTGACCGTGTGATGGCCGGTCGTCTCGAGGTTGATCAGCATCGAGGAGAGGGGGTAATCGGGCGGGAAGAACACGTTCAGCTCGAAACAGCCGTTCGCGTACGGTGTATCACAAGGACCTTAACCACGAAAAAAAAGAAATAGAACATGAACAGTTTTACCAGAGGAGGCGAATGAAAAAGTTTGATGTGACACCAGTAGCTGGTCATCTCGAAGTTAATCAGTATGGGGGGGGGGGTAATTGGGTGGAAAAAAACTCGTCCAGCTTGAAACAGTTGTTCGCATACGGAGGATCAGACAAGAGAAAAAAAAAGAAATGGAGAAGATAGGCGAAACACTTGACAGATTCTTCTATATCTTCGTGAATTTACTTCACTTTGAGGAACCATAAACAACCTTACTATAAAAGGGTTAAAAAAGTTGCATCTAACAATAATTATGAAATTGAGAGGAGAAAGATACTAGTGTGCCACGTGTTCAGCATCGACAGGCACACCTTGCCGTCGTTGTAAAGGTTCGGGTTGAATCTGACCGTGTGATGGCCGGTCGTCTCGAGGTTGATCAGCATCGGGGAGAGGGGGTAATCGGGCGGGAAGAACACGTCCAGCTCGAAACAGCCGTTCGCGTACGGTGTATCACAAGGACCTTAACCACGAAAAAAAAGAAATAGAACATGAACAGTTTTACCAGAGGAGGCGAATGAAAAAGTTTGATGTGACACCAGTAGCTGGTCATCTCGAAGTTAATCAGTATGGGGGGGGGGGGTAATTGGGTGGAAAAAAACTCGTCCAGCTTGAAACAGTTGTTCGCATACGGAAGATCAGACAAGAGAAAAAAAAAGAAATGGAGAAGATAGGAGAAACACTTGACAGATTCTTCTATATCTTCGTGAATTTACTTCACTTTGAGGAACCATAAACAACCTTACTATAAAAGGGTTAAAAAAGTTGCATCTAACAATAATTATGAAATTGAGAGGAGAAAGATACTAGTGTGCCACGTGTTCAGCATCGACAGGCACACCTTGCCGTCGTTGTAAAGGTTCGGGTTGAATCTGACCGTGTGATGGCCGGTCGTCTCGAGGTTGATCAGCATCGGGGAGAGGGGGTAATCGGGCGGGAAGAACACGTCCAGCTCGAAACAGCCGTTCGCGTACGGTGTATCACAAGGACCTTAACCACGAAAAAAAAGAAATAGAACATGAACAGTTTTACCAGAGGAGGCGAATGAAAAAGTTTGATGTGACACCAGTAGCTGGTCATCTCGAAGTTAATCAGTATGGGGGGGGGGGGGGTAATTGGGTGGAAAAAAACTCGTCCAGCTTGAAACAGTTGTTCGCATACGGAAGATCAGACAAGAGAAAAAAAAAGAAATGGAGAAGATAGGAGAAACACTTGACAGATTCTTCTATATCTTCGTGAATTTACTTCACTTTGAGGAACCATAAACAACCTTACTATAAAAGGGTTAAAAAAGTTGCATCTAACAATAATTATGAAATTGAGAGGAGAAAGATACTAGTGTGCCACGTGTTCAGCATCGACAGGCACACCTTGCCGTCGTTGTAAAGGTTCGGGTTGAATCTGACCGTGTGATGGCCGGTCGTCTCGAGGTTGATCAGCATCGGGGAGAGGGGGTAATCGGGCGGGAAGAACACGTTCAGCTCGAAACAGCCGTTCGCGTACGGTGTATCACAAGGACCTTAACCACGAAAAAAAAGAAATAGAACATGAACAGTTTTACCAGAGGAGGCGAATGAAAAAGTTTGATGTGACACCAGTAGCTGGTCATCTCGAAGTTAATCAGTATGGGGGGGGGGGGGTAATTGGGTGGAAAAAAACTCGTCCAGCTTGAAACAGTTGTTCGCGTACGGAAGATCAGACAAGAGATAAAAAAAGAAATGGAGAAGATAGGAGAAACACTTGACAGCTTCTTCTATATCTTCATGAATTTACTTCACTTTGAGGAACCATAAACAACCTTACTATAAAAGGGTTAAAAAAGTTGCATCTAACAATAATTATGAAGTTAGGAGGAGAAAGATACTAGTGTGCCACGTGTTCAGCACCGACAGGCACACCTTGCCGTCTTTGTAAAGGTTCGGGTTGAATCTGACCGTGTGATGGCCGGTCGTCTCGAGGTTGATCAGCATCGAGGAGAGGGGGTAATCGGGCGGGAAGAACACGTTCAGCTCGAAACAGCCGTTCGCGTACGGTGTATCACAAGGACCTTAACCACGAAAAAAAAGAAATAGAACATAAACAGTTTTACCAGAGGAGACGAATGAAAAAGTTTGATGTGACACCAGTAGCTGGTCATCTCGAAGTTAATCAGTATGGGGGGGGGGGGTAATTGGGTGGAAAAAAACTCGTCCAGCTTGAAACAGTTGTTCGCATACGGAAGATCAGACAAGAGAAAAAAAAAGAAATGGAGAAGATAGGAGAAACACTTGACAGATTCTTCTATATCTTCGTGAATTTACTTCACTTTGAGGAACCATAAACAACCTTACTATAAAAGGGTTAAAAAAGTTGCATCTAACAATAATTATGAAATTGAGAGGAGAAAGATACTAGTGTGCCACCCACGTGTTCAGCATCGACAGGCACACCTTGCCGTCGTTGTAAAGGTTCGGGTTGAATCTGACCGTGTGATGGCCGGTCGTCTCGAGGTTGATCAGCATCGGGGAGAGGGGGTAATCGGGCGGGAAGAACACGTCCAGCTCGAAACAGCCGTTCGCGTACGGTGTATCACAAGGACCTTAGCCACGAAAAAAACAAAAAAGAAATAGAACATGAACAGTTTTACTAGAGGCGAATGAAAAAGTTCGATGTGGCACCGGTAGCCGGTCATCTCGAAGTTAATCAGCATGGGCAAGTTGTTGTAATTGGTCGGAAAAAAACACGTCCAGCTTGAAACGGCCGTTCTTGTAAGGTGTATCTGAAGGACCTAAGCCACGAAAAAACAAAAACGAAATAGAACATGAACAGTTTTACTAGTGGCGAATGAAAAAGTTCGATGTGGCACCGGTAGCCGGTCGTCTAGAGGTTAATCAGCATGGGGGAGACGAAAAATAAAAGTAAATAGGAGACAATCTTGGAAGTTTCTCCATTTCTTCATTGTTTCACTGCACTTTGAGAAACCATGAACACTTCTACCAGAGATGAATGAAAACGTTTGATGTGGCACCGGTAGCCGGTCTTCACGAGGTTAATAATCATGGGGGAGACGAGAAAAAAAAGAGTAAATAGGAGAGGAACTTGAAAAGTTATTCTATTTATTCATTTCGTTACTGCACTTTGAGAAACCATGAACACATCAACTAGACGAGTGAAAAAGTTTGAAGTGGCACTGGTAGCCGGACTTCTTGAGGTTAATCAGCATGGGAGAAAGTAAATGGGGCAAAAAAAACACGTCCAGCTCGAAACAGCTGTTTGCGTTTGAAAGACCTCAGACACGAGAAAGAAAAAAAAAGAATAGGTAATAGAAAATAAAAACTCCATCTCTACTATTATAATGAAAATTTCACGCCTCATATTATAGTGACCAATGAAATGGAAACATTTTTCGAAATTTTCTCCTGCTGGAGAACCTTGGAAGGTATTTCGAAAGTGTAATAAACCTTTGGTATTACAGAAGAAATTTATATAGACTGCGGAACGTTATGAAAGAGAAGGAAGAATAACGAAATTCCGATTGTACTGAAATGATGAGTAAATACAATTCCTATACTAACAATATCAATAGTCACTTAAGAAATCACTTCAAAATCTATTGCTCAAATATAATTCTCCACCATTTTTAATAAGTTAAATAAACTGATTAGGAAAAAATATAAAATATATTAAACCTAGTTGCATAAATAACTGTATTCAGTTCTACGGAACTATAATAATTGAAAAACATTGATAGAGGTGGAACGAGAGCCTCAAGTTTTAGAACCATTCCCAAATCTCATTGTCAGATTGGTAACAGTGAATCACATGACACATTATGGACGCAAGCGCATTCCCTCTTTGAAAAACATAGAATTATAAACAAGACCCTCGGGGTCTCGAGAGGAAGGAGAAACATCCTTGAAAGCCTTAATCACTACATAAATGATCACAGTCGGCTGACACCATGCTATTAGTGGACCTGGATAAAACTCGCTGAGCAAACACGAATCTCAACATATCACGTAATGGGAACGGTTCGATAGATTTAGACACTTCTGAGGTGGAAAGATGTAATATACACCTTGGTAGTAAGGCATATCATCACCAGGAGACCTTATATTTCTCGGCTGAAACCTCTGATCTTGGTTCCTGGGTTATGATGATTTTCTTTACTACCATGATGCATCATAACCTAATGTTTCTTACCTGTGATGAGGACCTTCATGACGTCCAAGCGCGACGTATCATATCTTACAAAAACAGAACTACTATAACTTAAAGGTAAACTAGTGGATAATGTCACAGCCTCTTGCGCTATCCGCTTCACTCGGGTGGGATGCGATTGTTCGCTGGTCGTTTTCGCGTTGCTCTCGAAGTGATGAGACACCACGAACTTTATGCCGCCGTCTGGCAAATCGGATATCATCTCGTAGGAAGCTGAAAAAAACAAACAAACAATAAATATGGGAAAATTTTGTCCTGACCTTCATCAGAAGGACGGAAAGGTTCGAAAAGGACAACTAAAAGAGGGATGTGTAGATATGTGGAGAGCAGGGGTTGGCAAAAAGGGCCCATGGGGGCCTACTTGCCTGGCAACAGCCTCCCCACAATACTACTACTACTACTACTAACGATCAATTAGACCTCAATAGTTCACCACTGTTGAATTTGTTTCCTTAGAAGGTAATAATATTTATTTGCTATCAACCCTTTCAAGTTAATCCAACACCGTATTTTAATGTAGATATTGTGCCTAATTTCCGAAAATGACGGTTTATCGAACCTATCCGCAGGTAACTAATCCTTCAAGTTGGGAAAGTAGGATATATAAAAGTTAAGCAAGCCAACGTAGGTTTAGTTCATTGTACCAGTATATCACCTGTAGAATCTACTGTGTTAGCGAAACATGTTGTGTGCTATCGTTATCGTTTGTGAAATTTTTAAACTAATCGCATATATCAACAATATTGGGAAATACGCCAACATTAAACGAAGAGGACAATATATCTGCATCTCCCAGAGAGGCCGAGATCGTTACAGCGCATGTCACAATTGAATAAGGAAATTTTGAAATACTATAGCTGCAGTCACTCAATTTTAATTAAGGAAAACATGGATATGTGGATTTTACTGATCAATATCAAGAGCACTGAGGACTGAGATAGGTAATGATCTCATTTTCGAATGATATCACAAATTTCATGTCACGGTGTAGCATGGGCGCCGCCAGGAAAAAATGCAGGGGGGCGGATAGGAGAAAATGTTGAAAACATTCGTGAACCGTGAGTTCGACGTAAAAAAATATCAATTAAAAATCACAATTGGATTATAGGAAAAAGAAACAACGTTTTCATTATGAAAGTAAAAATTGCAGTCATATCATTTTTGCCAGATATATTAATTGTTCATCAGTAATTTTATTCTCTGCAGTTTCACTGTGGAAGGCATTATCTCGTTAGCCTCGATTCTCTACTGATTGATGGCAGCCATGTTTCAAGTCTTCTAACTATTGTTACTCTGTCTGTAGTGTTGGATTCGTCGATCCATCTTCAAAATTTCTAATTCTTATTACGAATGATCCAGACGTTCACGTTTGTTTGTTTACTTTCGATTTTTCGAATCTAAATATCAAAATATTATTTGTTTCACAAGCAACTCCCAAGTCTCGTTCATGTAGAAATACAGCTTCCAAGATTTCAGTGCATTTGCAATCAAATTGCAACTTCAACAGATATGCAATGTTCGACGTGACAAATAGCCAGGAAAGTAGTTGTTTCCTGCTCAATATTCAGAATGATGTTATGTTCATATACATTTATTTATCTCAACTTGAGAAGATTTTTTATTCAAATTCTTATCGTGTATGTTCAATAGATATAATTCAATGTTCGTCGTGGATAGCCAGGAAAGAAGTTGTTTAAACCGAGAAATAATTGACATTTTTATAACATAGGGAATGTATTCATAATTTATCTAAGAATATTCCTTTTCAAAAACTGTATTATTGCCTGAATAAAATAAACGATGACTTACAGAATTGCAAATTTTTCATTATCCTCAAATACTGTTCGTCCAGCGAGATCACCACCCTTTTATCAATGGAAGTCTCGCTGTCATAGGAACTGTCAGAATCCACCAGACCGCTGGTCACCCTCGATACTAGGTTGGCGGTATTCTGGATGTCCGGCATCAAAGTGGCGAGGCCCTCCCCTTGTTCCAAATCCTCCATTTGCTCGCCCAACTTGGATTTGGGTTTCGATTTATTGTTCAATCTGAAACAGAAATCTCCATACGGAAAACTATCCTCGACATTCACTCTTCTTCGCACGCCATGAATTTGATGTAATGTCACAATTGGCATCTCGGAAACTGTGAATGATACATGGTTCTGAAATCACTGTTTTTTTATCTCTTGGAAAAGGATAATTCTATAATTTTGCTGGTATGAAACCATGTACAGGGCTAGTTTTATTAATGTGAAACCCCCTTTATCTTTTTTACCTCATCTCTTGATGAAATCATCATAAATGAGAATACTTCAAATCAAAAATCCACAGCCCACTACCAAAATTTCATAAAAATTAAATGTTTTAGTGTTTTTTTAGCATTTCTCGGGATCCTATCTACAAAGTATTATATATCAATTAGAAGAAAAAAAAAACGAATTCAACAAAATAATGAAGTATAGGGTTCTATTGAAAAATATATAACTTCGCATCTCCAAAACCAAACCCCGAAAAAAATTTCGAGTGCGCCACTGGATTCTGCGCAAAATTGAATGAATCCATTCCAAAATAACTGCTCTATTAATATTGGAAATCAATGATTGGTTTGCAATTTCCGCAATGGGAATGGCCGCTTCCTGGCGGTATTGTGTACCTAGGTAGTTTCGCACGGTAAGCGGTTTTGCAAGTTTTACAGGAACTAAAGTCTACGAATTCAACTGATCTGAACGAAACTACACTGTACTGGATGTTTCAATTTGGAGTAGGTTAATTTATGGTTGAAGATCCTTGAAATGAACGAGGGGTTTGAGTGATGTTATTCCATATGTATTTGTACTTCTTGACAATATTGAAGATTTTTGAGATTCTTGAGAGATTATAGAAGATGGAGTTATTGTTGATAGATAAAACCCATATAAAATCGTATCAGCCTCTTCTGATTCTGAAGATACATGACAGAATGACACAACGAAATCCGTTTATCCATCAATGTGTTGTATATTCCATTGTTCAATCGTTCCAGCATCAATTCCATCAGAACAATTGGTGACGTAACGACGAAAAAGCGCATCTATCAGTGCGCACTTTCTTCTATAGAATGGAAAATACGCCCCTAGTATGGTTTGGAAGATACCAATACATTCCCATTAAAAAAGTGGCCACCCCATACATGTTTTCAGTCACATTCATCTTAATTATCTATTTGCGATTTTTTTGTTTGATCAGTCTCCTTAGTGCATTAGGATAATTTGTTTGTAATTTGTATTTTGTTTTGAATAAATGAGTAATTGTTTTTGCTAATAATTACTATATACCAGCAGCGGTTATGACTTCATCATTTTCGAATGAAAATATTCCGAAATGAATGATGCTCAAGTTCAAATGAAATTTGGACTAGGAAATCTAACCTCCGGAGAGTTCAAAGCTACTCTGTACAAAATAGTCTATAGATTTGAAAAGAGTTCATGAGATGTGTGAGCTTCCTTCTTTGGAAACATGACACTAGTTCTGAAAAGAGAGCAAGTTTGGATACTTTTCATGATAAAATATGATGAAAGATCATCCCCCCCTATTTGTTTCACAATTTATTTACAAACGGTATGATTCCTTGTAGAACCATCTTTCATATTCCGGCTGATTATACATTTTGAGAATTTCGAAGTATGTCCCATTGAATGTATTGATCTCTCAATCAACAGAAGTTGTCGAGAAAATTTTGAATAATTCTTCCTTCTACATTCGTTTTAATGGAATGAAAATGGTTGTGGTCATTGAGCAGACTCACCTCAGTTTAGAAGCGTACGTATCCACGCAAGTTTTCATGCTTCTCAACAAAGAACTCACTGACGGATCACGACTTTTGTTCTTCTGAGGCAGCAAAAGGCTGACCAACTGCGAGCTGACGGCTAGCGACCTCAGCAGCTGCAGTACCGCCTTGTAGAGAGGAATATGCCTCGCCATATCCAACACTGAAAACGAAATACCCACAAGGCATATTTAATCTTATGTAGAAGTCCATACTTTTCTCTCTGAAGTGTAGTGATGAAAGGGTCAGAAAACACAAAATCATCTTCACAATCGAAAGATTATTTAGAGGAACATGTTTCGAACAGTCATGTGTCCATCATCAGCCTTAATCCTCACAAACCAAAGGTTTAAAATCAATACATAACTAACGCTGTCGACGCTACTGTCGACTACTAACTGTTGACCACTGTAGTATGGATCAACAATATGTCATTCAGAGTGTTCAAATCAATGAAGCTCATTACCTAAAATGAATGGATACAGAAACAACGGCATGATGTATAGACATTCGATAAAATATCCGCACTTTGGCAACGTGGCCACGATGTTGGTAAACCTAAGCTCACCAAATATTTTTTTTTTATGTTCTGGTTCCCACGAAAAGGGATATCCTGTAATGTTCAGAGAACATTGTGAAAACTAAGGGAAATAAGGTAGGAATTGGTGTTCTTCTTAAATTTCTGGAGGTTATATGCCTCGGGGAACACTTCCCTTGGCAATGTGTTCCAGAGCCTCGCTGTTCGTTGGATGAACCAGTCTTTGGAAAGAGATGTTCTGCAGGTCTCCAAAGTGACCACGAAGGATTGCGAAGCCTCAACTCGACGGGTTAATCTCGCGGGGACTGCCAAGGGAGGAACAATTGTTGATATTTCAGAAGAGCATCGTCCATGAAAATATCTATAAAATAGAGCCAGATCGCCAACTTTTCTACGGTGTTCCAGAGAAGTCAGAGAGTTTGTGAGCGGGGCATCACCACGAGACGAATTGTTTTTTTTTTGACAGATTCCAACAGTTTCAGGGTATGTTTGGGTGCTGCACTCCAAATGTGGGAACAGTATTCCAGGATAGGTCGGATATGTGCCTTATATATCATGAGCAGCTGACTGGAAGTGAAATAGCTCCTGGCCCGAAACGGAAAACCAAGTTTTTGGGATGCACTTTTAGCAATAATTGATCTCACGTGATTTTCCCAAGAAAGGTTATTGCTGATAGTAATACCAAGCATCGAAATGGATGTCTTCAGAGGTATGGTTACTCCTGACATGCTTATGTTTGGCACAGTGAGATGGGCTTTTCTAGAGAAAAGGCATGCTTGTGGTTTGTTTGCCTTGAAATCTACCGAGTTATTGGATGCTCATTCGAGAATTGTTGCCAAGTCCATATTCATGTTGTCAACATCCCTCCCTCGTTCGTTCCTGATTTCCCTGGCTGGTATTGGGCCCTGGAAGAGAAGGCGGTATGGAGGGTCAGGGTACTATCATCCGCGAAGCTGTGTACTGGACATGAAGTTGCTTCCAACAAATCGTTGATATGGAGTAGAAATAGTGTTGGTGCTAGAATTGATCCTTGCGGAACACCAGCATTTATGATAAGAGTCAGAAGAAACTTCGTCAACCACTACATGGAGAGACCTGTTTGAGAGAAAACTAACTAGCAGAGAACATAGCTGGGGAGGCAAGCCATAAGATCGAAGTTTGGCGAGGAGTCCATGGTGCCAGACTCGATCGAATGCTTTGGAGATATCAAGTGCCACGGCTACGGTTTCACCATATTTCTCAATAGATTGCTGCCATATATGTGAGACGTAAGCGAGCAGGTCACCAGTTGATCTCTGATGACGGAAGCCATATTGCCTATCGTTGATGATACCTGAAGGTTCCAGGTATTTCATGAGCTCGATGTTGATAGCTTTCTCCATGATCTTTGAAATAATAGATAGCAGTGCGATCGGTCTGTAGTTTCTAGGTAGGATCTTTTTGCCTTTTTTAGGAACTGGTTGTACTCTTGTTATTTTCCAGTTGGACGGGAATATACCCAATTTGTAAGAGTAGTTGAACAACTTGCAGAGAACAGGTGTTAGTTCGGGAGCACATTTCTTGAGAACAATCGGTGGGATTTCTTCGGAACCATAAGCTTTGTTGGACCCAATAAAATCTTCCTTATAGTACGTTGGCGAAAAGTAATCTCGGGCATATGACTGTCAATTGGCGTTATGTTTGGAGGATGTTTTCCCGATGAATCCAGAATGGAATTTCCAGCAAATAAATGCGTAAAAATGTTGGCTTTCTCCTAGGCAGTTGTGGCTAGTGTTCCATCTTCCTTGGTTAGAGAAAGAACCGAGCTGGAAGTCAAGTTTCTTCGTACAGCTTTGGCGAAGGACCAAAATGAAGAGAATATATCAGGACATTCAACAAGTTTTGACGCATATACTCTCGTTCGGCCTATCTAGGGTTCCTTGTTGATCTGCGGAATGAACTTGAGAAAAAATAGGAAAAAAGTAGTAAATGCTTTACCCGAATCATTCCTTAGATAAGAACAGATAGCTGGCAGTAGGGCGCTCTGAGTGAGAAGCTCGTTGAAGGGCTGAGGTAGGACGTTTCCACACAGTTCATCTTCAGCCTCATCGTTGGGATTGATGTAACTGGCCAGAACTAGCAGCAGCACTGTGACGTGCTCCTCTTCGTTCCTCTGCTTCAACAGCGCCTGTTCGACGTTCCAACTTTGCTGAGTGGATCCAGTACCGAAACCTGTACCTAATAAAACCGAGAAAAATAATAAGACTGTAGGTTTATACTCATAAAACCGAACAATGGCCCTTTCCAGTCATTTCTAGAAAAAATATATCTAGAATTATATCGCTCTGGAATGATTTTTCCAGTTTTTTCTTCCATCAATTATTTGTATAATAAATTATTGAAAATGAACGAACGAATTCAAACGATCCTGCCATAGGAAAAAGAACAAATTTTGAATCCATCAATACTGAATTGCTTACTTGGTTGTATTTTTTATTGTTTATAGTACAAGCATCACTGCCTTCTTGTCAATAATGTTGAAAAATGAACAGTGAAGTTATGCAAAGAATGAGGTATTTTACCTTGGTAACATTGTTAGCGCCAGTTGCTTAGTTACAGTTGCAGTAACACTGTTTAATTTGTTGATTATAACAATTAGTCAATGAAATATTAACATCATAACTCAGACCAAACCATATGGAAAGTGTCTGTCAGATGCCTGCATCACATTGAATCCTAGCTACTCTTGAAACTATTGGGATATTTTGGAGTTCACAGTAAATTGAATGTGATCAGCAGTGAATTACCAATAAAATTGCAGACATATTTCAAAATTTAAAATTGCATCAAAAAAACACATGATTTTATAACGAAATGGATGAAATTGATACCTTGCCATCTACTGATTAGTCCCTGTTGCTATTTTTTATGATTTGATTGATCTAGCGTTTTTTAAAATTTCTTACTTCATAGTAATTTTAAATCATGGCATTCCTTCCACCATTCTGCACATAGGATCAATTCAAGGATTTCATAGAGACCTGGCAACAGCGGCGTGCTTCCCAGCCGTCACAAATTCGAATCAATTAAATGGCGAGGAGACACTGACATTACAGCTCAGTAGCGTTTGAATTCGCAGGTATTGACAAATCATTTTCAATATTGAATAATTCATTTGTTTTTCAATATTATCGATACATATGTGGTCAAAAAAACATTTTTGACTTCCCTTCCCAACATTATAGCGAAAAAGGGTAATTTTTTACGATACTGGAAAGGCCCATTCTCGACTAAACACACATATACCATTTGAGAAATAAAATAAATCCAATCGTAGGCATTTTATTCAAAATCCGAAATATCATTCCTGTAAAATACCTGAAGTGTATTCACTTTTACCTCATATATTCAAATTTACAATATTCAATTTCTATTTGGGGGAGCACAAACATTTCGCGCCTGAAACCACTAATGAAATTACGAAACTAATCAATTAGGTGCATTTTTCATCTAAATTTCCTAGAACCAACAGTAAATTTATAGAAACCTAGAAAATTTCTTAATCTGATTTTGTTATATGAACTCGAAATATGTTGTTTTATTCATTTTGTCAAGAATTAATTCAAAATATCAAACTTAGCTTTTAATGAAATCAATACAGTCCATACTTATGGGACTAGACAATTAAATTACTTGATAGCAAATACATTCAAGTCGAACATTTGCAAAAAATCTATATTTCATAATGGAATAATTTCATACAATTCATCACCAAATGAATTGAAAAACATACATGATGTAAGAAGATTTGAAGTCAATCTTGGTCAGTACAATTTGAGAAAAATATTTGACATGATTTGATTACTCAGAATTGAAATGTTAGAACTTTCATCTCAAGAAAAATATGAATTTGTTTCCACTGAGTGGAATTCATTAGCTAACCTTTTAATATTATTAATATTAATAAACAGATACGATTCTTGAGGTATTAAAATAAATCAAATCAATCAAATAATCAAGAGAACAAACTCAAAGTCTCGCTCCAAGTAAATTTTGATAGAATAATATGTGCGCTATATGTTTCGACTCCTAGGAGTCATCTTCAGGCTAAAATACAAAAAACTTATAAATAAAAGAAGTTCCATCACTATTGGAAAATGGGTGACATACCTTACTAGGTAGGAGGAGAAAGGAAACCATGAAATTGATAACATGGTTCGTAACGGTTTTAGGCCCCAAATAATTTTAAAAAACATTTTTGAATTTTGGTTTTTTGAACCCCCAGATAAACATTTTTCTTGAGATGCTTCTTTTTTTGTATCAAATAAACATAGTGTAAAGCAAATGCCGCGAGTATTGCGTAAATTTGATGAAATACCTTTAGCCCAGTAGAGTTGGGACCTATCCTCCTTATTCTTGTTATTCTGATCTTTGTCTCCGTTGTTGCCGGAATGGTGCGTGAATATGCTCAGACAAGCCAGCAAAAGGTGCACCACTCCGAAATTAATACTGATTCTCCTGAGCAGCCGTCCGTCATCAGTGCTGAGCGGAGTGGCGTCATACAATTTTTTCAACACCTCGAAAGGTAGCGTCGGTAACGAATCGGAAATGGGGGAATTGAAAATATCACCACCTTGAAAAAAATAATTAGGGTTCAATTAATGGCTGCTGAACTTGATATACAGAGTTGCCAATTTGAAAGCGGACCACCGTCATAGATTTTTTATTTATTGACCGATTTTGATGATTTTTTTTTTTGAAATGTGAAGGAGAGAAAGGCATATTTTGAGGCCAAGTGGTGTCTATTTTATTCAGAGAAAATCGGCATACGCCACTGGAATCGAAATTGATCTGTACCAAGTTTCATGAAAAAATATTCAACATCAACGATTCACTGACTAAATTACTCACAAGTTGTTTATCATGCATTGAGAAGCTTTTTATGTGGTAATATTTCTGATAGTAGGCTTCACAATTACAAAAAATCAGCGATAATTATCAGATTTATTCACGCCGAAATACAACAAACATAGAGATACTGAATCAGTGGCAGTTGATGCTATCACAATCCCTTGTAATAATATGTCCCAAACTTAATATGAAAATTGCAAATATAGTACTCTATCCACATATATAAAGTCGAATCAACTATTTGATAAATATTTGGGGATCTTGTCCAAAAAATAGTTTTAATAAAATATCAACATTATATAGGAATTCATTAAAAGTACTGTATTTTTTTCCATATGATACACCAACAACAGAACTGTATGCTTTAACAAAAACATATTCTTTAGAAGAACTGAACAGATTAGAGACTGAAAATTTCATATAATGTTATAAATAATAAATTGAAATCTAATATCATTTTGACAAGAAATTTTGAAATTCAGTCATCAAACTAGACAATATAACATATTTCACTTTGATGCTGCTAGTTCTACACTAGGACAAAAAAGATTCACTCATGCAGCCTTATCTGAGTTCAATAAACTACCAGATGAAATTAAGAACTGCAGAAATCTAGGTACGTTTAAAAAGAAAGTAAAAAAACTGATCATTTCTGAGTGGAATGTTTAAAATTTATCAGTAAGTTATGTCCTTGACTAGAATTCTTTTCTTTGGTCATTGATTGTTTTGTTGTATTGTGATTTATTGTGATAACCTGATTATTATTCATGTTCACTTCTAATCATGTTTAAGTAGTAGTCTATGGATATTTATTACTTATTATATTTTAATTATGTTCTTTCTCATACCAGAACTTGTTCTGACTGGAAGACATGTTTGATAAATAACTAAATAAATAAAAAAGTCACAGATGACCACAAATTAATGGAGTTTCCTCCCAGATCTCCCAACTTAAATTCCCTAAGGGCGTTTACTGAAGAAAAAGTTGAAAAATATATAGAATCTGAGATCAATGGGGAAAACCACTGATTTTTTAAAACGACATTATAGTGAACTCCTTACTGAAAAACTACCAGTGAATTAATTTTGAATTTTTTCATTCATTCTAAGACGATGAGAAAAATGAATTAGTATATGTCCATTTCAAAACACACAATTCCTCCGCCATTTGAAATTTCATCAATTCATTGGTGTGACTGGTGCGACGTCTTAGTCCCAACACGCCAATTGTCCTTGAACTGACCAATTACACTACAACACTGCAGAATGACGAGGTATCAGAGAGAGATAGCTACAGTTCGGGACTGATACGTCACGACTCCACCATCATATTTAGCTGTTTGAAATATCGAATGAAATATGCTGATTTCACAACGATATAGATTCGATTCCCTTCAATTTCAACTCATAATATTGATTGTACATAAAATGTAAATCATGATTCGTCGATTGAAAGAGGTTTGCACGGATTTCTTCCTTCAGTGGTCTTCCCCATTCATGTGTGTTAATTCTATATCATTTTAGAAGGATGTATTTATAGGAATATCATTATGAGAATGTCTATAATTCATATGTTACTGCATGGGTTACTACATGAAAAGCTTCTTAATGCATAATAAATAGTGATTTCATAGAATTGTAAAAGTTGAATATATTTTCATGAAATATGGTACAGATCCATTGCAGAAGAAGTCGATTCCAGTGGCATTCGCAGATTTAAAAAAAAATCGCTAATATGGATTCTGGATTCTCCAGCATCTAAATGTGATCTAGTAGGCCTTGGTTTTATAAAAAGTGGACACCGCTTAGCACCAAAATACTCATTTCCCGCCTCCATATTTAATAAGAAAGTTCGTCAAAATCACTACATAAATAAAAGATTTATGAAAGTGGCCCGCTTTCAAGTGGGCCACTCTGTATGTAAAGAGCTAATTTAATGAATCTCCCCTATCAACTTTCTTGTTTCTCAATGCGCCGTATATTTCGATTGATTTTAATTCTTCCATTTCTCCTAATTTCAAATATATTTTATGTGATTCAAAACCATCGAAATATACGGCACATTCTATTTAAAAATATTTTTGTATACCCTGTATATTTGAAGAGATATGCAACACTGCCACTATGATTGGAACCTATATGAAAAATAATTCTATGAAATCAGTTTCGAATTTTTTTTGAATAGGTGGAGAACAAAAAAGATAAAGAGAGGTTCACATTGATAAAACTAGCCCTGTACACTGTGTTACAATTTGGTCTACGCCCCCCCTGTACGTATTACTGTATTCTAATGGCGATTTGAGATTTTTTTTCTCATAATTATACTACTAGAAATCATTTACTTTGTCGAGCTATAAAAAATTTTCAATTACAATTTTTTTAGCCTACTGTGATCACATATACTCCACCAAAATTAAAGAAAACTGATTCGGCCTTTTTGTTTCAAACATTTTGATAATGGTAATCGATTCGGACTAGTCACAAATACTCCTATATCAATTCTCAAAACAATATCACTTATGTTCACTTTGTCTGTGTTTTGTTTAATTATGTTGACAGTTTTTGTGATCGCAGTAGGCTAAGAAATTGTGATTGATATTTTTTGGCTTAACAAAGTAGATACTTTTGAGATGTATATTATGAGAAACAAAATGTTCAAGATTTTGTTTCTCATAATATACATCTCAAAATTATCTACTTTGTTGAGCAAAAAAATAATTGGAAAGTACAGGGGGTGGGATGGACCAAATTATAGCACACTGTATATCTAGTTTATCTTACCTTCTCCGTCATCGGTGACACCTAGAATGAGCCGCAGCAGATACAGAGCCCTCTTCATATCTTTGAGCAGGACTTCTGCATAGCCCGGTAGCCTCAAGAAGAGCCCGAAAGCCGTTAGCGAGTGAGGAGGTACATGCGAGATGAGGACCGAAGACTTGGAAGGAGAGGTAGTCCCTATGGCATCTTCCATCATGTCTTCGTAAATATCGTCACACTCTGGAATGAAACGATTGTTGTTGATATTATGTTTTAAAAATTGGAACTGTATGGCATTTAAGGCCCAGCACTTAGCTGAATAAGATCATGCCTTTCGGAACGTGTCCTAAAAGTATTGATAGAGAGAAACGGAAACAAGTACTTTCACGACGAAGGTCAGTTGTCGGTGGGAGTACCCCAAGGAAGTGCAATGGGTCCTTTATTATTCGTCTTTTCTAATAATGATTTTGTCAATTTGAGAATATGGATGATTTCCACGAAATCTCACCTTCCACTTTGATCCATTCGGAATCGGACTGATCTGCCGTGGACTTTTCCTGCTGGGTCGGTCTGACGGCTTCCGGGTAGATGGTGGGCAGATGTTGAGCGAGCAAAGCCAAACCCCCCATGGAGCTGAACACTTGTAAGGCACTACAGATCGGAGGCGGTTGTTGGAACGTCGACGAAGTCATGTCGCAATTCGATTTATCTTCGTTACCTTGAAAAAATAGATTGTTACAACAGGCGAGAACAATGCGAATAGACAGAGAATTCTGGTGGCTATAGAAATCTCACGAGTGGACTTAGTACACGAGTGGACTTAGTACACGAGTGGGATTGACCTAACGTTGGGCGCCAAAAAGCAATAAACAGGCGTTCTACTCACCTTTATACTGGTAGATTTTCAGATGTACATAAGGCCAATTGACGGTAGCCGCTTAAGACTACAGATTATTTCCCACTATTATATGAAATTACTTCTGACCAAAATCAACGAGAAAATATTATACCATTCAATATTTGTTTTCACTGACACCATAAAATAAATGATTTCAAGCCAGAAGTTTGTAAATTGTTCTCTCTCCGATAAGTAACGCTTTGATAATCCGAAACTTCTTCCTCTTTCCACAATTTTGTACTTTCCTATAGAGAACGCAGTACCTTATGCCTGTTTCGAATCGAAATAACGTTGGGCGCCAAAAAGCAACAAACAGCCGTCCTACTCACTTTTGCACTGGTAGATTTTCAGATGTACGTAAGGCCAATCGACGGCAGCCCCTCTAGTCTCGATCAGCCGCAACAGCTGCCCCAGATTCACCGTCAGCGGCAGCGGCTGATCCGAGAAGGCCTCGCACTTGATCACCCTGCCTTCCAACATGTCGCCCGTCCCCGCTGACTCGGACGCGTACCGCTTCTTCTTGCTCTGCGGCGTCGCGGCGTACAACTGATTCTTGGCGTCCTTGGCACGCTTGTCTTTGGCCGTCACCCCGGCGGCCATGCTCATCTCTTGCTCGTCGGCGGCGAACCAGGACTTGAAGATGTCCTTCTTGGCGGACGTGGTTGCCTTCTTGTTCAGCACCTGTAGCATATTTTTGATCGTTTTCTTCGTATGATTTTTAAACCAAACAGAGCGTTCAATTGAGCCAAGCTACCTTGTATAATGGGGTTGTACACACTAGTCGAATTTACGCCACAAACCTATCTCATACTGATCATTCCGTGTATGAATACAATCATTAGTTAATTAAAATAATCGAAAATATATTTTTTTCAATAGCGAAATGCGGCACCTACGAAAAACCCAAGCTTCGATGACACGTCATGAACCGAACCGAAAGTTATCGTTATCTGAATTCTGGCTTTCGCATAAAAACTAGTAATCACCTCATGAGATACAATATGACGAATGACAACAGAATTCCAATCACATAATTCATCGATTGATTATAGAGGATTACCTTGTTGCATGTTTTCAAAGCGAACAAGTTTTATTCCAATAGCAAAGCTCTTCACTGATCAATATGTTAAAGTGAAATCAAGTAGCAATTTCATATACTTCATAATATAATGTTAATAGGGGACTTTGCTCCAAATTGCTAACCTAAAAACCTCTACCACTGTAGAAGCAATTTTATGGAAGTATGATTACTGAAATAACTTTATTTGGTAAAATCTGATTGTAGGAGTCAACTCAGATTTCTAATGAAAGTTATTCAGAAGAAAAATTTGTTTTTGTGAACTTTCATCTGACTGGTTGAAAACCATGTTGGTGCATCTGCGGTACGTCAATACTGAAATGTCAATACTTTCAATTGTGTCAGTAGTGTCACCAGTAAAAATGATCAGTGGGTTTGAATCACGTCCGAACTTCGAATAATGATCAAGAAACTCTTGTGAGAAACGTGTAAAACTGGATGTGAGGGTTCCAATGTTATCTGGGTCTGGGGCTACTCTTGACTCGTCGTAATGATAATCAACATAACTAAGTTCTTTATATTTTTATTGTTGTTCATTTATATTTCCTCACTATCCATAATATCTCATGCTATAATAAGTATTGTGATGTTAGAATAGTCTTTCAGCTACCCATAAACTTTCTGTGTCCCGACATTTGTGATATGTATCTCTATTATTGGAAACTTTGACCATTTTTTATCCAAGGTGAGCAGTGCATAAGCTTCAAGCTTCAACACTTATTACATGGGTATGTTAGTGTTTTTATTTATGATATCGAATGTGATTTATTCGTTTCCACACTGTTATGCTTTTATCCACTTGAAGACACTTTCTTGGGTTACTTTTCATATTAGGAAAAGGTCGAAACTTCATTATTTTATTCTTACGAAGTCATGTCAGGCCGATTTTTAGCAGTCAAATGAAATTTATTCCTACTCCCTACTGCAACGATCAAACTCCTTTACCAAATAATAATAAATAATAGTGTTGTCCATGAATAAAATAATCTCAAATATGTAACAAAAATGTGACAAGTAATAAAAATGACGACGATAGGACATATTTCAGAATGAAAGCAGGTGCATTAACATAATTTTCAACTAATCAGAACCGGAATTCCCAATATCTATTTTGCTCATGAAAAACTTCTATTACTGAGCTGAGTAGATTCCAACAATCAGATTTCATCAAAATGAAGCCATTTGAGTAATAAATCTTCCATATAGTTGCTTCTACATTACAGGCACAAGTAAAACCAGGTACCCCCTCAGGAGAGATTGAAAAGAACATCAAATAAAGTTAATATGCTGCCCGAACAATTTTGGAACTTAGCACTTAGACTCTTCAAACAGAAACTGCACAATATTCTAACAGAAAATAGTCTATATAATAAAGGGGGTAATGAAGAAAATGGGGGTTTTCATTAGCAGCTAACCAATTTTAAGAATTTTAATGTGTAACTGTTTTATTATTGTGTTATTATACATGTAGTCTTGGTATTTTACACGTTCTATGTACCTACTTGTTTATTCCATAAAAATAATGTTGATCCAAGAATTGAATTTTGTGTAAATTTTGGATGTCTAACGTTAGATTTGACTGTTCCTATACAAAAATTGTTGTGTCATATGAGGAAATAAAGTATTATTATTAGATTATTATCATTATAGACGTTTTTAGGCTGACAACTTGGAGTGAAGCCCTCCATTAAAATTTCTACGCACCATTTCCGACTTGTAGGACGTGTTGAAGAATATGTGCTGCTCGAGTATCTCCAGCAACGTCGTGTTGGTGCCGAGGCACAGCATCGCTCGGTTGTAGGTCTGCTTGAAGGCCGGATGCGTGGGGAAATACGCCTGCGCCAGCTTCGTGCTTTTGTACAGCGTCTCGTCGGCCTCGATGCTCACGGGGATCTTCTCGTTCTCCAGCAACAGCTGCAATATCAACCGCCTCATGAAACCCGATATGCCGTTCGACTGCAAATAGATGACGTCGCAGAGCACTTTGGCCAGTCTGGCCTGGTTCGGCGCGTGGCAGAGGCAGCACTTCGACAGAAACTTCACGCAAACCTCCTCCAAGTGCACGTGAGCCTCAGTTTGCAGGTTGGAACTTTGCGTGGTGGGTTTTTTGCACAGCCACTGCAGTAGGTGCAGCCAAAAGGAGGACCCGTCCTCGGAACCCAACCAATCTCGCATGGTTTTTTCGTCGCACACGTCGGTGAAGAACTGCAAGATGCTAGTGACGTTTTCTAATCGCGCCATCGGTACAGTCGCCTCGCTGTCCGAGCTGCAGAACTCAAAGATGGCGCTGTTTAAGAGCCTCGGTAAGCCCGAGTCCAACAACTGCTGTATAGCGCTAGGAGACCTGCTGACCAATGCTATCGTCTCCAGCTGTTCTCTGGTCAAATTCAATTCTGACAGCTCCCCGATGACGAGGTAATTGTACCACTCAGAATTCTGCTTAGAATCATCCGTCATGCTTTCGGAATCCTTCCTATCGTCACTGATCGAGGCCTGGTTTCCCGCAGACGAACCACGCACCAAGACGCCGATTTTTTGCAGCAACAAAGAGTACAGCTCTGACCTGATGTAGCATACGGAACACATCAACGAGTCTAGCGCGTATTTCAAGCTGAGGCTGCATTCCACTTGCGTTTTGAGATTGTAAATGGCGTCGAAGATCTCCATGGTGACGAGAGATCGTAAGTTGTACTGGACTTGGGACTGTTTCGCCGACCATAGGATGGAGGCTATGCTCGACACATATGCTGGGTTGCAGTTGTCCGTGTTGCCTGTTGCTATAGCTTGATTCGCCGTCATTTCCAACCAGTCTAACAGTATTTTAACTCGGTATGAAGTGTGCAAGTCCTGAAAAAAATGCATCGATTGATATTTTTGAGGAAATAATGAAATTTTTCTATGGTATCCCTTACCTGATGCTCACAGATCTGGAACAGCAGCTCGCAAGCCGACTGATACCCTGAGACGTTGATCAGCCTGTCTTGCCAGTTCGAGTCCAACACCATCAGCGGTTCTATAACCCCCGAGCGACTGTCCAAGAGCACTCGCATCGTGTGAAATCCGTTTTCTGGACTGTATAAAGCTAACTCTCTCAGCACCTTCTCCAAACACGGCAAATATACCGGCAAAATATGGGATGGCACCAACAAAAGACCTATGGTGATTAGTTATATTAGGTATAATCCTTCGTATATAATGATTCGATAGACTGACATCGATGTGTCATTTTTATAATATGAATCTGGGTCCAATATTGATCCAACAAAAGCAAAATATCGAGAAGTTAAAATGAGGTAATGTCTATTTGAATAAAGGTGTTTCAATAGGCTGTATGTTCATTGGATGATAGTATTGACATGATAAACAAATCTCAGATTATAATCAATGTGAAGTCCTAGACATTTTACCTTTTCGGTATACTCTACTGTGTGTCCATTCACTTGTAAATGAATATTATCTATGGCCCTTTGACGATCTTTAGACTTTCCAAACACTATTATTGATGATTTATTAGGGTTCAAATTGAGACAATGATCTTTCGAGATTTTAACCAATTTTTTTATGTCAGAATTCAGGCCGGTTTCATTGAGTATAAGATGATCCACTTTACCAGAGTAATATAGATTAGTGTCGTCAGCATATGTGTGCATTGTATATTTCGAGAACTTGAGAGAAGTCAGAGGTAGAAATAATGAAGAGTAAAGGAGCAAGGATCGAACCTTGAGGGGCCCCGTTTGACACATTTCGTTCGTTAGATTGTTTACTTTTGATTTCTACACATTGAGATCTGTTACTTATGAAATTACACGTGTTTCTGTCGAATCCATAATAATGGAATTTAGCGCACATTAAGCTATGGTTCATGGTGTCGAAGGCTTTGCTGTAGTCGAGGGATAAGAAGATAGTTGCTTCTTCTTTATCAGTTGCAGAGAAAATATCTTCTGTGATTTTCAATAGAGCACTAGTTGTACCATAGTTACGTCTGAAGCCAGATTGATGAGGTGGCAGAATATCATTGTTGGAAACATAAGAGTATATTTGAGCGTATGCTGCTTTCTCAGTAATTTTTGACATAGCTGGAAGAATATTTATTGGTCTCAAGTCATTGACGGTTATTGACTTAGAAATTTTATTTAAGGGATAAACTAAAGCTTTCAGAAAAGTGCTTGTTTGTAGGTTTCTAGACATTTATTAACTATGTACGTTAAAATTGGACTAAGATGTGGTATACACAGTTTAATCATTTTGATCGATATTTTATCGGATCCTGTTGCATTTAATTTTATAGAGTTTACTATCGTATTCAGCTCCTCAATCGTGATTTGATGAAAACTGAAAATACGATCATCCTGGAGGCGGGAATTATTATAAAAATTAAGGGTGAAATTTGGTGGATCTGTCGCTACTTGATTAACCGAAGTAATGAAATGATTATTTATTTCATCTGGATCACAGAGATGTTCTGGAACATCCTTTCTGTCTTTTCGTATGACAATATCAAATAAATGTAGTGTGTCCCATAGTTCTTTGTTATTTTGCTGATTCTTGACATAATTCAAATAGCCCTTTTTTTCGTTACGTATGGCAGTGGTTACAGTATTCCTCAGATGTTTATAGGTATTCCAGTCTTCGTTAGATTTGCTTTTTCTAAATTTTGCGAGCGATGCATTCTTCGTTTTTATGATTAATTTCAAAACATCGGTTAACCAAGGAGCTTTTGATTTATTTATTCTTACAGTTATAAGTGGGGCATGGACATCAAAAACGTCCAGTAGATAGGTGTTGAATGTTGTTGTTATTTGATTTTATTCAGAATACTCTGTAGTTTGATATTTTTTAAATCCCCTTGTATTTGATGCGATTTTTGGCAGTTATCAATAAAGTGACATTTTTGGAAAAAATCAGTCAGACTATTCATCAGTAATATATTCAAGAAATAGACGAGTTTCTCGACGAATAACTACTGAACATTTATGGTCCTTCGAGCCGGATCTGAACCTGCGACCTATGGATCTACAGTCCACTGCTCTACCAACTGAGAGACATGTGAACATTACCCCATATCTCTTTTCTACTCGTCGTCCTATATTCACTCTGAAAGGTCCGAAATAATCCATACGTAAAGGATCGATTAGGTCGTTTCAGTCGAAATTCGGGTAGTTGTCCCATTTCTGGAACTGACGGTTTAGCACTTTTCTTAATGCATGAAACACATTGTCGAATTTTGATAGAGTAATTCGACAATGTGTTTCATGCATTAAGAAAAGTGCTAAACCGTCAGTTCCAGAAATGGGACAACTACCCGAATTTCGACTGAAACGACCTAATCGAGCCTTTACGTATGTGGGAATGGATTATTTCGGACCTTTCAGAGTGAATATAGGACGACGAGTAGAAAAGAGATATGGGGTAATGTTCACATGTCTCTCAGTAAGAGCGATTCATTTAGAATTGGCTGAATCATTGACAACGGATTCATGTATTTTGGCACCAAGACGATTTATATCTAGACGTGGAGAACCGGAAGTCATTTGGAGCGATAATGGGACCAACATGAAAGCAGCGGGAAAAGAATTGAAACAAGCTCTGAAAGAAATAGACTCGAAATTGATACAGAATGAGATGGTAGCTAAACAAATTTCATGGAAATTTATTTGTCCTGCTAGCCCTCACATGGGTGGAGCGTGGGAGAGAATGATACGGTCTGTAAAAGAAGCATTGAAAATTACGTTGAGAGAAAGAAACACAAGACAAGAAGTCCTTACAACGTTATTGGCCGAAGCTGAGAATATTGTTAATAGTCGACCTTTAACATATGTTTCTAACAATGCAGAAGATATTGAAAGTATCACCCCCAACCACTTTTTGATCGGAACCTCAAGTGCTTCAAAATCGCCAGGTTCATTTGAAAATCGTAGAATAGACATCACAAAGAAGTGGAGATATGCACAAAAATTAGCGCATCATTTTTGGCACCGGTGGTTTCGTGAATACCTACCCACTTTAACAAAGCGAACGAAATGGTATAGAGATGGTCATCCTTTGAATATAGGAGATTTGGTACTAATTTGTGACAACAGAATGCCAAGAAACAATTGGCCTATGGGAAAAATCATTGCTACATACCCCGGTGCAGACAATAAAGTGCGAGTAGCAGACGTGAAAACTCAAACTGGGGTTTACCGAAGACCGGCCACGAAATTATGTCAACTTTCTATGTTGGAAGAGGTCGAAGACTTTTCTTAGGGGGAAGAATGTTGTTATTTGATTTTATTCAGAATACTCTGTAGTTTGATGTTTTTGATATCCCTTTGTATTTGATGCGATTTTTGGCAGTCATCAATAAAGTGACATTTTTGGAAAAAGTCAGTCAGACCAAGGTTGGTAGAACTGATGACTATTTTGTAGAGGAAGGTTGCCTCGATCGCACCCCGCGAGTGACCTTGAGTAACTCATGACGTAATAGGCCCTTTCTTTTGCACGAAAAGTGTAGCACTCTCGTACACTTCGTGTATGACACGTACGCCGGCGATTGGCCGGCGCATGTATTGAGTTGACAGTTGTCAGTATTTTCGAATATTTGAACCATTTTGAACTTAAAAATGTAAAAATGATAATTTGTTCGGTCACTTCTTGTTAAAATTCGTACAAGTGTAATGAGACTAGTGAATTTAGTTTGTGTTTCCATTAATTTCCATAAGATGAGTCTATTCGTGAGAAATATGGATTCAATTTTGTGGACGTGATTTTAATTCATTTAATACCAAAACTTGGCGAATATGTTCTGCCCATTTCGATGCCGAGGATTTTGAACGGCACAAGCAGAATTGCTAAATCACACACCAAAGAGATGAAAACTCAAGGTAGGAATCCCATCAATAATACCAAATACAACAAGAGAAACACCATAAGTATTCAAGTTTGGAAAAATGATCAGAACCAGACCAGTTGTGAATGTTGAGATTCTTGCTGAACGGGTAAAATGGACATCAGAAGATATCACACGTGTTTTCAAGTTGAGATATTTGAGCAAGAGTACGTTACCCAACGGAGAGGAGCTATGTTTATTTGAGAGATTCCTTGAACTATCCTTCATTTTAGGTTCACTTATAATAGTAGTGTTATTTTTCATTAATTTTGTTCAGAATCATATTTTGTTATTTTTTTATGCACAAATACTTCTATCAATTGCTCTGTTTTTGACTACAATATAATCAAACAATGAAATACTATTTCCTCTTGTATTTTCTATAGGTATCTAGGAAAGTTTGTCAATTTTTCAGAATACAGAGTTATATTGATAAAATAAGTGATCTATTGTGTAGGAATATTGGTCCACTGCTACTACTTCTGGATCATCAGTTGATTATTCTTATATTTTCTGTAGTTTCTTGTTCACATTATCTGATTTGCAGGATATTTATAGGATGAGTAGGTTCATAATCAATGCATAGGTAATCACTAGCTCCATAATTATGCTCCATACCTCAAAACACACATACCTGGTACCACGACCTGGTAAATAGCCCCTGGAACAAAATTTCAGATAGGTATTCCTCTCTGTACTACTGATCCATCCAAAATTGCCTTCTCATTTTCAAGATTGAAGGTATTATACAGAAGTATATGTAAATAACCATATTTTATAATGGTACTTACTTATAAATATATACAATAAATTAATATAAATATGCTGAGAAGACCAAAAAGTTTGTATCATGTTTGTATACTCTATTTGGTAAACATTTCATGACATGTCGCTTTAAGGTTGACAACTTGTCGTCTTACTGCCTGTGACGTCACGAGTGACCGTTTCCCCCCTTGCCGCACTATCGATCGAGGCAACCTTCCTATACAAATTATAATCAGTTCTACCAACCTTGAGTCAGACTATTCATCAGTAATATATTCAAGAAATAGACGAGTTTCTCGATGAATAACTACTGAACAAATGTTGATATTATTTCGTCTACATCTTCTAGGAGTTCGATATCGTACCAGGGCATCATCATGAGATCTTGCATGAAACTTTCATAGTTAAAATATTTAAAATCTCTAAAAGTACGGCATATCCCTATATAAACTATAATGTTTCTTGGGATTTATAAATAAAGAAATCATCATATTATCCACTCACCGCAACAAGTCGTAAGCAGATCGGGTACCCGCGAAGCCCCCTCCACCATCCTCCGCCTCAACCCCTCCTCCGTCGCCGAACCGAAACAATGGTGCATCAGCCGCAGCCAGCCGAGACTGTGCCGGCAGTGCGCCTCGTCCTCGGCGTCGACGCTCTGCGCCGTGCCGCCGCCGAACGCGTAGCTGCCCAGCAGCCGCACCTGCAGCAGCCCGATGCTGTTCGCGTCCCTCGGCTTGTAGAGGCGAATGAGCACGCAGTCGGCCACCCGCGGGACGGGCAGGTGCAGCCGGATGTAGGTGAGACCGCTGGTGGGCAGCGGGAGACAGGCAGGGGTCAGTCTGGACGGACCGTACGCCGATACCTAATAATAGGTAGTCAAATATAGAGTCTTATACAGTATGATGCAAATGTATGGAATAAATTCATTATTTCAGAAATGGGCGACATTTGAAGAAATTCCAAAAACACGTGAGTTTTAATTTTTGAAACCTCATCTCATGACATTCATATAAGAGATGTAACGTCACCGGTGTTGGAGTAATGACGTAATGGACGGTTTTTTAAAATACAAACAGGGGTCATGTGACACCTCGTTTGAAAGGTCTACTGATCGTCTATCCAATAGTCAAAATTTTGCAAAAGAAGATTGAAATTGAAATGGATTATCATTTGGTTAACTGAATCTTGCAGAGATCTTCTACTGAGAATTGAACATCGAAGGGTCGTCTAGTTGAAAAAATACATGGATAAAAAATTTCTGAACTCTACTTTTTGGATTTTTTTCGGAAGTCGTCTTGTTTTGAAATAAATTTATTCCATACATTTGCCTCATACTGTATACAGTTCTCAACACACTAAATGGACCACTCTTAATTTGACTCTATTTCAAAGACCTGTATTTTTTGAAAAAATAGACCGATCTTCATGCGGTTTTCGATATTAGATGAAATGTTTCATCGTCTTCAAAGAGAGCTAGAACACTCTGAAAAAGTCCGCAGAACAAAACGTACACAGGGTGTAAAGTGGAACCATTACACTATGGTCTACATTAGAGTCCCTGTATATACTTTAGACAAGAGTCCGGACACAACTATACTTCTGTCCTTTTCTGTTTTCAAAAAATGCATTGATGATTGAATAAAGGAATAAGACATACAATTCCCCTAGTATCAATGATTGTCAGAAACAATTTTGAGGGTTAGATTATTTGTCAAACCGTTCATAGCCGTAGGTAGAAGTGAGAAATATGGCTATTTTAACTAGAATAACTATTAGATTTACAAATAATGAACAACAGGGTGTTCAAATTTCAAATCGATAATTTTTGTAATCAATTCCTGAGATGGCTATTGCAAATTTTCGTCATCAGATATTTCTTTTCTTCATTAGATATAAGAAAGATAATTTAAGTGTTCTACGTGGTATCACATATAGCCAAGAAAATATAGTTGTTTTTTTGGGATATAAAAAAATAGAAGATATATAATTGTTTCAATATAATTTTAATGGTGTCACCAGTATATTTTTTAATTTGATCTGAATTAAAAACACCGTGCTGGACTGATGATATAGCACATTGCAATTTCCCTAAATCTTCTAGTTTTGATTTCAAACTTTCAATTCCTCTCCGCATCATCTCATTCTCATTTTCTTTCTCTGCGATCGTATTATTCAGTAATTCCCAATACGATGACGACGGAACTCTTTTTTTGAAGAGATTGACGGCACAGCAGACTCTTTCAATTTGAAATCCATCAGCTTGAAAGAATCTCTATCAAAATGGGCCTAAAATTCATCTTTTTTGTACTGTTTTCACAAGTGAATTCGAATATTTACCTCACATATTCCGGATTTCTTGAAATTAATTTTCCATTCTGGACGTTTCATTGCATTCCTCCATGACATCATCTTTAAAGGATCATTCGGAAAATTGAATAACTCGAATCTCTTTTATTCGAAAGTCTTGCATTTCTTGAAATTGTTCTTTAGAACTTCACTTGAGGTCTTCGAAATAGAGTCAAATTATGAGTGGCCCATTTAGTGTGTTGAGAACTGTATTTGGAAACATGAATCTACGATTTCTTCGGAATTTCACCAAAATCGGACCAGAATTGAAAAAGTTACAGAGCAAAAAATTTTGCAAAATTATTTGGTGGCCGGTTTTTCTTGCCGGTGAGTGTAGTATCACTCAAGAAAAAGTTCTCAACCGCCATCAACCTCTCACCTCCAAAGCGACGAAGGACGGACACGTAGACAGCCCGCCGGCGTGCGGCTGCAGCTGCACCTCCTTCAGCAGCACGGCGCTCGGCAGCCGCAGCATTAGCTCCGTGTGGTTTTCCTCGGGGTAGAAGTGGTACGACCACAACGGCGTCCGCGCCCTGCGATGCGTCACCCCGGACACGAACTGAATGAGCCCGTCGGCCGGCTGGGCGGTGCTCGATTCGCACGAGATCGTGCAGTACGGGGCGAAGTTGATCAGCGACATCTTGTTCTCCATGGAGGCCTAAGAGGTGATATTTACTTCTATTCAATTTTATCAGTATTATTTTCCTAGTTATACATTTTCATGGAAATGTCATGGTGAATAGTATTGGAAACACTGTCCGAATGTCACTTGCCGGCCATAGGCAGTAAATTTTGTAGTTTTCATAATGATACAACAATAATCTATACTTCAAAAGATTTTAACGATATCAATAATGATATTAAAAATTATTTGAAACAGATATCTTGGCTGACGACCAATAAGTTGACTCTCAATCATAGTAAATCTACGTATATGTACATCTCAAGAACAACGGACATATTGAATAATACCCCAATATGTTTCAATAACAAATCCATTGAATATACAAATGTAACAAAATTTTTAGGTCTTTATATTGATGAACAATTATCGTGGACTCTACATATAGATCAAGTGAGGAAAAAATTGAATCCTATTGCTGGTATTATATATAAAATTCGAAATTTCATTCCTGTTCGATACCTAAAGAGTATTTATTTCTGTCTCTTTTATTCAAATTTACAATATCTTATATCTATTTGGGGAAGTACAAATATTTCACGTTTGAGGCAACTCATGAAATTACAAAATAAAACAATAAAGAGCATTTTCAATTTACCCTTTTTAGAGTCAACTGTGAATCTATACAAACCTGAAGACTTGCTGAATCTAGTTTCATTATTCGGATTTTAACCTTCATTATTGCGCGCTGTCATTCTGTCAAAAATGTTTTTTTTTTGACGCCAAGTTTGATGTGTCAAAATATTAATTTTGCCAGAACGACTCGGAAGATATGATTCTACCATATTCGGTTGTATAAACGAATAATCATATGATAATCAGTCACATAATTGAATGAACAATTGTTATAACCTTCGATTCTACTACCAAATATTCACACTTGATGATCACGTGATATATGCCGTCAGATGGCACATTGCTTAGCATTATAAACAAATATGTTTCTTGGGGTAATAAAGAACAACAACATATAAACTCAAAATTTGTTGTTTTATTTATTTTGTCGGGAAGGAATTGAAAATATCGAATTTCGATTTTAATGAAGTTAATACGATTCACGCCCATGAAACAAGGCAATTCAATTTATTGATAGCAAATAATTATGAGTCAAATTTTGGTAAACAATCAATATTCCATAATGGAATAATTTTATTCCTCTTAATCCTCCTTTAACTCCTTGCCTATTGAGTTGAAAAATATAGAAGAAGCAGAAAAATTTGAGATCAAATTAAAGAAAAATCTGCTCAGTAAACTTTAATTCCATATCTGCTTATCATTCACAATTTGATTACTTGTAATGGATTATAATATTTTCATTTTATATTTCATTATAATTCTATTATGAAAAACAATAATTGTGCAATTATTATTGTTCCGATTCATTATGTTATATGTATGTTTTGTTATATATATCCCTATTATAAACAATAATGTTTCTTGGGGTAATAAAGACAATCAAATTGATCTGTTGTCGATGTGCAATGTTGTTGAAAGACAGCGACCAGTGGGAAGTCCCCCAAATATAGTTTCTGAATGGAGGTTATGTTATATTTACCGAATATTCTCTTATTTTTGAAAGTAAAGTAATTTCAACGTTTCTTATGAGGAGATGCCAAATAATTGTTGTGTGATAGGGTGTAAGTCAAATTGTGCGTCGGAAATGCAGTATATATCTCTCGAATTTTACACTTTCTGAAGATGAAGAACTGCAGAAAAAGTAGATATCTGCCATACATCTCAACATTCTACAGTGTCTGTGTTCATACCGTTGAAACAGATATTATTAGACTTGCAAGTCTCTGATTATTTAGATGATGAAATGAAAATAACAAATATCTAGACCTTACATTAGGTGGGCACTCCGAAGGCGCAAATTCATTACCGCATGTGAAATACCCTTAAAATTTACAGCTATTCAATGACTTGAACACGAATGACATTCCAGCCATTTTGAGGTATAATTTCGCCACTCTATATAATCGTGGCATATAACCAGGAAAGTAGTTGTTGTTCTCTCGCTATCTACCATTTTCTTTCATTTCATGAACTATTGCGGTAATGACTTTGAGTTTCTCTCTTTTTGTGACCATTGCATTCCACTTTGAGTATTTGCCTTTTTCCTAGTTGATCATAACTTTATTTAAAAGTAGAAACCGTTATTTCAGTCAGTACCTGGAGGATCTTCTTCGAAGAGGTGTTGGTGGTGGTGGGTATGGCCGAGCTGGGGTCAGGCGGAGCAGTGGCGGTGCCACTGAAGTGCTGCATCACCGTGGAGATGGTGCCGGTTTTGGACAACGTGCTCGGCGAATTGCTGCTGGTCACTATGCTCGCACCCAACACGGTTATACCATCTGGAAATCGTCGAAAATAGCAATATTCTTTTTACCTTGTTACATTCTCACTACTGAGATCAATTGAGTTAGAAGGAGGTGAGACGGATCTGAGTTGCCGATTGAATAAAAAGAACACGTTTTTATCTGTCAGGAAGGGCAAGGGAAGAAAACATAACCCAATATAATTCAACCAAAACGTAAAATGGCTGAGGAAATTAATGAGGAGCTATGGGTTGAGTGCAAGAACTGTCAGATGACCGACATTGGAGGCAAAACATTGAAACACAATGTCACTTTTCTTATTTGTTTACAAGTGATCGAAATAGTTTTTCACAATTATTTTGACATACGAATCGTATTTTTCCGCTATTCATCAATTCGCTCATGCCATCACATTGTGCTGTTGTAAAATGCACAAAAACTGCAGCGGAAGATGAAGGAATCCGAATGGTACATTATGATTTAAAAGTAAGTACCTACTATAGTCACTCACCTATAGTTTTCATTTTTGAAATTTGGTAATTTCTCTGATTTCTCATCGGAATTCCTTCTGCGATAGGAGCTAATAGAAATACACCTGAAATTTCTAAAATAATGCAAGAAGATTGGATTCATGCAATCAATCGGGAGGACTGGTCTGACATGCTGACGATCGTGTGTGTTGTAGACATTTTCAATCTATTAGCAGTATTAGCTTGTATTGCAGGAGTGGCAGAAGGCAGAAGGAATTTTAATAAGGAATGACAACATTTCATAATGATAACTATGTGAGATTACTATTTACCTGAAAAATCATATTCCTTAGTCTCTTGCTGTATTTTTTGTGCATTGTACAACAGCACAATGCGAAGGAATGCTTGAGTTAATGAATAGCGCAAAAAACACGATTCGTATGTCAAAATATTGTGAAGAACTATTTCAATCCTTTAATTCCCCTGTAACCAAATAAAAAAGTGAGGTTGTGTTTCAATAATTCACAGAAGAATGAGGTTGTGTTTCAATATTTTGCCTCCAGGGTCGGTCATCGTGCACGCGACCTATAGAAATATTATTGTGGACTTTTTACGTCCTCACTGTATGATGAATCCCATAAGCCGCTGTGATTTTGTTATTATGACAGCGATAAAAATTTCCCCTGTTTTCCAACGACAAAATGGAACCTAACTTTTGAAACCATGTCAACCAGAATTGTGAATGAATCTTTGATGGCGTTTATGTCAATCTTTCTCAATATTGCATTATCAGAATAATATTTGAATAGAAATTGGGAATGTCGCGATTTGGAGTGAGAAATTGAAAAATTCATAAACAAAAATGTGATTTACGCATTCATCAAAATGTCTCACCGAATTACACTCAATTATTTTTTGAGTTGAAATAAACTCAATAATTATAATTCGAGTCTTGTTGTCTTTAGGAAATTCAATTGAATTGTAGGGTCCATAAATAATCTTATCTGAGATCAGAAACATAAAATAAAGTTCCGCAAAACACAATAGGCATTCCTTTCGTGCGATCCAAGAGATGAAAAACCTTTACCTGCACTGAAAAATTTCCTGACGGCATCTTCATTATCCAACACTTGCAGTATGAACCACAAAAGCGGTTCGCTCAACTGCGGCGTTTGTCTCAAAAACACCAAAAGCGGATGGAGCAACAACTCCTTGGTGGACGCTTTCCTAGCCAGCAGCGCCAACAGATGGAAAATGGCGTCTCCCACCGTGTTCGGCTCGCTCAAGTTCGAAAAGGCGGTCTAAAACAGAAGAATACGTCCTGGTCACGATTCGGGTTCGATTTCGGTATTTATTTTACCTTTTGCGAAACATTAGCTAGCATACAAAGTGAAGATGACTTACATGTCGCCAAACAGCGACATAGTCTGATAACGGTGGGATGATGTTGTAGAACTATGTCGGCGAAACAGGGCACGGAGGCCGGCAGCTGGGCATTTTCTTGCAGGATCTGTTCGGCTTTGCTCTCGTCCGTTTGGGAAGTCGCCGAGGACTCGGTGTCCATCGCTTCCTACAAATAAAGTTCCTGAATTCTTTATACCTTTTCAACTTCAATTTCGGAATCGGTAAGTTTTATTTCCGAGAAGGTTAACTCGATTCCAGAATTGGTTAGCTGGATTTCAGAAATGGTAAACTCAATTTCAGAATCGATGAGTTGAAATTCAGAAAAAAGTCCACTCAATTTCCCAGAAATGGTAAGTTGTATTTCAGAAAATGAATCCTTATATTTTTGAGTAATCAAACTTCCACAATGTTGCTTCTACATTGGTAGAGGTTTTTAGCATGGCAACTTGGACTTAGGTTCCCCATTCATGTATAAAAATTTGCTAAACCGATTTTGTCATTATGCCAACGAAAAAAGTTTGCCCTAACTTTTCCAGCAATAAATAGTCCAATAAATAAAGGGAAAAAGTTAACATTAATTACGCACTATTTTCATCTTCCGGTTGGAAGTAGCTTTTGGTACCTCATTAAACTTGAGACAAAGTTTGACTGGAAAACGCGTGCGATGGCGGAGAAAATGACCCCAAAAGACCAGAAAGATAGGTTTTCAGCCAATATCTCCTAAAATATGGCAGTTAGAGATTTTCCGTTCAGATAAAAATTGAAGTTCAGTTAATTTTCTACAAAAATGGTCCTTATCATTTTTCTCGAAAATTTGCCCGGTTTCGAGAAAAACGGCACGAAGCGCACCTCGAATAATGAGCTTCTGTGTTGTATGCCGGAGAGCACAGTCCGTGTATTTACACATCGGCGGGGGGACAAATTATTCAATAACTTTATTGAAAATGCATATTTTCTCATGATTCAAAGTTCATGTGAAAGAGGAATTCTGCTGCTATCATACCCTGTGAATTGAGTCACGCTTGACTCTTTTGGCCATATCGGAACATGGGTCAAACTTTCTGCTCCCGGTCAATTTTGACCTCGCCAGGAATTTGTTCCTATTTTTTTTGTATTGCACTAATTTACTCAAAATTCTCTTGATTATGGGTCCTTCGTCATCCCTGAAATTTATATACCCTAATTTTTTTTCAATTTTCATTTAATCTTTGTTTATTGAATCCTAATTTTTTGCTGTTTTTGGAGCGCGGGGAAATTTTGTGAACATCAACCATCAATTAAAAATTTATACATGATCCGATTGGTTTCTATGATACATCATTTGAAAGCTAAGAAGGTCTACTTTTCGATTGTGCAATTACTTTGTTAGACGAAGTCGTCCATTTTTCAATAAAATTAGAAAAAGCGGGGTCAAGGAAAGAACGCACTTTTTTTTCGGTGTTTTTTTTCTCCGTGCTATTTATTTCTAACATTTTAACACCTTAACTAGTGTAACGGGGGAATTCCCACCTTTCCATCGATGTATATATGTATATGTATGTATATGTATGTATATAAGTCATACCTTTGATATCCCGGGAAAAAACCAGTATATCTAAATGTACACGCTATAATTTATTACTTTAGTTCCTCCGTCGTTCGCTGCGTTTGTGCTCTACGTGGCGCTCGGGTCGTCTGCTACAAACCATGCGGCCACGCAGGGTATGATAGCAGCAGAATTCCTCTTTCACATGAACTTTGAATCATGAGAAAATATGCATTTTTAACAAAGTTATTGAATAATTTGTCCCCCCGCCGATGTGTAAATACACGGACTGTGCTCTCCGGCATACAACACAGAAGCTCATTATTCGAGGTGCGCTTCGTGCCGTTTTTCTCGAAACCGGGCAAATTTTCGAGAGAAATAATATTGACCATTTTTGTAGAAAATTAACTGAACTTCAGTTTTTATCTGAACCGAAAATCTCTAACTGCCATATTTTAGGAGATATTGGCTGAAAACCTATTTTCCTGGTCTTTTGGGGCCATTTTCTCCGCCATCGCACGCGTTTTCCAATCAAACTTTGTCTCATGTTTAATGAGGTACCAAAAGCTACTTCCAACCAGAAGATGAAAATAGTGCGTAATTAAAGTTAACTTTTTTTCCTCCTTCATTTATTGGACTAAAAACCTAAAATTCGAAAGAATGACAAACAAAGTCGTAAACAAATTTTTGCTGACTTTTACGAATGTTTTTCTCAAACTTGTGCTGCTAGAAGTAGATATCTAATCTGTGGAAATGTTTGATGAGTCTTCAAGTGGGTAAATTGAAAAAACTGTGTGTTTTTTTTTTTAATCACTTCCGGTTCAATTGGAAGCAACCAAACTTTTAATTGAAAACTAGATCAGAGAAAAAATCCAAACTTTTTTCAGAGCAGAGACAGATCAATAATTCTAATTGCTCCAATGGCTTTTCTGAGTGGAAAAAAATAGCTTGACTGGATCGCAGAATGTGAATGGAAAATATATCCAATTCATTTTGGCGCCCAACGACTGGTTATTCGTAACGATTTTCTCACCTGCTGATCGGGTAATGGCGTCTGAACGAGTTTGCCCAACAGTTTCAACATCAATATCAACAGGTCTTCATATGATACGGGTCTATCTTGCTTGTTCGAATCAGAACCCAAAACACTGGCGAAAATATCGCTGAAGGTGTTCGTCATTCCGGTCTGTTTTTCGCCTATGCTAACACATTTGATTTTCTCTCTGTTCAGAACGTAACTATACACCAATGCAGCTGCAACATAAACAATATTTAGTTAGAAACATAGCCATATAAAAACAGAGGAGACGAAATTGTTGACATTTTGTCCAGAACCAATATCGTTAATTATAAAATATACATTTCAAATGATATTTATTCTGTTTCTTTGTTCCTTAATTGAAATAATGTAAATTCTCCTAATTCCATAATTACTTAAAATTATGATGTGTTATGGAATTAACTGTGGCAACTCTGTATTGCCGTGTGAACTATGAGTAACATATATTTTTCTTAGTCATTCAAGTATGTCGAAAGCTGACGTTACAGTGTTGTTGTGCTGTCTTTGTTACCATTTCAGGACTTTTTGTGTTGTCAATTGATTTTCAGTGTTTTCTTGTTATGAAACTATATAAAGACAATTATCAACAATCTACTACGGTTCGCTGATGTGTGGACTGTAAAAAAGTTCACCATTCAAACCCCACATTGGTATTTCAACGGTAAGTTAAGTTATGCCTCTTTTAACTTGAGAGAACAGTATTCGCAGGTTATTCAATTATTGCAGAAAACGTTGTTTCTTTGTTTCGAATTACAATGAATGATGGATAAAAGTACCTAAGGTACTATACTAATATTTGGTGTTAAGATTGAAAGATTATACCCAAACATTTTCTAATAGGTATAATAGCGTTGTCATTGTAGTAAAATGGTCTTAACCTGCGCGACTTGTAAAGTGTGTGAGCATTGACGCACAGTTCACAACACTGCCATTTTTTAAAGCCATATCTTTCTTAACTCAACTTATTTGGAACTTTGGAGCTATGTATGATTGTGAACAAATAGTATTTTATAAACGAAATGTTATGTTTACCCTCTTTTTATATGTCTATGGTAAGAAACTATAAAAAAGAGTTTTTCAACTCAAATGAAACCAGTGATGAAGAATACCGTAAAGTTACTTAACATTTTTAACGATAAGAAATGTACCTTCCATTCTTGTGAAATTAAAAGTTATAACAATGCATTCAATACGGTTAAGCTAGTGGTTAGAACATATTGTCAAGAAGTATAAATGCCTATGAATTAACATCACTCAAACTACCGTTCATTTCAAGACCTTTCATCATAAATTAACTTTTCCAAATTGAAACATTCAGTACATTGTAGTTTCGATCAGGTCAGCGGAGTTGATAGACGTCAGTTTCTTTATAATTTGCAAAAAAAAACGCTTACCGCGCGATAATACCTAGGTAAGCATTATCGAAAGGTAACGACCATTCCCATTGCGGAAAATTGTGAACCTAGCATCGATTTCAAATATAAATAGTAGCCGAGTCGATAAGGCAATCAATTCATTATCAACACCAGTGATTTAGTGATCACCAATTGAAAATGTTCCCAGTCTCCCCAACTTCAAGCCTGCTGGTCAACCCCGTGCTAGACGTTATAATATGAGTACTGTTCCAAGTGTTGTTTTACGTTGTGTTTATTCGGCAAGCCAATTATGCTCTTTTGCCTCTGCCAACCTGCCATGTTGCAGCAATAATTCATGACCTCTTCATTCATTCTTCATCAATAAATGATAATTCCATATGAAAATTGTCCCGTCTCTTTATTTGGAGATGAATAGGGTTGGATGGTGAAATGATCAAAACCTCTCGTCAAAAAGCCAAGCGAGTAGCTAAGTCAAGACCTATAGTGGGGTAGACATCTGAGTTGCGACAATATTGGATTGACCATGACAGTTATACAATCAACTTAACATGGCCCAACACTTCTTGATTTGACTAAACTACAAAAATTTCGACAGTGGCGCCGATTTCATTCACATTTGACATTCAATAACCTTGTAGACAATGTCACAATAAGGAATTTCTAACCGTTGAAAATATCATGTTCAATCACACAAACCAAAATTCACACATGACAAAACAAAACCAACCTGTACTCTCCAGCGTGCTCATGGCGATACTCAAATCGGTGTTGACGAAATCCAGATAGAGCATGGTCTGCAGCAGCTTGCACTGCGCATCCAGAGGCCCCAGCCTCGATGCGATGGACCCGGACGGCTGCGCCAGCTGATAGATGACCTTGAGCAGCGACGTCTTCAGCACGTTGCCCAACTTGCTGGTCGGACTGACGATGTCGCACCTCATTTGCAAACGCACCAGGAAGTCGTGCAGCGCCTTGCACAGCGACGGGCCGGCCAGGATCTTCCCGTTGAAAATGGGTCCCATGCCGGACAGCAGGCTGAGGAACAGCTGCACGAAATCCATGTGGTTGACGATGGTGTTCGCCATTCCCGAGAGGTCCATCCATTTTTTGCCGTTGTTCATGTTGCAGACCTAGGGAATGCGGGATGTCTTGTGAAAAAACGCCGAGAGTTATGATTGCGTATACAGGTTGTTTATCGAATCATTACATAGAGGAGTATTAGGGAATGACGACATTGACATGATGGCAACATCGCAGTCACGGAGTGATGCTGGGAGCAACGTTCGCCGTTAGACAGTTGGGTACATAATACAGTTTTAAATATTCCTAGCGAAGACGTACGATAGCCGAATCATGTTTCCATTCATTTTATTTTCAATTAGGAAATAGTATATTGTTTAACGAGCACGGAATGATAGTGATTTCCTACGAGAATGAAGTTCGAGAATTATTCGAGTAGGAAATTAGCATTCCGTGCAAGTTATACACTATATTTTTTCTACGGCTATAATAGATAACAGCGGCATTTTCGATTTCTTCGTCTTGAAGCCATCTGATTTCCTGTCAAGTAATGCTCATCTATTAGATAGGGCTGTCATTGCTTGGAATTTGACATTCTCTGGGCTATGAGATTTTTCTGAAATAATAACACAATGGAGTCATTGTGATATCAGATACGGAAATAAAATTGATAATAAATAAAGTACCTCATTGATGTACTGAACACAGTAAAACAATAGCAATTTTGTGTTATAGCCGTAGAAAAAAGATATTTTTCGACCTGTATGAGCCTACTGTGTTATTGTGGTTGTCTTTTCACTGCTTGATTATCCGCACACAATTCAATTTCCAAAATCTCCATGGACAGCTAAAGTTAACATGGAACAAGAATATTGGCGTGCTAAAAAAAATTTCTCCCATAGTTGGTACCCTAAGAAAATGCCTTAGTAAAATGAACTGTTATCAATTTTTGGGGTTCATGTTCCAAGAATAATTTTAACAAAATGTACTATGTAAAAAAGTATTAAAAGTACTGTATCGTCTTCTATATGACACCTCATCAAATCAACTTTGTGAAGAAACAAATACATCTTCTTTGGAAGAGCACTATCTGATGAATACTCTCAAAATTTCTTTTGATATTATCAACAAACACCTCAAATCTAACTCCATATTGGTAAGGAATTCTCAAATCCATGAACATCGTACTAGACAATATGACTTTTTTCATCTTAATACTGCTTATCCTACACTTGGCCAAAAAAAGTTGACTCACGGAGCTATATCAAAATTCAATAAATCACCTGATGATTTCAAAAGTTGCACAAATATCACACAATTCAATATTAAAGTCGAGAAACATATCTTCTTGCAAAGAGAAAATCAAACCTGAGTGAATGATTTCTCATTCACTAATTTATTTCATCATGCCATAATGTACTTTTCATGAGCTTCTGGTTTTATTATTATTATTATTTTCGAATTTGTTGTTTATTTCGATAACTTAGATTTGATAACGCATGAATAATCTCATACCAGATATGAATCTGTCTGATTATTCATGTTATTTTATTGTGAATATTAATAATCAATCAATCAATCAACTTTATTATTCCCAAGAAACAACATTTGTTTATAGCAGGGAACATAGTGAATACATAAATATATTTGACAAAATAAAATAAAGAAGACAGTAAAATAAGACTCACACTCAAAAAGAATCTTTTTTTTTCAAGTTCAAATGAATATGATCCTCAATTGACTCAGCTGTTAGGTACACAATTGAAAACTATAGTAGTTGTACAAGAAAACTATAAAAATGAGATAAGATGTCAATATTACAGGAGTAGATGTTTCTTGAATTCTCTTTTAAATTTTTCAATCCTATTAATCAGCTTCAAGTTATTTGGTAGTGAATTGTATTGTATCATTCCATTGTGATAGATGGATTTTTTACCAATATCTGATTTAATTTTCTTGACAGAAAAATGATCTGCTTGTCTGGTTGTATGGTTGTGGTGATTGCTATTGACTTGGAAAACCAAATTTGAATGCTTTTGACAATGTTTAACTGAATGAATGAACGACATTAATTTGAATTTATATAAGGAATCTATATCTAATAATTCTCTTCTTCTGTAAAGGTTCATAGTAGGTTCCGAATAATTTAGTCTGTATATACATTTGATAATTTTATTTTGAAGAGTTTTGAGAGGCTTTATAATTGATAGTTTTGTTGAACCCCATACAGAAATCAAATATTCAAGTTTAGAATAGATCAAAGAGAAGTATATAAATATATTAATATTTATATGAGTGCAATGTAATGTTTATAGCAAAGAATGAAATAAATATTATTATTATTAAACTATGTTTTTCTTACAAATATTATTCTTTGTTTGCCAATTTATTGTTGTTGATACATTTTGAATGATAAAATGTTTACCCATAGGTATAAAATCATGTACTTCCTTATACCAGAGCATATTCTGTCTGGAAGTTATTTGTTCAATAAATAAATGAAAAACAAACAATATACTACTACTTACCAATGTCAAGGTCTGCAAGGCGCTGCACCAAGTGGTCAGCGACAACCCTGGCGTCCACGCCATAGTCGATATCAGATTCTGAACGGACTCATAATTCAAAGTGATCTGCGGTATGGTGGAAGGTACGAACTTGCTGCTCGCGTTCAAAGTCAACCACAGCTGCAGCACGTGCTCAATCTTCGACGCGTCCTGATTCTGAAGATTTTCGAACAAAACGGCGAAACAGTAGTTCAACATCGTCTGATTGGTCAGAGGCGTTTCGGGAGAGAAATTTTCCAGCGGTGTACTCCACGCGTTCAAGCCGTTGTTGCTCTCTTTCTGCGAGCTCTCAGCAGTAACATTCCTCAACAATATTTGGGTATTCTTGAGGATGAGCTTTTTTAGATCGATTTCCGAGTTGGCTTGAACGCCGAGCTCGAGTCTGGAGTCTACTGCGCAGGACAGGCCGGAGTTAGAACTGGGAGCAGGTTTGGCGCCTTTGTTGGTCGTGCAGCGCACTTTTTGGAGGTCTTCGAGGAGCTCCTCGAATTCGGAGTCCTCTGATTCGTAGACCGAGGGTAGAGGCGGGAAATTGTTGTTGCTCATTATGGAAGCGCTGGTTTTCGTCGGCTTGATTACAGGCTCGAGCATTTCGTCTATTGTGAAGTTGTCTACGATGCTATCCACCTCGCTGTTAATTTCTGGAAAATTCATGCTTACAATACAGGGTTACTGGTAATTCCATACATTCCTTTGGAAATGTGATAGGCTAGGTGCTGATGAGTGAATTCAACCCTAATATGCATTATGCAAAAGTTAATAGTTTTAGAGATATTCAATTTTTCGTTTTTCTCCAGAAGGTACACCTCAAGTGGTAAGTCAGTTTCCCGAAAATCTGCTGTACACTTTTCCAACCTTTCAACTAGAATACATGATCAACACTATGGTCTTATGTTTGAAATGAAAAAAATCCAGAAATAATTCAGATCATAGATAAAATTTCAATATAAAGTCGTATTTTTGTTTGTGAATTGTGGATTTTAACACTTTCTAGCGGTTATTTTTGGAAAATCTCTAAGGCACATGTGTCAAAAACTTGTTAAGAATTCTTTGAGGTAACTGGGTACAAATGAAACTAAAATACGGGTTTGTTATTTTGAACCTATGGTAAAAACATACTTGAAAAATCCCTATCAGTATTTATTATTGTCGATACAGCAACAATTTATTTTATATTTTCGTTTATTTTCTCCAGAGTCATCCAGCCAGGCCGAAGAAAACCCCCGTTTAACAAGAAAAACTAGTTTCTACCGGAAGTTTTCTATAAATATGTGGATGGGACTCATTGACCCATATTTGAAAGGACCACATTTTTTCCTAGACAATTTCAATGTGGGAATGTATGAACATTTTCTACGACATGATCTACAGGAGCTTCTTGAGGATGTTTCTCTCGCCATCAGAGAACGAATGATATTCCAACGAGACGGTTGTCCAGCGAATTATCGGCTGATCGTTCGGCAGTTCCTGGATGAACGTTTTCCTAACCGTTGGATTGGAAGGTCAGGACCAATAGGTGGGCCAGCGCAAAGCCCTGACCTAACCCCCTTGATTATTTTGTGTAGGGTTATATGAAAGCGCTAGTTTCAGATACCCCAGTAAATACCCATGAAGAGCTCATACAAAGGATAACCGACGCTGCCGTGCACATACAATATTATTTGACAACTAGAATATCGAAGACGGAAATATGAAGACGCTGCCGAGCATGTATTGGTAATATAGACTATCACTTTGAACAGGATTTGTAAAAAATAAATACTAATAAAAAAATTTCAAGTATACATCTTCCCTATTCATTTGAAATAACGAACCTGTATCAAGCACTTTTAGTTTCATTTGTATACCAAGTCAAATAGCTATTGCCTTAAGGAAGTTTCAACAAATTTTTGACAAATGTGGCTTAGAGATTTTCCTCAAAATACCAAAATACAAAATTGAAAAACAAAAATACGACTAAGTATTCGCAATTTATCTATGAACTGAATTATTTCTGAAATTTTTGCATTCCAAACATAAGACCATAGTATTGATCATGTATTATAGTTGAAAGGTTGAAAAAATGTACAGCAGATTTTCGGGAAACTAACTTTCAAACCCAAAAAGTCTACCCTTTGGAGGAAAACAGAAAACTTTAAATTTCTCAAAAACTTTCATTTTTTGCATAATGCATATTAGGGTTAAATTCACTCCTTACCACCTCACCTACCACATATCCAAAGAAATGTATAGATTTACCAGTAACCCTGAATAGCAATACCTATTTCATTAATTGAACAATTTTGGAGTTAAAAATAACACAAAGTTCCGTAGATGGAAGTTTTGAAGTTCTCAGGCATGTAACATTACATTTAATTATTTTTTTGTCAGTGGGTATTACCATTTTGAGACCAACTGGCGGACGCAGTGGTTTCAGTTTCCATTTCGACTTCATCAGACTTGGCCAGAGTCAACTCGATGGCGTCTTGCAGAAAACAAGCCAGAGCAAAGGGGGCCCACGGTATCTTGCAAGATATACAAAACGTGATGAGCTCCAGCAGTTCACTCTCCTCTAAAAGCTGACCCAGTTGGAGTTTGCCTAATGTAACAAGTTTGGAGACGACCTGAAAATTGTTGTCGGTCAAAATATAACCTGAAATTTTATATTCCGATATAGGTCACATGCACATTTGGCAGATGACCGACCTTGGAGATCAACCAACCTCACTTTTAATATTCGTTTACAGTGGATTGAAAAAGTTTTTCAAAATTATTTTGGCATACAAATCGTGTCCAAAACACCTCAAATTTAACTTCATATTCGATTCCCAAATCCATGAACATACTAGACAATATGACTAGTTTCATCTTGATGCTGCTAATTCTACACTTGGCGGCCAAAAAAAGTTTATTCACAGGGCTATCTTAAAATTCAATAAATCACTTGATGATGGAAATACATTGTTACAATACAACATAAAGTACTTATAAACGTCAATACAGATAGATATAAAATAATTCACAAGAATATATAATCATTAACAAAATAGAAAAATAAATAAATAAAGTACAAAAGTACAAAAAAATGAAGATTTATAAATTATCACAGTAATATTCATTCATATTATTTATTCATATGCTTAATTGAGAAGCAATACTTTCAGAGCTCTTCTGAATTGTCTATCATCATATATATCTTTGAGATGAGCTGGCAAGTAAGCACATATTTTTAAATTTTCATATATTAAAGAATTCTTTGTTAATGTAGATCTTGGAATCGAAAGATGAATATGGGAACAAGTTCTTGTATTGTATCTGTTAGTAGAGACTGCATTTTTATATTTTTTATGAACTAAACAAACAGTTTACAGAATGAAAAAAACAAATAATTGTCAGTACACAAACAGTAAACTGCAGTGCTCTCTAGATTTTACGCCACACATATATCGGAGTGCTCTTTATTGCAGAACAAAGACCGAAGTCATCAACTGAGAACTACAAAATCCCCAAAATGCGATACCATACCTAATGTGTGATAAAATAAACGCAAATAGGTAATTTTTGCTGAATCTAAACCTAGATCACGAAATACTAATCGAACGGCAAAACAGCCTGATGATAATTTCTCCTTCTCCTTTATAAACAAATAAGAAAAGTGATTTTTTTTCAATGTTTCACCTCCAGGGTCAGTCGACTGTCAAATGTGCACGCGACCTATAGCAAACTTACCTTGAAACTCAATAGGAGCATGTCAGCGCTGCTCGAGTGGTCCATGGAGAGTATCAGTCTCAGCAAAGCTTTGGCCACCGCCAGACAATGGACGCTGTCGATGAACTGCGGCATTCTAAGTACGACGTTCGACTTGTCCGCGGCCTGTTCCTTCTTCTCCTTGGATATCCTGTTCTCGTCCTGCACTTTCTTGAAGTGCTTCAACCTGAACAACTTGTCTTGCACCATCAGGCTTTTCAGCTTTTGTTGGTAGGATTGCGAGTCTGCGTTTATCACGACGCTGGAGTATGTCGGGTAGCTCTGAAAAATACCTTAACCTTTATCAACAAGTGATGATTTCGTTGAATATTCAAACAGAAGAGAATCAGAGAAGAATATTGCTCATTCTAGATGAAATCGATTTGAAATCAAAAGTATTTCTTATACTCGTCACTACATAACCTAACATGCTTTCAAAGTATCGAAACATGAATTATCAAACAGTAAGAGATTATCTTCATCAATTACATCGATCAATCAGTCACTCTCGATGATGCGTTCTGGAATCTAGATAGATACTGAGGAGTCTATGATCGTGATGGTATGAACCCGACGTTGGGCGCCAAAATAAAAGAATCTTCATTTTGCAAAAGTAAATGGGCCTTTCCAATCATTTCTAGAAAAAATTATCTCGAAATATATGGCTCTGGAATACCTCGAAATAGTTCTTCACTTTTTTTTTCATCAATTTATAGTATAAAAAATAATGAAAACGTCAAAATAAGCAAGCGTATTCAAACTATCAGACACGTGTGATAGGATTGGTAATGCCCTCACCTTCTCGCAGGTGCCAATAGAATTCACAATCGACGTGACAATGTTGCCAATTTAGACAAAAACGATGATTAGTTGGATAATCATTTCTCGATTTTCTCAATTCAGCATATGGTACTGATGCTGTTAGATAGCTCAACTAATACCTACCTAAAAATTCGTGGTACTGAACAATCAAATCATCTATGATTTCTGTTTGTGGATTATTTCAAATTATAAGTGAAATATCATTATGTATTGAATTACAACGCAGATATTTATGACATTCAGTTCTGGATCCCTTCCAGCAAAATACTTAGGTGAGTTAGGGTACTTGCCTACTTATACCTATCTCCCATAGGTAAAATAACAAATTTTGAATCAAAGCTGAATTGCTCACTTGGTCCTATTTTCTATGCAAATATCATTGCCTTCGCAAAAAGCTACAAACATTCAACATTTTTACCTGTATCGTAGTACTATTTCCCGGTTGAGCCATCCTCTTGCAATTCTTCTTTTTGTTGCCGTTCTTCGAGCTATCGACATTCTTGCTGCCCACCATCTCTCCGAGAACCCAATTCCACCTGTTCTGAGCACCCCCTTGCATCTTGCACAACGACAGCTGCAGCGACAGATACATCAGCTGCCAGGACAGCAGCGGCAAATCGACGGTGATCGCCAACAGCGACTTCCTATTGTTCATCAAGGGTTTCAGAGTATCATGCACCACACGAAGGGCAGCGTCTATGACGGAACTCTTCTCAGGCGATTTCCTGCTGAGATACGCCAGCAGGATGAAGAGCCGGTCCTGCGGGAACTTGAGAGTGTAGGAAGTCGAGAAGGTCTCCGCTAGGGTGTCCGCGAGGAAATCGCCCCAGTAGGACGTTCGCCCGCAGTGTTTTTCCAGGAAAATAGCGGCTAGCAGCTGCAGCCTCGAGGGCTGCGTCATGCAAAGCCCTTGAAAGAAGCGCTGACAGAGTTCCCGAGGCATTTCCGTGGTACAGTCTATCGACAGCAGGACTTCCAGGATGTTTTCTGCTATGGCAGTGAGTTTGTCAGTTGAGACTTCGGAGTTTCTCACTGGCAGCGCCCCATCGCTCAAGCTACCCTCTATCCTTCCGATAACGTTCTTGATGATATTCAACTGGTGCTGGAACTTTACAGTTTCCTGGTACGCAGCCAGCACTTTGCTGTGCTCCGCGTTGCTCACATTCATGTTCTTGTCCTTGAGGATGTTCATGTACGTCGCCAGGTGCATGGCGTTTCTCATATCGGCCACGAGGAAGGGCTGCAGCAGCTCCTTGAGCTTGGAGCAGGCGAGGCTGTAGCGGCAGCTGATGTCCTCGAACAGCTTGGCGAGGATGGCAGACTGCTTTTCGGGATCGGAGCTAATGTCCGGCGAGTGTGGGGCGAGCTCCGGGGGCACTTCTTCGGGCAGGACCACCAGGTGGCCGTAGAAGTGGCCGAGCGGGATGCGGGAGCGCATCGTCGACATGCCGTACCGTCCTACCACGGTGATCTGCGAAAATAATGAACGTAGACAAAACGATAAGATTTTCACATAATGGGGCTAACATTATTTTTCGTCCACCTGATCGCGCCACTAAAAAGTGTAGTCAGGGTTGTTAGAACTGAAATATACTTCTTCTGTTCACAATGTACGTCAATGAGTTGCCTCTGATCCTCCCAAATGCATTCATCTGCTAATATGCAGATGATTCTACGTTATTGTTCACAGGCAAAACTGAGACTCAAATTCAAAACAAAATCGATAATAGTATTCAGTCACTTTGCAGATGGTCATATGATAACTTCCTGTATTTGAATGCTTCAAAAACAAATTACTCAACTTTTCATAGCAGACAGAATAAAAATGTTCCTGTTGTAGAAATAAATATATGATCGAACTATAGAGAGGGTTCAAATTACATTGTAAATCTTTAGCAAATACATTGAGTAAAAAATGCTTTTAATTGAGAGCTCTCGAATCAATTTTAGACTTGCGAGAGCTCCTACTCTTTTACCACGGAGAAATTCAATCCCGAATGCCCTGCTGAGATCACAGATATTGATATTAGAAATATAGGACAAACTATTTATTTCAAGTGGATACGGAACACAAACGCTCACCTTCATAAACTGACACAACGGCGGCGGTTGCAAATCGCTCAACAACAAATTCCTCGTCCCGATGTCCAACGCCACCACTAACCTCGTATCGTCCACGTCCTCCCCCCTTAGCCAAATATTCACCGTCACCGTAACCAGATCCGAGCAGGCCGGTATGAAAACATCTGTGAGCAGCACCGGTTTGCCAAAGTCCAACGTCACGTGCCGTCTGGCGCCCGAGTGCATGCGTTCCACGACGATGACCTGATTAGATTAGATTATTTATTGGTAAAGTCACAGTTAAAAGAATTGATATAGTAGTTGCCGCACTCCCTCAAAAGTTCAAAACATCATTCCCTCTGCCCCGTTAGGCCGGGCAGACTGCTAGCAGTACGCCGACCGTCGTGAGTTGTAGCCACAGAACTCAAAGACCAGTTCTGTGGTTGTATCGGGTCGCCCAAAAAATTGCATCGCAGTATACACGGTCTCTCGGGATACGTTTCAATTGTTTATGATCCATTTTGTATTGAAATGAGAGGTGAATACAATTGCATTAAGGAATTTTGGTAAAGCCGATGGTGCAAATTGTATAGATGAAGTCAATGAAGTCTTTTATTGAATTTGACCCCCCCCCCCCCCACCGTAAAGATGCCATAAATAAAATGACCTGGAAATATCAAACGCCTGACGGAGAGTGCGCTAACTAGTATATTAATTCTTTTAATGGTGACAAATAACAGATAGCACTTTCACAAGTCAACAGAATATATAAAAGTATGAAACTTGTTTGAAAATTAGAACTCGAAGACCTAGAAGGACAATGCGAGTCTACGAAATCACTGAAATCCGATACCACCAGTAAGCTTAAGGCAGGCATGGTGATGATGCGCACATTATCGGCAACATTGTCAGTCATAGATGTTTATACGCAAATGTAGTTCATATTTTTTATTGAACTTTTTGCAACTGTTGATTAACAGCTTTACAAAAATCATAAAGAAAATTTTCACGACGAAATTCATACTTACTGATATTAATTGAATGGCTAACAAAAGATCCGCAAATTATTATGAAGTTCTAATTTCCTACAAGTTCATCTGGCATCTGACGTAGAATTAAGGCAGAGCCGGATTAGTTTACGTTATTCAGGGTTTTGTTTTGCATTTAACCTGTCTTCCGTTAGTGAATTTGCGATTATTGAAGAGTTCTGGTGGCTATTATTGGATTTAACTCCAGTTTGGGTGGTTTATTGTAGTCATAGTGACATTTATATCGTGTTTCCTGTTTTGTTTATATTGTTCTTATTCGATTCGATATTCATTGTCTGATTTGTGTACTGTGTAGTGTTTTCAAAATGACTCACTGCATGGTCATTTGTTGTCAAAGGACAAATTCCAGGAATATCTTCTTTCAGATACATTTCTATCGTCTCGTCTATGGTCAACTTGCTTTGTGCTTGTTTTTTACATTTACAATGGATTTCGATTAAGTAACGGCAGAGCCAATTTGAAAAAAAAAGCTTTGTGCTATTATATATTTTTTGCTGTCATGATATTCTATTACCAAAACTAAAATATCTGCTAAGCAACAGATCTTTGAAATTAATGATATTAGATCAAATTTTAGGTTAACCACAATTCGCCACGTTGCTTGTATGACTGCTCTGGGGTGAGATGCCACTGTTGAGAAGTTGAGTCCTCTTTCTTCAACTCAACTATTCAATTATCTCGTAAATGAAGTTGAAATTCGAAATTTCACTTTGTTTCTGAATAGAAGAGAGAATTTGGAAAAATATCTCAATTCTGAATAATATTCAGTGGTTTAGTGAATAGGGCGGTAAAAGTTAAACTACGCCACTAGACAATTTTGACAAAAGTGTTTTGCGTCAAACAACAAGTAACCATTTCATAAATACTTGCACCAAATTTTGTTGAAACCCCTTCTATGCCCTAAACACAAAATGGATTTTTGAAACCGAACTTTGGACAACTGTAGGAATCTCCCTTAAGGAGCATTTTGAAAAAAAAATACAATATGCATGCCGACGTATTTTTTGGTGATAATATTACCTGGACTACCCTGTATATTGGGTCGTCCATTTCTACCTAATGAACTCTCAAGATGATAAATATATCGAAACACCACTCCTAATAACATTGAAAAAATCCATGATAACAAATATCATATAGATTTCTCACAATGCTCTTTCAAAAATGCCACAGAAACCTGGTAATCAAATAATTCTGAACCCGCCCCTGGCATTTTCGTGTCTCTACTGCGCATGCTCATATTTGCCTTTCAAGCCACGTTAGGGAACGCTCAAATAGAACGATAAAGCCCTTCTAGGTCTCTGAGTTCTGTGGTTTGTAATGTGAGAAGAATACTTAATAAAAGAACACACAAGTACATTGAACGACACACAATTTGCATATTAAAACAGACCTGCTTGGGTGGCACGGCGAGTAATTGTTGCCAGGGCAGCATGCTGGCGTGGCTCGACGCGGAGAAGACCTCTTCGGGTTGGGCGGCCGGTGGCTTATGGGTGGTCGGAGCGGGGTTCTCTAGTTGCTTGGATATGTTCACGAAAATCGCATCTGGGAAGGGAATTGTGATATAATCTAGTTGGTGTAGTATGAATGACTTCATGAAACCATAGACATATAGAAAGAGGGAAGAAGAAATTTACATTTGTCCCGAGGCAACATCGTTTTCAGCAGACAACGATGATGATTGTCCTAGATCTACCTGTGTTTGAGAACGAGGGAAGCATTTATGATACATTAATTATAAAGGTTGTTCCTTAAAGACATGCTAATATTCAAGGGGGTGATTCTTCGACTCATTTCAAGATAAAAACTTCCTATGAGGCTATGAACGTTAGTCTTAAAAGTCTTCACTTTTGAGATACAGGGCGATAAAGTCTCCTATGCATCAAGGTGCATTTTCTGATGTAAACAAATTTTCATTTTCTCTACCAGTGGCGCCGTTTGGGGGATATTATTATTTATATTTTACTTGAAAGTGAGCAACGAAGAAAAATTTACAAATTTCATACAATCCTATGAAATGCCATTTAATTCTGTCCAAAAAAGATCCTCTTGTTGATACTCGATAGAACGCTCCGTTTTCGAGATAAAACGGGAAAACGAGACCATACTTCAAATTTTGATGTAAATGCTATGCTGAGTAGTCCATTCAGGATATCAATTACTGGATAACCACAGTATGTAACATTTTGAAATTTTTGCATCGTTTCAGTCACGAAGCAGACTGAATTGTTTTCACTACGAAAAGCTATACAGGGTGGACAAAAAAATAATCTATGCATATATTTTTGATACCCTGCATCTCAAAAGTTAGGTATAGGGAAACCGTTTGTTGTGATTGTCGCTAGGCCCACTTCCATGGTTACTGATGCTCTCTAATTGATACAAACCCTGGATTTGGCCCCTTTTTTGGCCACATTTCAGGGTGCGTCCAAAGATCAGGTAGCTATTTTCACATAATTATAAGTCTGTCCCTGTGGTTCTACTTCAGATTCGAAGTGAATTTATGAACGTCTGACAGCGTCAAACGTTTGTGAATTGGTAGAGTTATTTCCACAAAATAGACTCTTCCTGCCTTTGTAACTGGAATAAATCGATACAAATCGAAGCTCAGATTACTTACCAAGCTTTCTGATGTAACAAAGCACAACACTGCAGCATCGAGCATCCAACAAGGCCTTACCATACCTGGGATACAATCCAATGTTGGAGTTATAGAATTTATGATTTGTTACTTATTCCTCTGATAAAAAATGAAGCTACTCATAGAAATTGAACCCTCATTAATGGAGTCATGAACTGAAGAACTAAATATGATCCTCAAATATCAGAAATAAGAAAATGACTTACCAGATGAATCAATACTATATGGTGAAATATTCTACCAAGCGAACTGGCTTGCGTAGTTACAGTACTCTGAATCAAAAATATGTGAATGCACACCCGAATTTTTTCACAATAAGTGAATTGCTGATTTTTAGCGCACTTTAATCGTTAATATCTCAAAAACAATAGGTCCTAGCGGCCTGCAGGAGGACTCAAATCGATTCAGTACGACCTGTATTACTAGGAAATGTGATATTTGCGAGATTTTTCGCTTTTTTTTGGAAACAATTGGCATCTGAAAACACAACTCACCGAGCTTACTATCCACGTCGACGGCCACCTGATCCGCCTCCCCGAACATCGCCATCCACTTGTCCATGCCGTCGGGCTCGCTGCCCCCCGCCCCACCGCCAGCCTGCCCGCCCTGCTTGCCCTTCAGCTGCGCCTTCATCATCTTGCCCACGCTGTCCATCAGCTTCTCCATGTACTCCTTCTTGTTGCCGGCCGCGTCAGTGGCGTTCGCAGAGAACGACACGGGCATCAGGCTGCTGAGGTAGGAGGGGGGCGACGAAGCGGCGTCGGCTCGTTCCACTCGGGTGCCTTCGCTGGCCGCGAGGCAGGTGAAGTGCAAAGGCTGGGTTTCGATGAGACCTGGAAAGAGAAGTATAAGAATTATTGCCACTGCGGCGAAACTCTTTTAAATCTCAGGGTTTTTGGGTTAGGGTTCACAATGTATACAGGGTGGGTCACGGTAGATGGCACCTTAGACGTTTACGGAGAACAGGACATAAGATCATTCTGAAAATTTGGTTACTCAAGTAATTGCTCTTGATCTATCGATCTAAAATATTTTCAGCTCTGCGGCGTTGCCGCTTCTATCGAAAAGTAGCAACAACTTTATTATTTTAAATGGAACACCCTGTATTTTATTGCATCTCCAGATTCTCCCTGAAGAGCTGATTTCATCGATGTATCACACTTGGGGTCTAGCGGAAATGATTACAGAGATATAGGGTGTGAAAAATCGACATTTTTCAACTCAAGGAATTTTTTTTGTCGAAACTATTCATTATTGGTCAAAACGGCTTACATGTCCCTATCTCAACTTTTGATTAACTATCTACTGATATTTAATTGGGACATATACCGGGTGATCAAGAATCTGAATTCTGCACTTCGGATAACCGAAAGTGCAGGAAAACCACGCGAATTATCACTTTTCTGACGGCAAATGAGCTGCTGAATCGAATGAGACCGAGAGCGAATCGATAGGACGAATACTTTTCGAGATATCGGCACCGAAAGCCAGCTATATGCTTTTATTGCCAATAGGAGCACTTCCGGAGGCTACTGAAGCTCTATTGGCCAGAATTTCCCAATTTCCACCATGGATTCTTTCATTACGACCTCGAATTGGTCTACATTAATTTTTTCAGATTTTTGATAGGCCGAATAAAAATTTTTATTTTTCCTCCTAACCGTCCCATACGAAAAAACGACCGAGGCACTATCGGATGGCCGAAAGTGCCGGAAAACGGCGGAAATCCACGCGAATTATCAATTTTCTGAAGGAAAATGAGCTGCTGAATCGAATGAGACCGAGAGCGAATCGATAGGACGAATACTTTTCGAGATATCGGCACCGAAAGCTTGCTTTTATTGCCAATAGGAGCACTTCCGGAGGCTACTGAAGCTCTATTGGCCAGAATTTCCCAATTTCCACCATGGATTCTTTCATTACGACCTCGAATTGGTCTACATGAATTTTTTCAGATTTTTAATGGACCGAATAAAAATTTTTATTTTTCCTCCTAACCGTCCCATACGAAAAAACGACCGAGGCACCTTCGGATGGCCGAAAGTGCCGGAAAACGGCGGAAATCCACGCGAATTATCACTTTTCTGAAGGAAAATGAGCTGCTGAATCGAATGAGACCGAGAGCGAGTCGATAGGATGAATACTTTTCGAGATATCGGCACCGAAAGCCAGCTATATGCGTTTATTGCCAATAGGAGCACTTCCGGAGGCTACTGAAGCTCTATTGGCCAGAATTTCCCAATTTCCACCATGGATTCTTTCATTACGACCTCGAATTGGTCTAAACGAATTTTTTCAGATTTTTAATCAGCTCTTCAGAGAGAATCTGAAAATGCGATAAAATACAGGGTGTTCCATTTAAAATAACAAAGTTGTTGCTACTTTTCGATAGAAGCGGCAACGCCGCAGAGCTGAAAATATTTTAGATCGATAGATCAAGAGCAATTACTTGAGTAACCAAATTTTCAGAATGATCTTATGTCCCGTTCTCCGTAAACGTCTAAGGTGCCATCGACCGTGACCCACCCTGTATATTTGCGGCAAAGAAACGAGCCGAGTTTTATTTTTCCCAAACTTGCTAGGTATCTGCAAACTGACAGATAACAACTTTGAATTTTGTCGCGTGACTGATTCACAATTAAATGAAAGAAAAATAGGAACTTAGCGGAGTCCAGTACGTAATTGTTATAAAGATGCTATTATTGATCACAGGTTTTACATTTTGATGCATTGTAATCGGTGAATTCTGTGAAGGTATTTAATCTGCGTCACAGAAAATGTACCTACTTCTGCAATTGTATTTGAATTCCCTTGAAACTTGAAAGAAAAGCACATTACATAGAACACTGGAAGATATTTTCTCAAAATGAAAGAAATTACCTTCATAATCTGTTTCTAAGAAGTGTCTGCTACTGACAGGCATATATATTTGTAAATGGGCTTCCCAATTTTTTTAATGTTCTGCCACAATTCGTACAATTTTGCATCTGTTGGGAAGCTGTTAATTTGTATGTTCATAATGTCTTGCACTTGTTGGCCATTATCTTATTTTTAGATGATGCATGCGCTGTAATACAGTTGTGCTCGCAGACTGTCATTCATTTTATTTTTTGGCTTCACTTGGAGATCCTTGTTATCCGTATATGTTTAGTGAATAATACTTGTAGTTCCTTGATGGATATTACATGTGGTGTACCGCAAGGGTCAGTTTTGGGGCTAATTTTATTTTCAATTTATATTAACTCAATATGTACTTTAAAATTGAAAGCTATATGCTTTTTTTGCCAATAGGAGCACTTCCGGAGGCTACTGAAGCTCTATTGGCCAGAATTTCCCAATTTCCACCATGGATTCTTTCATTACGACCTCGAATTGGTCTACATTAATTTTTTCAGATTTTTGATAGGCCGAATAAAAATTTTTATTTTTCCTCCTAACCGTCCCATACGAAAAAACGACCGAGGCACTTTCGGATGGCCGAAAGTGCCGGAAAACGGCGGAAATCCACGCGTATTATCACTTTTCTGAAGGAAAATGAGCTGCTGAATCGAATGAGACCAAGAGCGAGTCGATAGGACGAATACTTTTCGAGATATCGGCACCGAAAGCCAGCTATATGCTTTTATTGCCAATAGGAGCATTTCCGGAGGCTACTGAAGCTCTATTGGCCAGAATTTCCCAATTTCCACCATGGATTCTTTCATTACGACCTCGAATTGATCTACATTAATTTTTTCAGATTTTTGATAGGCCGAATAAAAATTTTTATTTTTCCTCCTAACCGTCCCATACGAAAAAACGACCGAGGCACTTTCGGATGGCCGAAAGTGCCGGAAAACGGCGGAAATCCACGCGAATTATCACTTTTCTGAAGGAAAATGAGCTGCTGAATCGAATGAGACCGAGAGCGAGTCGATAGGACGAATACTTTCCGAGAGACAATAAATCAATCAATCAAAGTATATGCCACTCCCTCACTCACCGTGTATGACCCGCTGCGAGGCGACGTTCTTGTGCCGCAGCCGCGCCGTCGACGTCGACAGCACGTCCTTGGCGCTGAGGCCCTCGCCGTCAGGGCGGGCGGCAGACGCGCCGCCCCCCGCCGGCTGCCCTCCCCCGCCCTCCACGCCCGGTTGCGGCGTCGAGCACTGCCCCAGGTAGGCCGACACGGCGTCCGACGCCTTCGCTGGCGACGGCGGCTCGACGTCGAAGAGCGCCGGCTCCATGGGCGTGCCGTACAGGCCGTAACGACCTATGATAAGGGAAAAATACTAAATGATACACGAAGTCACCTCCACGACATTTAATATGATTAACTGTTTGATATATGTTTCGGACATATACAGTGTCATTCATAAAATGGGCATCATATGGGAAAAACTTTTATTAATGTCTTATTTTGGAATTCGAGTTGAACGTTGAGTTTTGCTTCAAATATGATAAAAAATGGCCTACTCAATCAGGGTCACGTGACTTTCGCAACATGTCAAAAGTGACATTTTTTTCAAATTGATCGCTGAAAGTAGGCTTATTTGTTCGAATATCGAAAAAGTTTACTTGAAAAAGTTGTTTCTATTTCAATTTCACACATGCTTCTCAAATTTGATCCTTCTATTGCAACTTTTAGATTTTCATTTTTTTTTTATTTTTCAAAATTTCTGTAATATTTGAAGAATTGTTAATTTCACGAAACTACTTCATACCAGTAGCTTTTTCATGCTTCTTAATTCCAATTACTCATTATCAATGATTATGGACAGAAATATGCTTTTCTTCAGAAAATGATAATACCCGCTTCCAAATTCTGTTATGTTTGATGCAAAGTTGATATATCGTCAAGCATTTAGAAACGAAATTCATTTAAACTGATCTTTTCAGTACTGAAAAAATAAATTCAAATGAATTTCGTTTCTAAATGCTTGACTCTAACATAACAGCATTTTGATGTTATGTTTGCATCAAACATAACTTAATTTTGACGCGGAGATTATCATTTTCTGAAGAAAATCATATTTTTGTCGATAATTAGTAATTGAAATTTAGTAGCATGATGGAGCTACTGGTATGAAGTAGTTTTATCGAATTTACAATTTTTTTAATATTACAGAAATTTCGAATTTTTTTAAAAAATATCGAAATCTAAAAAATGTAATAGAAAGATAATATCCGAGACACATATGTAAAATTGAAATAGAAACAACTTTTTCAAGTAAACTTTTTTGATATTCGAACAAATAGCCTACTTTCAGCGATTAATTTGAAAAAATGTCACTTATGACATGTAGCGAAAGTCACGTGACCCCAATTGAGTAGGCCATTTTTCATCTTTTTTGAAGCAAAACTTGACGTCCAACTCGAATTTCAAAATAAGTCATTAATAAAAGTGTTTCCCATATGATGCTGACTTTATGAATGACACTGTATATGTCCATCATCAGCCTTTTATTTATTATTCCAAATTTTTTGGGATTTTCTCTCCTCGTTTCTATAAAATAAAAATATGAATATTATTTCAATATACGTGTAGTAAGGACAAATCAGATGATTTGCCCCAAAATGTCACTGCGTTTAAAGAATTTTCCTATCAGAGAGCCTAAAAGAAAAATTCACTAGCTTGTCAGTGACAATTTGTATTGAAAAAATTTTTGGAGAAGGGAAATAAAGGTATATAGAAAAAATATCAACGTCCAAAGATAAGTGAAAATTTGATATTTTTTCTATATACCTTTATTTCCCTTCTCCAAAAATTTTTTCAATACAAATTGTCACTGACAAGCTAGTGAATTTTTCTTTTAGGCTCTCTGATAGGAAAATTCTTTAAACGCAGTGACATTTTGGGGCAAATCATCTGATTTGTCCTTACTACACGTATATCGAAATAATATTCATATTTTTATTTTATAGAAACGAGGAGAGAAAATCCCAAAAAATTTGGATTAATGAATGTACCACCTCCTCGATTAACCTACAGACAGTATTTAGCCTTTTATTTATTTATTTATTCATTTAATGAAAATAGGATACAAACAGGCAGAACCCCAACACTGTATCCACTAGTTACACAGAATACTCTGATGCTTACATTTCACAAAGTTAATATCACAATAACATTAAATATTCAGTACCTGAAGATAAAACAAAAATAAATTCCGAATTTTGATCAATCAGACGAATATATGGTTTCTAATAAGTGCCCTGAACTGATTCAATGATGTACAATGTATATCTACGTTGCTGCAATATTTAATGAAATTATCACTCATTCTACTTATTGGCGAGTTCAGTCCCAAATTGGTATGACAAAAATTGACAGTCAAAAATATTTCAAGTCTTGTGGGTCTAGACGGTACATGGAATAATATGAGAGATAACAACATAGAAGAACTTAAATGATTCCTCATTATTTTATAGATGAATAATGAATCAGACATATTTCTACGTTGCTCCAAGGTTATAAGTCCAAAAGAGCGTCTGGTTTTGTTAATACTCTCTTCAACAAATGAATTGTTCACTATGAAGTTCAGAAATCTCACAAAAATATTTTGAACTCTCTCCAATCGTACTTTGTGGTTGGTATAAGGACTCCAAATGACACTTGCAAACACATTATCGGCTATATACGTAGGTATAATATAATGTTTTGATTGAATTTTGAGACCGAAAATATTTACAAGTTCTTTTAATAAAACCTAACATTCTATTGCATTTGTTAGTAACATAATCAATATGCATTGCCAAATTTGGAATTTGGAATCGAAAATAACTCCAAGGTCCTCAATATAAGATACTTTTTCCAAATGGGAACCATTCAAATTATAATCAAATGTAATAGGGTTCTGATTCCTAGCAAAGCTAATACTGCAACATTTCCTTGAGTTCAAAAATAATCTAATATTTTTACAATACACATCTAACCTATCGAGATTGATTGATTGTCTTTATTACATACATACAATCGTCCAACGACATATGCTTCTTAGATAGTGGACTGTATTTGTATAGATATGATGGTGAAATGAAGATTGATATTAGAATTGCAGTGTGTATTGCATTGCTTCTTTAGTTATTAATTTAATTAATGAATTTCATGTTTTAGCAACAAGGTGAACTACTTATAGTGAGTAGCAGTGGGTAGAGATCACACCAGCCAAGAACTATGACCGAATTTGGTTTCAACATTTCACATTTTACCTCTGAGCAACAGGTGGTACGGATTGGACCTGCCCATCAGCTCTCGCGCATCTTGGGATCTTGCCCAACAGCGAGATGCAGCGAGCGGTGAGGCCGCTGTAGTTAAAAAAGTATCTTGTTGGTCTAAAAATGCGTCCATACCGAAAGTCATGGTTATTCAACTTCTTGCCAGTACCCTTGGTTATTTACAACAAGATGTGTTCGCTTGAACTGCGTGTTGCTACCTGTGAAAGCTTCAGCTGATTGGCATTCACCGTTAATCCAGGTAGTTTTGAGTGCTGCTCTGTATCCTTCATGAAGAGCTTGGCAGTCTTCTGAAGGTTTGATTTGAATAGATCCGGCTCAAAGGACCAATATGCTTCATAGATAGTGGACTGTATTTATATGGATATGATGGTGAAGTGAAGATTGATATTAGAAGTATGGAATGTATAATAGAGGACCGATTATTGAACCTTGTGGTACGCCTTTTTTTACTATTTTTATTTCGGATTTGATAGGAATACCGTTCTCATCATAGTCAATTTGAAGTTGCTTTCTATTCTGGGGGTATGAATTGATAAGAAGTAGTGGCACCCCTCTGATTCCCATACGATCCAGTTTCCTGCACAGAATGGTATGGTCGACGCTGTCGAATGCATTTGACAGGTCAAGGCACAATGCTGCTGTTTTTTGATTATTATCTAATGACTTGAGTACTGTTTGTACCCATTTTACCTCTGAGCAACAGGTGGTACGGATTGGACCTGCCCATCAGCTCTCGCGCCACCTTGCCCAGCAGCGAGACGCAGCGGGCGGTGAGGGCGGCCTCCTTCGCCTTGCCGGTGGCCTCGAGGAGGAGGGCGAACAGCCACTGCAAGCCGGCGGAGGACCGTACATCTTGGATCGAGTCGAGGGTTCGGAAGAGGGCGGCGAGGACGCATGAGGAGAGGCGGTCTGAGCGGTCCGAGCCGATGTTTTCTGCGCCTCTGCAAAATGATGAGAGTGTTGAGAGGTCTAGAGTATGGTTTTTGAAGAGTGGGGACACCCTTATCATGTTTTGAAATGTCTGAAGTAATAATGTGAGACACATTTTTGTTTTCATTGAATAACAATTTACTTATAGAGTAGAGTAGAGTAGAGTTTTATTGACTACTTGATGTACATTCATACATTTGTAGCAAGTCCTAAATGATTCCATTTTGGTGAAAAGAATGTAAAAAATTATAATTTACAATGAAAGACAAAAAATATACCATCAAAGACAAATAGTATACAGTCAAAAACAAAAACAAAATACACATTTACGTTTTCCTCAAGAGTGGATGATAGGCAAGTGTGTTCCTTGTATCAAAATTGTGGCCACTAACGTGAGCCAGATATTCTGCAATTGAGTAAAAGAAATTTTTTCAAAATAATCTTTCATAACTCTCTTGAAATATATACATAACATATTCATAGTTTTAATACTGGCATGATGAGCATTATAATATAATCTGAGATCCTGAGAATTTGTTTGTGATTTGCTGAGTTTGTAACGTCGAGGTCTGATAAGATCACTGTTGCGTGTATTGTGATTATAGAAACTAGATTGCTTAGGAAGCAGGGGAGCTTTTTTGTGAATCTCTACTATACTCGTATATTAATACATTGAAGGTACTGACATTATTTTGTGATTTATGAATGAATCACGACATGAATCTCTGTAACCAATTCGAACAAGAATTCTCAGAGCCCTTTTTGTAATATGAAAATACATTGGGCATCACTAGAATTTCCCCATAGTAGGATCCCATAAGAAATATGAGATTGAATTAGTAAGCAAAAAACTATTTTCAATGTAGTGGAATTAGTTATAGGTTTTAGTTGTCGAAATAAAAATAGAGCACTCGATAATTTACTTTTCAAACCTAGAATGTGGCTGGACCAATGCAACCTATTATCCAAGGTAAAACCCAATAACTTAACAGTTTGGAAGTCAGGTAATGGCTGAGCCGTAGATATCACCATGTTTTGTGATTTATCGTTATTCATCATAAGTTTATTAACACTAAGCCAATAGTTGGCTTTTCCTTGTATTTCGACAGATTGATCAGCAAGAGATGACAGATTTTTTGAGGAGTAAATGAGGGATGTATCGTCAGCAAATAATACATTGTGACATGGTTTCATATAGTTGTAGAGATCATTAATATAAATCACAAACAACAGCGGACCCAATACCGATTCCTGAGGCACACCCAAGTTAATTGGTTTCAGCTCAGAAAATTCTGTTATTTGTTGTATAAATAAGACAAAGTGAGCTAGAAAAAGTATCGATCGGAACTCATAATAAACATGTCTAGTTACAATGTCTCACCAAAATATAACTTGTTGATTATGGAATAGTGCTAGAATTTTTTTTTCGAAAAATGAATTTTTTGACCGTGTTTCATATTCATACACTTACACCCTGAATCACTATAATTTATATGATTATATCTAGATTTTGATATTTTTTCCAATTCCTACGAAATTTCTGTGAAATTGAAAAAACTTGAAAAATCGTCTTTCACTCACCTGCAACAAGTTAATATCAACCTGACACACTTGTGCGCTATACTCCTCCCTCCGAGCAACAAACACTGATGCGCCAGCGCAGCCAAATTCTCTTCGACGATCGCCAGAAACTCCAGTTGCTGATTGGGAGCCTCTCCATTGTTGCTCCTATTCCTGGTCAGTCTGGTCGAGGCTATCCAATCCAGGATATCCAGCACAAGATCCAGAACCTTGAATGACATGGAAGAGTTGTATTTGGAAGGATATCGCCTACTTTGTAAAAACCGACATGGTCCTTCGAGCCGGATCATGTAGGATTTTGCCTACAGAAATATGAGGCTGGTTCTCACTTGATACAGGTAGTGTAGTAGTTAAATAACGAAATTATATATTTTTGATATTTTAGTCTGACTGATTTTTTTTGCCTGAGGCGGCCTTTTACCACGCTTCGAGATATATACACGTAATAGATATTCGATGATAAAATGTAGATTTTACTTGATGCAATAAATGAATAAATAAATAGGTTGATTTCGATACCACGTCAAAGTCACAAACGACAGCTTGGGGGTTCTTGCGTGTTGAGCAGAAGCGTTTTCAGACGAGAAACTGACCCTACATTTTCGGATTGCTGCGATATGACCTATATGTATATTGTGACGTATCTTATTTGTATTCTTATGAATGCATCTAAAAGACAAATAAATTATCTATATATCTATCAATCTATGATAACGTCGTGGTCCAAAATATAGCCTGAATTCAAAGTAGAACAACTCACGAATTTCCTCACTAATATGAATTCGGTTTTCACCGATGATTAGTCTAATTTCTTGACAGTTTGTTGTTGCAATATGAAACTTCTGTAATTTCAGATAACATTGCTACAGAGTGATAATTGAATGGGTGTGAAAGTGCATCGTGGACGTCACAGATATTTTTTTTTGTTTGTATCCTCTTGATTGATGCTTTTTCTCGAAGCATTTTCGGAATTTTCAAATTCAGAGCTTTGATAATCGTTTCATGAATATTCATTCAAAAAGATGCATTTTTTTCGACGATTAATTGAATGGAATTGGAAGTTGGAATTCTTTTTCGAAGAATCAACGTAGTATGTATAGTCGTCGGATATGTGATTGTGTTCAAACACATACAATTCTGAAGAAGTCTATACAAATTGATACAGGAAATACTGAATGATGGAATGGCGAATAACATAATTTGTTTCTCAAGGTCAAAGGGATTTGTATTTCTATAAGCACCAATACACTCTTTGTATAACATACGAGTATTTCCATGAGTGATGCGATTTAATTACCTCATTGCTGGCCCCGGACACGGCGGTGAGGATGAGCGACTGCACGAACACGTTCGACTCCAGCATGAGGCAGCGCTGCGTACGGTCGTTGGGCGCTGTCGACCTCTTGACGGTGTGCAGCGTCACGCTCAGCTCGTGGATGACGTCGCAGCCCATGTAGAAGTCGGTCTTCCTCGACGGCAGGCCCAGCTTGTCGATGGTGATGTTCGCGGTGGATTTCTCGAACTTTTTCGCCTTGCTCTTGTTGATGTCCTCTTTGGAATTGACGGCTCTCACGTGTAACAGCAAGTTTCTCAACTAGAAGAAGATATGGATTCTTGAAAAATGTTTGAAGAACAAGTTATAGATAAACTGGTCAACATTGATAACGTCGTGGTCCAAAATAAAGCCTGAATTCAAAGTAGAATAACTCACGAATCTCCTTACCAATTTGAAATCGGTTTTCACCGATGATTAGTCTAATCTCTCGACAGTTTGTTGTGATAATTGAATGGGTGTAAAATTGCATCGTGGTCGTCACCTCACCGTTTGAACAGATTTTTTTTTTCTCACCAGTATCCTCTTGATTGATGCTTTCTCTCGGAACGTTTTCGGAATTTTCAAATTCAAAGCTTTGATAATCGTTTCATGAATATTCATTCAAAATGATGCATTTTTTTCGACGATTAATTGAATGAAATTGGAAGTTGTAATTCTTTTTCGAAGAATCAACGTTGTATGTATAGTCGTCGGGTATGTGATTGTGTTCGAACACAGAAAATTCTGAAGAAGTCTATACAAAGTGATACAAGAAATACTGAATGATGGAATGGAGAATAACGTAGTCTTCAGTGGATGAAACGTAATTTTCTCTGTGTTACTAGTGAAATAATGGAGTGTTACTCCGTCATGAGGATGTCTGGTGTCTGACCTCGAAATGGTTTTGTAATTTCTCGGATCGAAGGTCATATAATGAAGGTACGCATTTGTGTATAAATGAAATGAAATGATTTGACAAACTATTGTGGTTTCTTTCTCTTTGTGTTTATAGAAATTCCCTTTTGTGCGCTTCAAGAGATGAGAAAATAAATCACATTTATAATTATCAATTTCTAGTTACCTTCGTTTTGTATAACTTGGGGCTGGTCATAGATACTATTCCGCTCTGCTCTGTCAAATCCAGGTGCGAGGATATATCGATGGGCCCCGCCATTATTTCGGCGTTCTGCGCCCTCAGGTACTCCTGAGAGACCACCGGATTGTCCACCCATTGCAACATTTCGATAGTGACCGTCTCGTCCACTGAAAATTTCACGTCTTTTTTGTGACCGATGCCACTCTTGTTCTGTCTCAAAAGCGTCACTTCCACCTGAAATAATGGGATAGTTTAGTCTTTAATTATCTCAAGTTATAGTTTGGCCAGTCCCAAGCATAAATTTATTCGTGTTTTGTTGGGCAACACGTGAGATATTAGATTAATTCTGTCTGAAATGTTCTTTAAATTTTGTGCCAATGCTTCGACGAGTTTGCCCAATATAATTCATGTTACAGCTATTACAATTATCTCATGAATTAAGGGTGAATGAGAGTCATTCAATAAATGAGGCTATTCATAAAAAAATTAAGATGTAGAATATTATAAAATGATTATTTTCAGATAAAATTAGGAATAACTATTTTTATTTACCTGTGGGGAACAACTGCTTGGTTGCAGGGTGAAGTGAACGTCGACATGGCCTAAGAGGGTTGGAGTCGGCAGGGTTATTTCGAATATGTGTTCATCCCAAGTTGTTATGTCCGTGAGAAGTCTCCAGGTTTTTGTAGTCTGCTCACCATCTCCCTATTGAGAAAAGATGAAGATTTATGGAAAGTAAGATTTTGCCACCAAAAACTCCCCAATTCTATCACCTGGAAGTTTCCAGAAATGCGATAGGTAATGTTTTATTAATATTGTAGTCACCGAACTTTCGTACTTTGATCGGACTAAAAGTGCTGATCCATATATTACAATAGATATTCATGTTTGATGGACTGGAAATAGTGGAAGAATATATCATGTACTTGCGAACGTAACATCGGTGATCGGAATAAACCAACTTTTCTGGTAACTGTGTCTATTTAATCTACCCGCAACAACCAACATTTCAAACGCATTTGTTCAATTTTGGGCGTTGTGCCAACTTTACTGAGACACGGCTCGTATTTCTCCTATGGGTGGATTCTATAAAAAATGCTACCTTTTGCACGTTCGGCTGCCTGCGCTGCCTTAACGACTGCTGGAACTCGCTCCAACAGGGCGGCACCACTACGCAGTACCCAGTCTTGAGCACGTCGAACTCGCACAGCGCATAAAAGCCTCTCAAATCGGACAGCGAGACGACGGCGGGCGGCTTCTTGAAGTACCTAATAATAATAATAATAATAGTAATAATAATAATGAACCCTATTTTTGTTTTGATAGCTGCAGAAATGGTCAACAGAATAAAATAGTGAACTCTTATTGTATCCTCCAGTTCAATAATATTAGGAGGCCGGCTGCAGATTTCTACCGTCATCTGATAACGGAATGATAAATGTCCCAAAGGAATCCATGGCTCAGCGATTTATTTGCTCCTGTTTTTTCCGGACATACTTCCAAACGAAAAAGTTCATCTCAAGAGAAAATTGCTGATAAAATCTGAATCAGAAATTGTGATAAGTGTACTTCAAGTTCTCATTGAAGGTCTCAGTCAGTGCTTACCAATCTATATTATATTCGTATTGTACCATTTAATGACTATACTTACTTATTTTTTAAATATACTTTTGTCTTTTTGTTTTTTTTTTTCATTTCTCGATGAGTGACAAATAAGGGAATACAGATTTTTCAAGTGTCAACCAGACATTTCAATAATCCATTGATACTATTTACTTACAAAAAACAACTGTACACTAACCTTGTGATGGTGATATCCACCACAAAAAACTACTGGAATATATCTGTTGAGCAACTACTATAAGATATTCAAAAATAGAATGAACGATGGTAAATTGAGAGTAAAAATGTAAATAAGAACTCACTTATTTGCCTCCTAATGGCGGATGGGCGGAGCTTATAAACCTATTGTCGCCGCTGTCTTGTATACAGTCACTATAGGCTATACTAGAGTGTCACTAAATAGCTAAAAATCTGATGGGTATCTCCCATTCAATGATGAATTTGCGCCTTCGAAGTGCCCACCTGAAGTTTGGTATAGATATTTGATTCTTTCGTTTCATCATCTTAATAATCTGAGACTTACGAGTCCCAAAAGACGGATTCTAATAGTTAATATCCAAGGTACCGACGTATAGAGTGTCATGTCTGATTGTTGGGTGTTTTGTGTCCAAAGAGCAGAAACATAGAGATATAGAATGCGTAGAACCATATATCTACTATTTCTATATATGGCGCGTCGCATCGCCTATACGATATCTCAACAAAAATGGGACCATAATGAGAGGTACTTTTTGAATCCATAAGGACGGAAAGTAAAGGATGGAAACTGGTGACGTGAGGATCAGATTTCAAGTTAGGTTAGGTTCCTAAATAAATATGTGATCATAATAAAATATTAAAAATCGTCAATTGTTGATAATACCACAGTATAATACCGTCAACTTCGATAAAATATAGCAAAGCATGTCAGCAACTTTGAGGAACAGGAAAGAGCCATTGCAGATGATATGAAATGAACTGCGATAATGATTCACTTCACACCCTTTAATCCAACATTATTGTTTCAGATCTTGGTATTGAATATTGAATATTATAAGTCAGGGTTAACCTAGGTATATGTATTTTTTCTCAATGTGGTGAAAGTGATCTACTCAAATCTGTTTAGCGTGATAGGACTACACTACAATACTTGAAATTTATTGATTCAAACTTAAATACTGCATTTTGTTTTCGAAAAAGTGCAGTCCATGAAAAATAAACGAAAACACAAACACTAAAGAATTGTACAACTAAAAACGCAAATATTCAAATTTCAATCACATACGCAATAAAACCAAATTTAAAAATTTGAAATTCGTAGCCATATTGGTTCAACAAGTTTCGTATAATTTTTTCCCTACGTCGGCACCAACGCCTATTGGTCAATTTTGTTACCTGTAGAGACAGAAGTTGGTTCCGCTTTGAGGACAGCTATTCTTCATATATAGAGTAGTAGATATATGCGTAGAACTGAATGGAGAAAACAAGACAAGTGGATGCACCGCCATATTAGAGATCTGACCAATCAAAAAGTGTACTACTATTGCCGTCACTCTATTTATATAGTCACTCCAGACTATACTATAGACTGCTCTTGGCAGAAATATTGTCATAGTTTTCGTCTGATACCTCGTGTGCTCCGAGCTGTCCGACGCGTCCGGCTGTGGCGGCGCGCCGTCGGGACGGTCAGCGTGGACGCCGAACAGGTCGTCCTCCTCGTGGTCGTCGCTGGACTCGTTGTCGGTGTTGGTGAGCGCGTAGAAGTGCAGCGAGCCCTTTCTCGTCGACGCGCACAATCTGTCGAGGCCTGAAAGGCAATAGATACGATAGTTTTCCCACCACTAGCTATGAAACCAACCAATGTTTTGAATAATAAGAGCTTGACGAAGAGAGGCATCACATAATATACTATTATTTTCATAAACATGGAAATAACACCCAGAAAACTCAAGAGATAAGATGAGTTCCAATAGGCGACAGAAAAGAAGGCGTCGTCCTCGATCTTGGCGAAGCAGATCATAGCTAGGAGGAATAGCAAGTAGGTTAGGCTGATATTTGAATTATGGGAGCTTGTCGAAGAGAGGAATATTGAATTATTTTTAGAAACATAGAAAGAACGCCCCGAAAACTCAAGAGATAAGATGAGTTCAACTCACTGTTCCAATAGGCGACAGAAAAGAAGGCGTCGTCCTCGATCTGGGCGAAGCAGATCATAGCTAGGAGGAGTAGCGAGTAGGTTAGGCTGATATTTTAATTATGGGAGCTTGTCGAAGAGAGGAATATTGAATTATTTTTAGAAACATAGAAAGAACACCCCGAAAACTCAAGAGATGAGATAAGTTCGACTCACTGTTCCAATAGGCGACAGAAACGAAGGCGTCGTCCTCGATCTGGGAGAAGCAGATCATAGCTAGGAGGAGTAGCAAGTAGGTTAGGCTGATATTTGAATTATGGGAGCTTGTCGAAGAGAGGAATATTGAATTATTTTTAGAAACATAGAAAGAACGCCCCGAAAACTCAAGAGATGAGATAAGTTCAACTCACTGTTCCAATAGGCGACAGAAACGAAGGCGTCGTCCTCGATCTTGGCGAAGCAGATCATAGCTAGGACGAATAGCAAGTAGGTTAGCCTGATATTTGAATTATGGGAGCTTGTCGATATAGAAAGAACACCTCGAAAACTCCAGAGATAAGGCAAGTTCGACTCACTGTTCCAATAGGCGACAGAAACGAAGGCGTCGTCCTCGATCTGGGCAAAGCAGATCATAGCTAGGAGGAGTAGTGTTTGGTACTTTGTACATCACCCTTTATGTTATATCTAGGTCAAGTAGTTAAGACACCATGTATGTCCAGTACTTTACCTGTATGATCCTGTATAATGGTAGTTGCTAGTGGTATTACCCTATATAGGATAGGATTTCATTTGTTGTTATCATGACGACGTGTTGTTGAAACATAAGATTGAATCAATAAAGTTGGGAGAGAAATTGCAATCGGTTGCAATTTCCCTTTTATTCTTCATATCATATCAGTTTTTATTCAACGATCGAAATACAGTCCACACTCATCACCAAGAGCATCGAACAAGTAGCGAGTAGGTTAGGCTGATATTTTAATTATGGGAGCTTGTCGAAGAGAGGAATATTGAATTATTTTTAGAAACATAGAAAGAACACCCCGAAAACTCAAGAGATAAGATAAGTTCGACTCACTGTTCCAATAGGCGACAGAAACGAAGGGGTCGTCCTCGATCTGGGAGAAGCAGATCATAGCTAGGAGGAGTAGCAAGTAGGTTAGGCTGATATTTTAATTATGGGAGCTTGTCGAAGAGAGGAATATTGAATTATTTTTAGAAACATAGAAAGAACACCCCGAAAACTCATGAGATAAGATAAGTTCGACTCACTGTTCCAATAGGCGACAGAAACGAAGGCGTCGTCCTCGATCTGGGAGAAGCAGATCATAGCTAGGAGGAGTAGCAAGTAGGTTAGGCTGATATTTGAATTATGGGAGCTTGTCGAAGAGAGGAATATTGAATTATTTTTAGAAACATAGAAAGAACGCCCCGAAAACTCAAGAGATGAGATAAGTTCAACTCACTGTTCCAATAGGCGACAGAAACGAAGGCGTCGTCCTCGATCTTGGCGAAGCAGATCATAGCTAGGACGAATAGCAAGTAGGTTAGCCTGATATTTGAATTATGGGAGCTTGTCGATATAGAAAGAACACCTCGAAAACTCCAGAGATAAGGCAAGTTCGACTCACTGTTCCAATAGGCGACAGAAACGAAGGCGTCGTCCTCGATCTGGGCAAAGCAGATCATAGCTAGGAGGAGTAGCGAGTAGGTTAGGCTGATATTTTAATTATGGGAGCTTGTCGAAGAGAGGAATATTGAATTATTTTTAGAAACATAGAAAGAACACCCCGAAAACTCAAGAGATAAGACAAGTTCGACTCACTGTTCCAATAGGCGACAGAAACGAAGGCGTCGTCCTCGATCTGGGCGAAGCAGATCATAGCTAGGAGGAGTAGCGAGTAGGTTAGGCTGATATTTTAATTATGGGAGCTTGTCGAAGAGAGGAATATTGAATTATTTTTAGAAACATAGAAAGAACACCCCAAAAACTCAAGAGATAAGACAAGTTCGACTCACTGTTCCAATAGGCGACAGAAACGAAGGCGTCGTCCTCAATCTTGGCGAAGCAGATCATAGCTAGGAGGAATAGCAAGTAGGTTAGGCTGATATTTGAATTATGAGAGCTTGTTGAAGAGAGGAATTTTGAGTTCATAGAAAGCGTTTATTAAACAGTCGTAACTAAAAAGACATTAATAAAACGTATTACATAATAAACTATTATTTTTAGAAACATGGATACCGAAAACTCAAGAGATAAGACAAGTTCGACGTACTGTTACAATAGGCGACAGAAACGAAGGCGTCGTCCTCGATCTTGGCGAAGCAGATCAAAGCTAGGAGCAGGAGTAGCAAGTAGGCTAGGCTAATGTTTCGTCGAAGAGAGGAATATTGAGTTCATAGGAGTATATAACACGTTTATAGACACTTGTGTATTAAAAACTCGTTACTAAATAGACGTTAATAACACTCATCACATAATATACTATCATTTTTTATGAAAATGGAAATAACACCCGGAAACCTCAAGAGATAAGACAAGTTGGACTTACTGTTACAATAGGCGACAGAAACGAAGGCGTCGTCCTCGATCTTGGCGAAGCAGATTGTTCGCAGGCCGGCCAGGCCGATGATGCGCACCGTCCCGTCGGCGCACACCATCGCCGCGTTGCCCTCGGCGTCGCACCGCCGCTCCGCGGTAGCCCCGAGCCGGTCGATGGCCGGCAACAGGCTCATCGCGACCGGCCGTTCGGGTCCTGTCAGCTCGCGCATCAGCACCGGCTCCTCTGCCACCTGAAACATGCACGCCAATGGATTATGCAATGGCGTAATTAACTTTCATCCCTAGAGGGGAAAATTAGAAGCAATACGCAACATACCTACAGAAGACAAAAATAATTACATTCAAATAAATATAAAAATAACAAAATTATATGAAAACAATACATATAAATAATCGCATCTACGTTAAAATTCACATTATATATTATCATTACATATAAGTATGGTCAATATCAGAACGCTTCGACATTAAAATATTCTAATTGATTATAATAGGCTTTAGATGCCAGTCTTTCATGTAGTTTTTTTCTAAATGTTTTGAGAGAATCCAAATTCTTCAATTCTGCAGGTAGTCTATTATACATTTTGACACCATTGTAAATTATTGAGTCTTTAATCAGTGTGGATTTAGGAATGACTAATGATAAATTCGATGCATTTCGTGTAGTGCGATTGTTATTTTCATAAAGATTTATTCTTGAAAATGAGACATGTAGCTTCTAAAACGTAGATTAAGGTAGTGTCAATAATCCGTGTCTCAGGAAAAGAGGTTTGCAGGAACTCAGCCTATTTACTTGGCACAAATACCGCACCGCCCGTTTTTGCAGCAAAAATACACTCTCAAAGGATTCATTTCTACCCCAGAACTGAATTGCGTACCTCAAGTTTGACTCTATGAGAGCAATAGCAAACATTTTTTGCAGCAGCATAACTAATTCATTCGCTGTAGACCTGAGGGCAAAACATCCTGATGCTAATTTTTTGTTCAAGATGTCAATTTGTGAATTTCAAAGCAGTATCGATGTTGAGTCCCAAGAATTTTAAATTGCTATCAGAATGTACAGAGTCAGTCCCTAGTTTTATATTAGGAAGAAGACATTTAAATGTGATTAATTTTGTTTTATTGAGATTTAAAAATGGAAAGTTTGCATCGCACCACGATTTGGGAATTGAAATAGGAACAAAAAAACACAACGAAAATTAAAAATTCAACTTATTTAGTTACTTAATACCTAATCTTGTAGATTGTAGATGGGTCTTGTAGGCTGGGAAATCTCTCGATCACTGCGACCTAGAAGATCTATTGTGATTACCCTTATCTAGTTTTGGTCATCTAACCCTAGACTTCTAATGAAGCCTATTTGAATTTTCCTACTGAGCAGGTGTGAGATAGACCTGTTTTAGGGGAATCAGCCTTTGGCGGACTAAAACTCTACATGAGCAAAGTATGTGTTCCGCGGTTTCGATCGCATTGTTGCAAAAGCGGCAAGTGTCAGTCTCCGCCAGGCCCATCTTTTAGAGGTGGTACCTCAGAGGCAGTGTCCTGTGAGAAAGCCTTTGATAAGCTTTAGCTCTGGTTTTCTGATGCTGAGTAGCTCTTTGGGTTTTCTTGAGTTAAGACTTCGCGTCGTTTATGAATTCACAATTGCAAGTTGAAAATATAACGCACCAATTCCATTTAAACACGCCTCGCTATTTCAACAAAATGGGCGATATCAAGAGATTTCAAAACTCCTACTATTACATCTATTTACCCACCTTCACCATTTTGTCGGTGAAGTCCAGGGCGTACAGGATGAGAAAGCTCTCAGCTGTCTCGGCGCCTTTGAGCACGAGCAACACGTGCTTCTGGTCGGCGGTCGGGAGGATGTCGGAGATCTCCAGGTCGTGACAGTTGGCGCACTGGGCAGGCAGGCTAACGCACTGGACGGCGCGAGAGTAGTTGAGTTTTTTGCTCGACTGATTGTTTTTCACCTGAAGCCAAGAAAAATTTGTTGTACTAATTCGGCCGCTACTTGATGAAAATCAAATTATCTAGCTATCTTTGTTGCTGCTGCCCCTGACACACTCTGTGCTATTCGAGAAACCGGCAGTCTTCCTTCCAGTTGTTTATTTTGAGTTCATTGTCCCAATAACGCGGTATTATTGATGCATACAGGGCAAGCTCACGTGCGTAAAATCAATTTGAGTCCATACATTTTCCATGCATTGGCATTCTAGATGAGTGTATAATTCTGTGAGTAGAACTAGTAAAGTGAGTAGGTAGGTAATTTTTTCAGTTAATGATGTAAAGAACAATGATTCATTATGAACATAATATATAAAATTTAATGGTTCAACATAAATATAAATTCGGAGCGCGGGAGATGCCACCTAAGCAAGCTTGGGTTGTGGCATCACCGATCTCGTTATAGGTTCAATTATTGGAAATAGGTGTATATGAAAAGAATAATTCAAGTACTTCATGAACGAGAGTGAACATGATTGGCTTCAAAGGTTCTCAAGTATAACTTTGAGACAATCAAAGTTATTCTTCACAAACTTTTTCAGCTTCTGTTTCATGACTTTGATACTACAGACATTTTGCAGTTCAGAAGGTAGTTCATTAAAGAGTTTGGGTCCAATATAAGTGATGAACCTCTGATTATGTCTTACAAATGGGACATCCATGATTCAAAATGCAACCTGAGACAACAATGTAAATGTGATATGACTATAAAAAAAAAAACGAGTTTGAAATATCTTGGAGTTGTCTTGGATGAAAAGCTCACTTGGAAAGAACATGTAGAGTAATGTATCTACAAAAATTAGGAAACTAACTCATAAATTCTATGAACTGAGAAATATAGTACCTCTCAAAACTCTAAAATCAATTTATTTTGCTTTAGCAGTCATTATTGAACTATGGATTGGTGGTTTGGGGTGATGCAGGTCCAACAGCCTCAGCAAAATTACAAGTATCCCAAAAATGGATTATAAAAATTATGCTTTTCAAAAACAAAAGATATCCTAGCCATAGTGTGTTCTAAGATAGTAAATTACTGAACATTGAACAACTCCATCTGAAAGCAGTCATAAGATTCATGATAAATAACAACGACTACAAAGTAATCATAAAACATTGCCAAAATACAAGAAATGTCGCTAGAGGCAAAGTTGAGCTGCAAAACCCTAAGCACAAAGTTTGTCCACCCCAAACAACAATACAGTAGCGAATGATAGATTCAGATAAGGCACTATAGATCATCATGAGTCTTTTTATTCAAAATATTCCTGAGCTGGTAAAATTTGTGAATCAGTTTACGTAAGCTTTTCATGGTATAGGTAATAGGTGGCGTGCACGATGACCGACCCTGGAGTTAAAATATTGAATCACAACCTCACTCTTCTGTGAAACATTGAAACACAACCTCTCTTTTTTTATTTGTTTACAGAGGAATCAAAGGATTGAAATAGTTTTTCACAATATTTTGGCATACGAATCGTGTTTTTTGCGCTATTCATCAATTCAAGCTTGCCTTCGCATTCTGCTGGTGTACAATGCACAAAAAATGCAGCGAGAGACGAAGGAATATGATTTTTCAGGTCCATATTAATCTCGCATAGTTTTCATGAAATGTTTTTCTTATTAAAATTTCTTCTGCCACTTCTGCAATAGAAGCTAATACTGCTAAAGGATTGAAAATGATCATATTTCGTCAGCATGTCAGTCCTCCCGTTTGATTGCATGAATCCAATCTTATTGCATTACCTATTTAAGAAATTTCACGAGAATTTCTATTAGTTCCTATTGCAGAAGGAATTCCGATGAGAAATCAAAGAAATTACCAAATTTCAAAAATGAAATCTATATGTGAGAGACACTTACTTTCAAATCATAATGAACCAACCGGATTGCTTCGTCTCCCGCTGCATTTTTTGTGCATTGTACAACAGCACAATGTGATGGCATGCGCGAATTAATGAATAGCTGAAAAACACTACTCGTATGCCAAAATAATTGTGAAAAACTATTTCAATCACTTGTAAACAAATAAGAAGAGTGAGGTTCTTGCACGCAACCCTAATGCTCATTCCAGCGCAGAAATTGGTAAATCATAACCCCCCAAATATTTGATCGATCGAGTTTTATTGACAGTTGGTAGACAGGCAGACTGGAACCCACCTCGGTGATGTGATCGGATATGCTCAGATCGCAGTCCAGGCCGGCCATCTGGCCGTTCGTCATCGGCTGGCCGCTCGACGACGAGTCCGTTTTACCGCCGTCCGCCTCGTCGAACAGCAGCACCCTCGGCCCGGAATGGGGCTTCTTGGCTGTCAGGGTGGGCGGCAGGAACACCTCGTCGCTCTCGCCCGGCACGAAGCTCTTGTAGAACGACGACAGCTGCTTCATCAGGTTGTAGCCGGGCAGCTCCTGCGATCGAATCCGCTTTTTATTCATTTATCATTAATAACATCTTTAAAATCTATGTTTTCGAGCATATCACATTCTATCGACATTAGCGACAAACTATTCAATCTCTCTTGAAGCATTGTACTTCTTATTAATTCACTTTTTATTCGTTTTAATTTGGAGAGGGAGCGTTGCCCAATGCAGTTAGTTACCATCATGCTTAGAAAGATTCTCAGTGCGATTATTGCGAAAAGCAATTGAAATGAAAAATTATATTGAAATTTATTAAACATGCTGCAATCGGTAAGCCTCATTTTCAGGCTACTATCGCCTGTCGGGCTTGTCAGTGACAATTTGTATTGAAAAAGGTTTGGAGAAGAGAAATGAAGGTATATAGAAAAAATATCAAATTTTTACTTATCATTTGAATTTTCGGGAACGAATCAGCTCCCGTTTTCAACATAAAAATTGGATTTTTCATATGGCAAATTCGTATTTGTCCTGACACTTTCCATTTCTCAGTGACAATTGGTGACGTTGGCAATCAAATGAGTTAGAGGATGTTTTCATTAATCAATCTTGAATTTATCATTTTCAGATTTCAGTAGTGAATATCATGTTCTATCTATATCAACTGAACAGGAAGCAATGCTATTGTCTCCGTTCAGAAGAATGCAAGCAGATTCCTTGATTTTTCTCTTCTGGTTGTTATCTTCTTTTCCAATGATTTAAATATTAGTTCACTCTACCATATGTTGTCGATCTTCAGTAGCTGAACATATCCTTACTGCAGATACATATCACATATTACCATCTACTGATTAGTTCCTGTTGCTATTTTTATGACTTGATCGATTTAGCATGCTCCGTCTTCACATAATATATATTATATATTTTCTTTTTTTGTTCATTTTCTTCGTTGTTTTGGGAGAACGAAATTTAATATTTTTGCTGTATTGGAATCCTTTTTTATTATTTCTTACTAGTGAAGTTAATCTAACTTCTAATTGAAGTAATTAATTATGGATCATTAATTGCACCTTTCTAATAAGAGTTGCCTTATTGTCTAAAAACATTCATAATCAAAAATTTGCGCATTTATGCCTTGACATTTATTTGCTTCATCCTTTTTCTTTTCATGGCAATTCCTATATCTATATATTCCTCTTTTTCCTTCCATTGTACGCTGGATTTGATTCGGCAAAAAATACCAAGGAAAAATTGACCGGTTTATGGAGATCTGTACGGCCGGCCACGAAATTAACACGCAGAACTTTACTTTTCACGTCTACTAAAGTGTTGAGTACATAACTTTTTGTCCAGTGAATCATATTAAGTGCGTTTCCTACTATGTTACGAGATATAGTACTGGTCTAGAACTGTCACAATTCTCCAGTTATGCAAGAGGGCTGTATTTCCTTCAGATTCTGTCAACCTCCTGTACACCTCCGATTTTGGTAAGTCAAGGCATATACCTTTATGTTCTCTTATCACATCAAAATCGTTTTGCTTACTGATATACTTACATTACAAAGTACATACAATAAAGGGATGAAATTCGATGAACCAGAATGATCCTATACTCACAGTCGACTAGTTGATAAATTTTCCCTTGAAGTTAATTACGTAACTAGCTATAGCATTTTAAGATTTTCTATATTTTTTGTTATTATTTTATTATTGTTGTTTGTAATCAACTTCCTCATATAAGAATTTTATTTCTGACTGGAAGCGATTTTCTCAATAAACAACAAACAAGACACCTCACCTCGCTCTCCAACTCGGCCGCATCCAAATTAAACAAATTCGACATCTTCTCGTCGTTGGCTGACAGCATATTGTCCTCGGCCGAGTACCCCATCACGGGGGCGCCGAAGTCGATCTCGTTCTCGGCCTCCTCCTGCTCCTTGCTATAGAGGAAGTCGTAGGCGACGAGGTACAGCCGCGTCTCGCTCGCCCTGTCGCTGTCCATCGCCATTTCCGGCTGTTTCTCGGACTGAGAGGTGAGGCTCAGGCCGCAGAGCAGAGTGGAGCGGACTGGTTTGGCATTGGTCGGGGTGGATTTGTCGCTGACTATGCAGAGCGAGGTGACTTTCTTCTCCACTGGGTATTTTTCTGGAAGGAATCGTACCTTTGGTGAGGGGGTGGGCATACAAGGTGTTTCTCAAATTGGAGCGATCCTTGGAATGGGCAAAAACATAGCTTTGATTCTAATCAATTTTTTTTCAAGAAAACAGTGGAACACAAGCAGCAGTATTACAGGTGATAAAATCAATCCAGAGAGGACTTGATTCAGGAAATTATGTGGTAGCTGTTTTCATTGATCTCAAAAAGGCTTTTGACACAGTTGATCATACAACACTTTTAGAAAATTTAGAAACAATGGGACTCAGAGGCACTGTGAGAAATATTTTGAATTCATATCTTGAAAATAGGACAATCAATACAAAATCAACCAACTCTGTGTCAAATCAACTACTAATTAATAAGGGTGTTCCACTAGACTCTGTTTTAGGACCTATACTATATTTACTTTATTTTCAACATATCAGTGAAATTGGTCTAGCAAGTAAATATACCATGTATGCAGATGATACTGTACTTTTATATGAAAGCAAAAATCCTTCAAATTTAGAAAATATGATAAATGAAGACTTGAAAATATTTGAAAAATGTCTTCACTCTAACCTTTTATCGATAAATACTGATAAAACAGAATATATAATTTTTCACCAAAAATTTTAACAAAAAATTTACCTTAACCTTAAAATACAAAAAAGAACTCTTGAAACAAACTGACTAGATAAAATATCTTGGTATTTGGTTTGATGACAGGTTGAAGTGGGACAAACATATTGATGTTTTGACAAAGAAAATATCTCCAATTATCGGTGCATTGAGAAGATGTCCCAAACTTGATATTAAAATTGCAAACATCAATCTCTACTTACCCTCATAAACTGAGTCGTATCAACTATTTAATAAATGTTGTTTGCCAATTTATAGTTGTTGGTATATTTTGAACGATAAAATGTTCACCTATAGGTATATAATTATGTACTTCCTTATACCAGAGCCTATTCTGTCTGGAAGTTATTTGTTCAATGAATAAATAAAATAAATAAATATGCCATTATTGCGGCATCTGCTGTCAAGCGTTTTGGGAGAAACAAAACACTTTCTGTGATTACACCGTATTCTATCCACCTTGGTGGGAACACATACAAAAAAAAAGTCACAGCAAGTGACGGCAAATGACAGAATTCTACTTACTATTTTCCGCAACAGACCAAATTCCAGCCTGCCCGAAATCTTGCGTGAACTTGTCCAAGATGAACGAATCGAACTGCGTGACGTAGAAGGAATGTGCCCTTTTGGCCTTGCCGGTCACATCAAAAACCGATATCAGGCCGTCGCTGTTCGCGGTGGGCACCAGGTGGGGCACGTTGCTGTTGCCCAACACCTTCACGTTCAGCCCCCTGTAATCCAGTTAAATTGTACTATTACCAGAAGAGTTGTGGGGTAGTTCTGATGTTTTCATTTCTCAAGTTCTTTGGTGTGCTGAAGCCGCATCTGAGGTATGCTAACAAAATTTCATGACGCAGCATCGAAAAAAATCCAAAGAAAGGTGAACAATATCATTTTTTTGTGTAGTTTGCCCTGTAGACCTGTTTGTCTAGTTGAATGTGAATGTCTAGTTGACATAAATCAATTTGGTTTTCAAGAAAATAGTGGCACACAAGCGGCAATATTACAAGTAATACAAGCAATACAAAAAGGACTTGATACCGGAAATTATGTGATAGCAATTTTTGTTGATCTCAAGAAAGCTTTCGATACAGTAGACCACATAACACTTTTGGAAAATTTAGAATCAATGGGACTCAGAGGCATGATAAGGAACCTTTTAGATTCGTATCTTCAAAATAGGACAATCAGTACCAAATCTACCAACTCAGAGTCTCATAGGCTACCGATGACTAAAGGTGTCCCTCAAGGATCTGTTTTAGGACCAATTTTATATTTATTATATATTCAAAATATCACGAAAATTGATACAGAATGTAATTACACTATTTATACAGACGATACAGTACTTTTGTATGAAAATAAGAATCCTATCATTTTAGAAAATATAATAAACAGAGACTTGATGAAATTTGAAAAATGGCTGCATTCAAACCTCTTATCAAAATACTGAATAAATACTGATAAAACTGAATATATGATTTTTCAACAAAAAAATAAACAAAATATAAATTTAAATCTCATAATTAAAAATGACTCTTTGAAACAAACTAATGAGAAGAAGTATCTTGGGATTTGGTTTGATGATAAATTAAAGTGGGACAAACATATAAATGTTTTGACGAAAAAAATATCTCCTATTATTGGAGCCCTGAGAAGATGTCCCAAGCTGAATAAAAAAGTTGCAAATATAATTTTATATTCTCATATACTCAGTCGTATTAACTATTTGATAAATGTTTGGGGATACTGTTCAAAAAACAATTTTAATAAAATATCTGCATTATATAAAAAGACATTGAATCATTCTCATTAGAAGAAATGTTCAAAATCGAAAGACTGAAAATTACATACAATATCATAAATAAAAGATTGAAATCTAATTTTATTTTAACATGAAACAATGAAATTCATAATTATCAAACTATACAACATGGTTCATTTCATCTTGATATCGCTAATACTTCTATAGGCCAAAAAAGATTCACCCACGCTGCTCTCTTGGAATATAACAAATTACCAGATAATATAAAAAATTGCAGAAATACAATAAAATTCAAATACCATCTTAAAAAATTCATCATTTCTGAACGAAATAGATGACTTTTTTTTTTCAACTTTTGATTCATATTCAAATTGATTTTTGCTCACCAATATGAAATGATTTGTCAAAATTTAATAATTAATGTTTTCAAATATTTTATTATTCATTAGTTTATTATAATTGTATAGTTTTAGGTATTATTGTTAACTATACTTCCTTATACCAGAACTTGATTCTGACTGGAAGTAACATTTTCAAAAAATAAATAAATAAATAAATAAATAAATGTGAATGTATATTAGCATTAATTTTAAAATTCAAATTGGAATGTTTATCATTGTGTTTGACTGAATGAACAAATGTTAATATTTGAATTTATATATTGATTGAAGATCTAATATTTCATTCGGTTTATAAAGGTTTCTTGTTGGTTCCAAATAATCCAATTTATACATACATTTGACAACTTTATTCTGAAGGATTCTAAGTGGCTTTATAATTAATAAACTAGCCGTTCGCTATACCAGACTGGAAGATATGTTTGATAAACAAATACCTGTAGGTGGAGTCGACGGCAGGGCAGGTGGCGTGGGTCACTGACAAAGGCACGTTCTGCGTGTACTCCCCGATCACGAACGGGCAGTTGGGCGAGTGTCGTTCGTGTTCGCTGCAGGGCTCGTCGGTGCGCTCCCAGCACACCAGGCACACGGTGCACGTGAAGCACATGGCGCGATCGTCTCCCGAAGAGTTCGGCTGATGGTAGAAGCCGGCTTGCGCCATTTGGTCCGGCAGTGCCCATCTGGAATCAATCAATCGTAGTGTTGCCGGGGTAGCAACGGGTGAGACCAAGTCCCATCCCCCCTTCCAAGACTCCCCCTATCTTTCGACTTATACCGACAGCACACCCCAGAGGGAAATGGACGATTTGGATACGCCAAATCAGCGCGCTAGAGCCATCTCCGTTATGTAACGGCATGTTCTCCTTCTACCATTTTATTATAACAATGGTGAGGCCGTCTGATAAAACAGACTACTGTCTCTGCAGTGTCAGTGCCCGAGCGCAATTTTACTAAATATACTGTACGCTAACACATACCACGCCCACCGTTATATCTCATCTTCAAAGTACTTTACTTAGGCAACACTCAAAGACTATTTATCCTTAACGAACTAACCTATCCCTGATTGCAATATTTTTGAGGAAGGAAAACCAGAATATAGTGTAGAATAACATTGATTAATAATACACTCACCGGCAAAATAAACCGGCCACCAAAAAATCAGCCCAAATTGTTAAGCCCGTAACTTTTTTAATCCTTGTTCGATTTTTGTGAAATTTCGATCAAATTGTAGATTCATGTTCCGGAATGTTAGCCTAGCTATCAGTTTTCCTGAAAAGCTGATGACTTGATCATTATACAGGGAAAAACCAAAGTTACTCTTTCACCCTATACTTCTCAACGCCCTGTGGCAAAATTGCGTGATGGAACATAACTTCATTATGCTTCGGATTGAAGTGTGATCCCTTCTATGCACAAAAGTTTTCGATTCACGTCAATATCTTATTTTTAAAAGAAGATACGAGTGTTTTAAGGAAGTATGGCGTTTTCCAACTTTTTTTACCAATAATCAGATCTTACATGAACTTATTGATTAACAACTTCAAGGATTAATATCACATATTTCTACCTTACTTTCTTAGCACTTACCGGAAAATCAATTACAAAAAAACAAACAAGAAGCAGACCTGTAGTCAATACTCCTTATGCTCTCCTCGATATTGAATTACGGCATTCAACCGAAGTAGTATTGAATTGATCAAATTACTCAAGTAGCCTTGAAGAATTGCCTGAAATCCTCCTTGAAGGGCGAATCGTAGCTCTTGAAGAGTATCTGACAAGGCTGGGCGAAGGCGAATGAGCCTCTAGAGGTCACCCCTGAGATATGTAGATAGGTTCTGAATTATTGTTATTGAAAATTAAAAAAATCTATATTTTCTTGAAACACTTGTATCTCCTCTTAAAAAGAAGATATTGACGTTATTCAAGAACCGTTGTATGAAGAAGGAACAAAAGAGGATCACACTTCAATTTAAGACATGATGAAGCATTGAAGTAGAAGGATGGAGAATGTTTCTGAATTTTTGTAAATAAAGAATCCATAATCTCTTGAAACACTTGTATCTTCCTTAAAAAAATGGTTATCGACGTGAATAAAAAACCATAATGTAGGAAAGAGATCACTCTTCAATCTAAAACATAATGATGCTAAGTTAAACCACTCACCTTTCCCACAGGGCGTTAAGAAGTTAAGGGTGAAAAAGTAACTTTCGTTTTTCCCTGTATCATGATCGAGTCATCAGATTTTCTTAGGAACTAATATTTGGGCTAACATATGGAAACATCGATCTACGATTCGCTCGGAATTTCACCAAAATCGGACCAGAATTGAAAAAGTTACAGAGCAAACAATTTGGCTAAATTATTTGGTGGCCGGTTTTTTTTGCCGGTGAGTGTATATTGCAAAAGTTAAGTTCTTCAACAAAATTGAATAAAATGAGACTGTTTATCCTAAACGCACTAACCTATTTGACTTCAAATATTTTCTGGAAAAGGAGAACCAGAATGAAGTAAAAAAACATTGGTGAAAAAAAAAGTTGCAAAAAAATGTTCAAGTTCACAGCGATTCGAACCATGGACCTTCAGACTGAAAGTCGGCAGCACTAACAAGTAGACCATTTGGGTGTATGAATTTACTGCGTACAAGAGATTGACAACGAGAGAGCTTCAGTCGAATTCGTGTCAAAATCATAAAAAGTGTATTCTTGCGTTGGAGCACAGTATATTTAGTGCGATGTGCTGACTCCGAGTATATCGGTAATGTTTGGAGATATGACGTATTATGGTGGGCGTGGTTTGTGCTAGCGTGCAGTATATTTAGTAAAATTGCTGCCGGCGAAGCAACGGGTGAGACCAAGTCCTAAGTCCTAAGGGATGACTGCCGGTCCCCTATCTTTCGACTTATACCGACAGCACACCCCAGAGAGAAATGGACGATTTGGATACGCCAAATCAGCGCGCTAGAGCCATCTCCGCTATGTAACGGCATGTTCTCCTGCTACCATTTTATTATACCAATGGTGAGGCCGTCTGATAAAACATACTACTGGCTCTGCAGTGTCAGTGCCTGAGCAGAAACGCTGCTCACCCGCCGAGACAGGCAAGATATCCTCCCACTTGACCCATAGTGGGATTCTTATTCACCTCCTCTACCGTAGTCCGGTGGTATTTTTCGGAAACCGCTGCCCCCTGGAGTCCAACCCAATTGGTGAGGCACCAGGCCGCATGTACGACCTGATGGGGCTATCCTCAACACCTCAGGTACCCATGTCAACAAGATTCCTCTTGTTACGTTTGATGGGTCGCCGTCGCAAGAGGCTTACGCCTGATTGCTACTCATGTTGACAAGAATCCTCTTGTCCCGTTGAATGATTGTTTGTTCGAGGACTTTCACATGTTCCTCTACCTCGTTAACAGGAGAGGACCCGGCGTTGTCTATGATTTCTGGCGATAGGATCGCTTGGGACCTCCCCTTCCTGTCGAACTAAGGCACAAGGTACACCAAAGTTCCAGTTTTCGCTGAGCAAGCCCAGCTACCCATGTCGACCAGTCCCGTTTGATGGGTGTCCGTTCGCGGCCTTTTACACGTTCCGCTACCATGACAAGAGTGAGGACCTCAAGCTTTTAACCAGTGGTGTCTGGAATCAACTGAGGCTACCCCCCCCCCCCCCCCGACGCCGTGGGTGCATGGTGGGCCCACGGCCAAATGCCCATCTGGAATAGGAAAATATCGTACAGGGTCGTTACCGTCGAAACTACAAGGCCTGAAGGCTCGTAATGAACAGCTCGTGACGTCAGCTAACTGAGGCCACCTTCCATTCGCGTGTCGACTGTCGTCAGTTTGTTTATGTTAGAGAAGCGGTCGTGTGCTCGAATTCTTTTGTGTTTATTCATCAAAATAATTGGCGGAAAAATTACTGTTTCGTGAAATATTTTGTGTTGTGATAGGCGAAATAACAATGCCTTTTAAGTGCTGTGTTCCCTTTTGTCGGGGGAATTATGTGGGTGGTCCAAAAGTGCATGCTTCTAGTTTCCCGTTGGACAAGGAACTATCGAATAAGTGGGTATATGCTATTCACCGCGAGGATTTTACTCCATCTAAGTACATTAGAGTATGAGAATTACATTTTAGTAAAGATGCTATTATTACTTCATCTACTGCAGCCGATTCGAAAACTGGCAAAACTGTAACAATAGATTTGAACATTCCTAGGCTCAAACGAGATGTTATTCCTACTCGATTTCCTAACTGTCCATCTTATTTTTCGAAAGATGTAAAATTACGCACAAGTCGTGATGAAAAACTTGAGATACTAGAGACTAAAAGTTTGGCAAAAGCACTTACCAAAAGTAAAACTGGATTCGAAAATTACCAAAAATTATTATAAAAAAATGTTGTATTCATAATATATTAATAATGAAATAAAATAAAACTTCAACAACATTTATTAAAAATTAATATCCAATATTCATTCTTTCAATCTTTGACTACAGGAACAAGAAACACCTCCAAAATCAAAAGACTTCAACTATTCAACTGAAAATCGGGTAGATTATCTATGAATACCGGTAGATTATCCATGATATCTCCGAATATTGGTAGATTTCGACAGTGAATCCTTAGTCGGAAGAAAATTCCGAGAATCATCAGATCTCCCGATTTATCGAGGTGGTTGGCAGCACTGTAGGGCAGTCTTCAGCCAGCAGTCCTGAAACCACCGACTAAGCGTAGCCTAGCCAAACAAAAATCAAATCGGCATAATACTCCCCCAGGCGTCCTTCATAGACAATATGAGAGCAACACCATCTGAGTAGAAAAGGAAAGACACACTCCAAAACCTAAATTCCCATACGGGAGTGGCTGTTTGGCTAGATTATCCATGATATCTCCGAATATTGCTAGATTTCGACAGTGAATCGTTAGTGGGGAGAAAATTCAGAAAATCAGGAGATCTCCCGATATATCGGGGTGGTTGGCAGCACTGTAGGGCAGTCTCCAGCCAGCAGTCCTAAGACCGCCGACTAATCGTAGCCTAGCCAAACAAAAATCAAATCGGCATTATACTGATTGATTGATTGATTGTCTTTATTACCCCAAGAAACATTATTGTTTATAATAGGGATATATACAACAAAACATACATATAAAACATAATAAATCGAAACAATAATAATTGCACAATTATTGTCTTTCCTAATAAAAAAAAAATTATTATAATAAAATATAAAATGAAAATATCATAATCCATTACAAGTAATCAAATTGTGAATGATTAGTACTATTAGTAGATATGGAATTAAAGTTTACTATAAAATCATGGGTTCCTCCTATTCTGTTTTATTCAACGACAGCACTCTAACATCTTTTTGGTAACTTGATTATAATTGGTGACTTGACAACCTTGCTTCATGAGTGGAAATGGAAGATTATCTGACCATGAGCATAAAAACTGACGTCACCATTTATTCGACGTATCGCCAAATGGCGGCCATGAAGGTTCGTTAATTATCATTAATTCATTCATTCAAGAGTACCAATATCTTATAGAAATGATGTTTATGTCATATTATCTAATCAAAATCACTAAAAAGTTTCATACAAAGAGGTTATGTCGATTTCATCATCATGAATCATTCACGTGCAACAAACTGTAGAATAATAGATAGAATAATATTCCCAATAAAAAATTAGGCCTCTGTGCCGATTTTGAAATTATTAGCAGAAAACGAAAAAAAATCAGCCTCAACACCCTGTATCTTTTTCCACAGCAATATTTCATTGAGGCATATTCGGTCCTATCAATCCGCCATCAGACTATGCCCCATTAGTTAAGACTCACCTTGGATAAAATTCTCCTGTCCCTGTCATGGTGTTTGACGCCAAACTCCTCTGAAACGGCTGGACCGATTCGTATGAAATTTTTTGGGCGTATTCGTAAGATATGAGAATCGGTTGTAAGCTATTTTTTTAATTGAGAATTCAAGATGGCGGATCCAATATGGCGGACGAGTTTCGTAATCCGATTTTATTCAAAATTGGTATCTGAGGGTTCGGGGTCGGAGATTATGATATTTTCGTCAAAATTTGGAAATTCAAGATGGCCGATCCAATATGGCGGATGGTTTTGTATTTATGGTCCGATTCTATTCAAAATTAGTTTCTGGGGGTTTTCGGGATCGGAGATTATGATTCCTTCGTCAAAATTGAAAAATTCAAGATAATGGGTCCAATATGGCAAACAAGTTTTCCAATTACTATCCGATAATATTTGAAATTAGTATCTGTGGGTTTTTCCAATATAGCAAAGAAAACGAGCTTTGTAATAAAATAGAAGTTTGAAAAGCAAATGAAACACACTTTTATAGATAGCTGAACTTAAGAGAAGTAGAAAATAAATAGTAGTTTGAAAACCTAAAAAAACATGCTTTTATGGATCGCCAAACTGAAAAGAAGTAGAAAATAAATGGTAGTTTAAGAAACTAAAGAGATAGATTGCCAAACTAAAAAAAAGAGAAAGAAAAAGAAGTAGAAAATTTAATGATGAAAGTGTGCTGAGAAATATTGTTTATAGCAAAACAATATTTGCTGGGTCAGCTAGTATATTATTTCATATTCAAATAACCAAATTTTCCGGATTCTCAATCAACCAGCATTTGTTTTTTTCATGGATCTAAAGAAACTGTTTTTTTTTTCAAAAAGGAGGCAATTCTTTGTAGAATTTTGAACCCATATGATATGCATGATGTTGCATTAAAGTTGAAGGAAATTTTTCAGTTGACATCCAACCATAAATTTCATTTTTGGTGTCATATTAATGTTTTACATGATTATCCTATGTGATGTGATATTCTGTGTAAAATAACATAATATATCTTTATACCCTAAGTTCATCTCACTCTAGTTAAATTCAGAGGCTAACAACTACACCTCTTTTCATTCAATTTTAATTCTTTTCAACATACCTAGCATGAAAATAATCTGCATTTTTCATTGCAAATGTTACCTCTACTTCAATAAGGATGTAATTTACTAACTTTGGTCCACTGGTGCAGGTAGAAATATACTAGTTTAATTGATTTATGGACTTATGGTGATAAAGGTTGGTCTTACTTATAATCCATATGGGGCCATTGTGAATATGTCTCTCTTCTCCTCCATTCACTAGCCATTGATTTTCTGTCTGAAGCATTGACTTTTTCACCCAGTAAATCAGCCAGCCTCTCCTGGACTGCAGAGGCTACACCTAGTTCTGGGACATGTTCTTTTTTGGTCAACAGAATTGCTACTATGTCTGCAGCAGCCACACGTAGGTCTTCTAAGGTTATGTTCAAACATACTGTGTTCCACTGAAAATGAGAGGAGACATTTTACAGACCTGCATCGGGAGGGGGATGTATTCAACTTACTTTTTGGGCTTTTATTCCTCTCCTGAGATATTTTTGGGCCCTCAATATTACATCAGTGAGCTCATTTATGATATGGTCAACAGAGGTTAGGTTACTAGATAAACTTTCCTTTAAAATTATAGCCTGAAATATTTGATGACAATAATAGAATCATTTAAAAAATGAGTTTTCAGATATGAGACAAGGTAGATATACTGCTTGCATGACAAAACAATTTCACATATTTTTTACCTCTGATAGTGGCAATTCAAGTTTAACTTCCTCTTTACTGTCACTGGTAGTTTTCTGAAGAATACTGTCAAGTAGTAAAACACCATTATAATCTGACCTCACACCCAAAGCTTGTCCATCTGTGAATAACACTCTATCCAAAGTTGGAATATATTTGCACTTGACTTCCGTCAAATTTAGGGCTGAAATTAATTGATAATTACTGATTAGGAATCACATGAAATGAGGAAATGGGGGATTTACTACCTGAGAGATAACTGGATTGAAGGATTACACCAGAGTTCACATCAAGCACTTTCACTTCGCCACTATGCGTACATATTAAAATAACGTTTAGGTAAGGATGGTAGACTATTTCTTTCACGTTCGTGTCCACATTTAAATATCCATCTTCATTTAAAATCCACTGTTCCTCAGCCATTTTGCTAAATACATCTTGCGCCATGAAAGAAAGGCAACATTTATGTCAATCTAGTCCAGTGCAAGGTGCAAGTCAAATGTCAGATGTCTGAAAGATTTTATTTTTATTATTTTTGTTGGCCATACTGATATGTCGGCTTCTTTATTTATTATTGGGTATCTTGCCCTTACACTATTCAGCTATTTAAGAGCCTAGTTACTTTGTGATTATGGTGTTATAGGAAATAATACCAAGGTTAAGGAGTGTATTGGCATACGCCGAGTAGGCATTACGCACAGACACCACCATACAAGATGTTTAGGATATTAGTAAAAAATATTGACACTCAATGATCTTTGCAAAAACTTATTCTTCTAGAATGAAATCGGATATCCCTGGAAAAATCCAAGGATTCAAACAAATTTTGATTTTCTTGAGAAGGAAAATAATAAAACAGAAATAGTTCGAAACTCATAAACCCATTATATTTATGAAACATTGAAGAAATTGCCATGAGATAATATACATTTTGAATCAACATTTCTTCTGAATATAGGGAAGAAGATCCATGGCTGTTATGATTCCAATTGGTTTTTCTATTCGAGAAACTCCAGAACCTACAAAAACAATAATTGTATAATCGGCATAGGACATTAAAAAACATTCGTATACCTTGTGATTCTAAAATCAAAACATACGACTCTCTCTCCAAAATTCTGGATACAATTCCAAGGTTAGCAGTAGTGTATACTTTGGGAAAAATTCTCACAATACATCTTTCAAAATTGCCATTTGATTGTACTTTCCCAGATATCAATCCATTCATTAAATTCTGCAGAGTCAACATACCAACCATACCCCTGGAAATTCGAAACTCAAATCATTGCAGGAATAATAAGGAAATGTTAAATGTTGAATGTTGAAAATGAAGAATGCCTACCCATTATTGTCAACAACCGGTATTTGATCAATACCTGCCTTTTTCATGACATTCAGTACCCTTTCACAATTTACACTCACAGTGGTGGTCTGCAAAGGTTCCAATTCTAATTCTGAGACACAAATATCCCACCACCTAAAAAAAAACCATATACATATAATTTATAATAATGTCATATTGTTCATTATTCATAAAGTGTTTCTTAGAACATTCCAAGATTGATAATTGAAACAAATTTCAATCTGTAGCAATGTCCAAATTGAAATCTGTTATTTTTTTTTTATAAATGACACAAACATATATGCATTGTTTAAACATGTTTAAACCCTCAAAATCTCAGTATAACGGGTGACACAGGGTATGGGGCCTGCATTCGTAAGCGAATTTTTCTAAAATTTTGTTAGTTATGTAAGAAAATCACAATACAATAAGACATACTTCCGTTTTTTCTGGAAATGCCAGCAACTTTAATTTTTCAGATTGTACACCCTGTATATTTTTACATATTTAACTAACCTAACCTAACCAGACCTGTTGAATTCCATTTGGAAAAACAAAGTTGCTGGCTTTTCCAGAAAAACCGGAAGTCCGCCATATTGGATTGTAATATGTGATCAACTCCGAAATGGCTGCATATAAAACTGTATACCAAATTCCAGACCATTCCTTTTAGGAATCCAGAAGTTACAGGGCGACCCGATACCCTAGTTGTGTCACCCAGTATAACAATAAATAGCTACCAATGATTTTGTGTATTAACACAAGGCATCAAGTTTCTGGCTTCCATCCACTGATCAGAAACGAATTTCGTTATGTAATTCCTAATACTATCAGGCATGATGACAACGACTTTTTGACCGGCCTTCAAGTCTTTTGCCGCCTTTATCGCTGCCGATAATGCAGCGCCACTACTTGAACCTGAAAATAAAAAAGGAAATTTCATTTTGATCCCAATATTTTTTTCATTGGTACCACTCGATAGTATATGTCGAGCTTACTCAAGGCATGAAATATTTGCACTTATTTCAATGCCACCCTGTATATGTATGTATAGTTTTTTTAAGTAATTTTTCGAGGAGGCGTAGTTTCAATCTTGTTTTGAAGTTTATCAACTTGTAAGACCTAAATTCACTGAGTGAATATTGAAGTGTGATGTTGGGGATTCTGAGTAAGTAGAAGAACTATGCCGATTCGAGCACAGTACCGCACGCAACACTCCCTAGGTGGCGCTGTAGATGTGGCGATGAGTTCAATCTCTAGCTGGTTTGTATTTAATATTAAAAATTATCCGTATGATGACGTCAATGGGCTTATATCACAAAAAAATTTTATTTCATAATTCGATAGAACTCACCCAAACTAGCTCACCACCGCAAACCGTTTCTAGCTGTGAGCTCCCTACGTTTTATAAAAAATTATTGAAATCTCCGATTTTTCGGACCTCTAAAAACGAGGCGATGATGTGATTTGACCCTAATACTGAAACAAGACTATTCCAGACAGAGATGAATGATACATGATTTCTGACAAAGTGAATTAGCGCGAGATCACAGTTGAAAGAATTATATATCAGTTGCCTCAGTCTCCGTAAGGCGTTTGGTATTTTCTTTTAACTATGGCGAGATGAGGTTTCTACGTCAAAAGAGGGTCCGTTTTCAGAAGATACTATTATTTATGTCCAAAAATAAAACATTCCAGTTAATTTTTCGATCGAATTATGTCGTCAATCATTATTTATGTATAAAAGGATCATTATAAACATGGTTTGAGTTAAAAGTTCTACTAAGGTGTACCCGCCCATTTTATTTGAAATGAAATAAAAGAAGCTGACCCGTTCGACTGTGCACAGAGAATCGAACCCCGGCCGACGGACTGTGTGCCTCATCCACAAGTAAATGTCTGGGAAAAAAACATGCCTGAACGAGACATTAGTTGCGTTTTATTTGCTACATTCTGGTAACGGTGGTGGGACCAGAATTACGTTTTCAAATAAAACGACAAATAAAACGAGAAGCTTCATGACCTTGCTTGAGAGAATTTGACATAATATAAATCAAAGGGGTTATATTCATATATTTGGGCTCCGAATAATTTCAATATCATAAAACTAGATTTGAAAATCAATAAAATGGATTGAATGAAGCAACGCATATTTGGAGCAGTGATTGTGGTGCTTCAAGAAAATTCTCTGAGACCGAGAGGATTCATTTTATCAGGGAATGAAGATATGAAGCCTGTCTTTGAAAGAATCATAAAATCGTGAATCTCACGATAAAAATGTCTCCTAAATGTCTTCTACTCTCAAAAAGTTTCGATTTTCGTCAATCTAATTCCGTTTTTTGACAACTGTCAACAGTCATTCCGCATCATTCCATTTAGTGAGACTATATTCCGAATTCAACTGGTCAGTACTGTCAGTTGATCCACTGACTCTGCTGAAAATCTGTGTTCCGAAATATAAAATAAAAAATTCACTACTGTAATTCGGGACACGTTTTCATGGTTTTCATCAGTAGTAGTTTCTCGTTTATCTGAACTAGATGTTCAGCCTCCTACTTGTTATAAATTTTGGAAATTCAATATTTAACATGGAAGAGAAATCGATTCTTGTATCCTCTATAGTTTCTACGATTGTTGACGATGGCGATTCAAGCTCGAGTGATGAAGAATGATTGGACATTTTGTTGCCATATATTTCTCATGATGCACCAGATTGAGAATTGAGATTCATGAAAATCGCAATATGCCTTAATAATGATGAATGTTAGGTTACATTCCAGGTTTATTTAGTTTATTTAGCCAATGCTGCTCCTTTCCTTACCTGCTCTACTACTTCATACTCCAGGTATTTTCTGATATTGAGAATCATTTCATTTTCAACGGAAATGAATGTTACATTCCTTCCCCCTCTAAAATATGACAGTTCACTGAAGCCACACTACCTTTTGATACTCAGCAATTCCAGCAGAATGTTGAGTCGAAATATTTGGAATGAATAGTATGTCTGCTGACAAGCATCTGTCACTTCCAGTGAATTTTTTGATTTTGGAATGGAAAATCAGCAGATACAGTACTGTCAGTTGAATTCGGAATATCGCCTGAATGAAAAGTAGCAACCGGAAGAGGTAAAGTTGCAAACGACACATCAAAGTGATTCCGATGGCGGAATCGGATAAATAAAACGCAACTATATATTGTAAGCCGACCAGCGAGAGGCCAGCGCGAGAGATGAGCGACGGTTTGCCAATTGCTCTGCCAATTGAGTTAACGCGACATCCGTCGATCAATCGGCAGAAAGGTCGAGTTCTCATAACACACCACGCGGCAGAATCCCTCCAAATCCCAAAGTCACTCGAAATCATGCACTTTATGAAGCATCGCTGGCAGGATGGTACTATAGTCTCCATTTTTCCCCGTTCGTCCTCTGGCATGACAAACATTATCATTCACTTCTATGTATAGATTTCATTCACTTCTATGTATAGATTGCCTGCGGACAAATACGTATACAAGGAAGGATGAACGGATAAAAATGGAGACTGTATAGCACCATCCTGCCAGCAACGCTTCATATACAGGGTGTTTCGAAATTCGACCGACAACGCTTGACAGGTGATAGCCCTCGTGATTTCATGATCACTGAGATAGGGACATACGGTCTTAAAGTGTTCAGTTCTCGAGATACAGGGCGTTAAAGTAAAGAAATAAAAATAGTTGTTTCGCAATATCTCAAGAATAATTGAATATAATGCATTCAACTTCGGTATATGGTTCCATCTTTGAATAGGTCATTTTTTGACCAGGAAGCCATTTCGGACATTTAATCCAGTGGTGCCCTACAGGGGGTTGTGGCAACTTTTCCTCCCATATGTTCTACGCCACTGATTAACTTTCGATTATTTCCAATTTCTCGAATTCATTGTTCAATTTTGTTCAAAAAATGCATCAACTTCAACTGAGCTGAAATGAACAGTTTTCGGAATATTCGACCCAGAATAGAAGATTGCATAGAATATTTCATCATTTTCAGTAGTAGAAAATTACAAAAATATTTTTCTGGTGTTGAGTAGATTAGAAACTATTCAGATCCCATTCAATAGCTGAACATAAATAGTTATTCCACGCATAAATAGAAAACAATTTTTTTTAACTTTCTACTACTGAGGAAGATGCAAAATTACTATGCAAACTTTTATTTTGGGTCAAATATTTCGATAACTGTTCATTTTAGCTTAGTTGAAGGTGATGCATTTTTTCAACATAATTGAACAATCAATTCGAGAAATTGGAAATGATTAAAATATCATCAGTGGCGTAGAAAATATGGGAGGAAAAGTTATCACAACCCTCTGTAGCGCACCTCCGGATACAATTCTCGGAATGTCTTTCTGGTCAAAAAATTAACCGTTGAAAGATGAAACCATATACCGAATTTGAATGCATTATATTCAATTTTTCTTGAGATATTGCGAAAAAACTATTTTAATTTCTTAACTTCAACGCCCTGTATCTCGAGAACTGAACACTTGAAGACCATATGTCCCTATCTCAGTGATTATGAAATCACGAGCGCTATCACCTGTCAAGCGTTGTCGGTCGAATTTCGCAACACCCTGTATAGTGCATGATTTCGAGTAACTTTGGAATTTGGAGGGATTCTGTCGCCTGGTGTGTGATGAGAACTCGACCTTCCTGCCGATTGATCGACGGATGTCCCGTTAGCTCAATTGGCAGAGCGTTGGGCATGAAACCCAGAGGTTGTGAGTTCGACTCTCACGCAGGGCGGTGGGGTTTTTTTCATCATCTTCATTGAAATAGTATCACTTATGGTATAACATATAAGAATAATCTTTGAGATTCAAAAATCTCACTCTTGATAATCCCAACTCTTTTATTATTATATGAAAAAGCCAAATTCCCAATGCTTACCAACTAGTAAGCCTTCCTCTTTGATCAGCCTCCTGGCCATAGGCAGAGATTCTTCATCGTTCGTTTTGATCCACATATCTACCACGGATCTGTCCAAAACGGTAGGCAGAAAGTCGTA